ATCCCCCCCGAAATGACCTCTATTGTTGCACCTGATGCAAAACCCACTTGGGTTGTATTAATTTGTTCTAATGGTTTAGCTGCCGTCTGATATTGTTTTAATTGTTGGTCTATATTTATTGTTTTAAGCAGGGCTTTTTTTGTAGAAAAAGCCTGGCAGGAACTTATTAGCATATTAGGCCACACCCGTGACAGCACAGACCATTAGCATATTAGGCCACACCCCCATGTTAACAGGAGTGTGGTCATCCAGCCACACCCACCTTTTGCTTCTTATTCTGTTTACCTTGTTGTCAGGGCTTTTTTATAGCAGGAACTCCTTTGCATGTTAAGCCACACACCCCTAATGTAGCCAATTCTAATGGGTTTCTGCTGTTGGGTGTGGCCTATTATGCTAATGAGTTCCTGCTGGGTGTGGCCAGCTCAGCAGCCAGCCGGAACTCCATTCCTGTGCGTTCCTGCCCCCAAATAGCCCTGGTTTCAAGTGTTCTTATTGTTATTTTTGTTACTCGCCCTGACCCTGCATGCAGGGGAGGGAGGGCTGTTAATCAACTAAACTAAACGTCATTGGACTCTTGCAGGCAAACCAGTGGCCACCTGCAGTTCAATCCAATGCAGAAAAAAAGAGAAGTGTGAAATAATCGACGGGAAGCCCGTCTGTTTGCCAGAGTCTGAATCTACCTGCTGGGCACAGGGAGACCCTCACTACCATACCTTTGATGGGAGGAACTTTGACTTCATGGGCACCTGTACCTACACTATTGCCAAGACTTGTGGGTCAGACACGTCTCTTCCTTCCTTCAGCGTCGAGGCCAAGAATGAGAACAGGGGCAATACTCGCGTTTCCTATGTTGGTTCTGTGACGGTCAAGGTCTACAACAGCACCATTTTAATCACCAGAAATGAAATTGGATTTGTGAGGGTGAGGTTTTGTCTCTAGCTGCTCCCTGTGTGTCTGTTTTTGTGTGTGTGTGGCAACAGTGTCTATGACCTGATGCTCCTGATTTTCTTAAGAGTTGATCCACAAGCTTTGGAATCGCTCCGGCCCGGGTATGGTTCTTCCCCCCGCTTGTCTCTCCCCCCCCCCAGTTTATTTTTACAGCTTTGGTTAGTTTATTTTCTCCTGCACATGGCTTAAATAATGAGAATTTCCCAGTGAGTCACTGGTGTTGTTATCAGTAGTATCATAGCACACCCCATAACTAGGCTTGCCAAGTCCCCCCGGGGGGCGGGGAAAACCCCGCCCCATAGGCCTGTTCCCTGCCGCCGCCGGATTGGGCCCCGGGGGAAACGCCACCCCGACGTGCACTTCACCAGGAAGTGACGTGACTCCCCTCGGATGGTCGTGACCCCGCCCCCAGCGTGCCCGGCGTAGTCGCATCACTTCCTGGTGAGGTGGATGTGGCGCGTGCATGCTCTGTGTGTGCGCACGCGCTCCAGGATCAACCCGGGAGTCCCCCGCTTCAGGATGAGGTACAACTTGGCAACCCTACCCTTAACGTTTAAAAAAAAAAAATCACTTCCCTAAATCACTGTCGATGGGGAGTTGTTTAACAGGAAAAACAAAAACAATAGAAACATTATGACACAAAATCGGCTCCCTGAAAACATTCAGGGTAAAAGTAGTCTCAAGGAGCTAGAAAAAAAATGTGAAGGGGAAAAATGAAGTAAAAACTGAAGGCACAAAAACATGCGTGGAAATCAGGAAACAACCCAAAGCAGTATGGGGCCAGAATCAACAACAACAACTGCAGAAAAGCCGTGCAAATAACCCCTCCCTTTCTGAAGCTTCTGGCTGAAAATGGCGGTCCCCAGGCTTCCCACGTCTTAGGGCTCAGCCCAGTACTTCAGGGCTTTAGACTCATTGTCATGGTCTCCAAGCAAAGAGAGTAATATTCTGAATGAGGAGCCAGAAGCAAGGTAGCAGGCCATCTTTCTTATCTTTAGAATGGTAAATGCACATATGGATTATCCTAACAAATGCACAGACTACCTTGTCTTGATATATTCCTATTCCCTCCAACCTCCTTGTCCATGAAGCTCCATGCTGACCTACTCTGGTGGTCCCTTCTGCTGACCTACTGTATGATTCTATGATTCTGTACTTTATTGTCTACCAAGCATGTATAGATACATATGTCTTCCCTCCGGCAGAGCAACCCTTGAGCCTTTATGCTCCATTTCCTGTCTCTAGATCTGAACTTCCTGTATACCTGAAAGCCTTAGCTATCCCATACGCCTTAAGTGTGTTTCAAAGAGGCTAAGAAATCTAAGCCCTGTTTGCTCAGCCTTTATTTAGCTTAATTTCTCTTACTGTGATCCATCCATACTCTATGGAATGAAACAAGAATCTATAAAACTGGACACACCAGCAGCCCTTGTGGTTCATTGTGGGGGAAAGGTGGAAGGAGGGCCAGTGGTGTAGAATTAAGCCCTCTGGGAACTGATCTGAATTTTGGAGGGGTTGCAGCCCAATTTGAAAGGGGGTTGAATTGCTTAAATTTGCCTTTGGCGTTCCCTCAGTTTAAACTTCAGTACCATGTCTTGTCTTCATAATGCTACAAATGTGTAGTCTACAAAAATCTACCCTACTCTAAGTCTACCCTACTCTGTGCATGTCTCTCAGCGAAATATACGACGACTATCTGAAACAGAAGCATTCAACTTCTGCTGTTTCTTACCTCCGGCTTATCTTGCAGGTGAATAACCAGCGTTCCCGGCTGCCCATCTCCTTGGACGATGGGAAACTGCGCATCTATCAGAGTGGGAATTCTGTCGTTATGCAGACAGACTTCTCCTTGAGGGTCTCTTATGACTGGAACAGCTACCTGGTGGTGAAGATCTCCAGCAGCTTTTCGGAGAGCCTATGCGGCCTGTGCGGCAACTACAATGGAAATCCAGCTGATGACTTCCAAACTCCAAATGGGACCTTGACTCCAACCCCTGTAGATTTTGGGCGAAGCTGGAAGGTGGAAGATGGCGACAGGTTCTGCTGGGATGACTGCCACGGGCAATGCAAAAGCTGCCCACCAGAGACAGCCAACAAGTACAAAGCCGAGCCATTCTGTGGTTGGATCAGCAAAGGAACGGGAGGACCCTTTAGCCAATGCCATTCTGTTGTTGACCCCAACATCTTTCTGGACAACTGTGTCTATGACCTTTGCTTGAATGATGGCTTCAAGGATGTTCTATGCGAAGCACTGAAGAACTATGCAGACACCTGCCAAAAAGCAGGCGTGACCATCTCTGACTGGAGGACGCCCACTGGTTGCCGTGAGTATCCCTGAGCGCCAAAGGGAAGGGTGGTTTCAGAGCTAAGGATAGCAGGAGTTTTCTTTATCGATAGAAGAAAATGATTCAGATTTCATTATTTAACGAAATGTATACCTTGCCCTTCTGCCCTCATAAAGACCACCAAGGCGTCTAAAAAATTAATAACATACATAATAAAACTGTATTCTAAAACCATTCAAACCAACAAAAGTCATTAAAACAATCAAAACCAGTGCTAAAATGCACAGGAAACCATAAAAACAATAAAAAAAAATATTGGGCAGCAAAGAGGGATCCTTGGTTCCACTTTTGGTTCCATAAAAAAACTCATAAAAACAATAAAAAATATTGGGCAGCAAAGAGGGATCCTTGGTTCCACTTTTGGTTCCACCCTACATACCGTTTTCACTCAGGGCTATTTTTTCTAAGAGAACACGCCAGAACTGAGTTCCAGAACCTCTACAATAAAATTCTTTTTAAAATGTTTAAAAGTTCATGAGTTTTCAGTATGCAGACTAAAAACTTCATTTCCCTCTTGAGAGTTCCGGCACCTCTTAAAAAAAAAAGCCCTGTTTTTTGACTGGGACCCAAGAGGGAGACAGCAAAGGCATTTCAGTTGCCGTACTTTTGTAGCTGTGGTGATATGGAAATCCATAGTGAATGTAGCACAGCATCTGCATTCTTGAAACAGCTTTCATTGTTAAGCTTGTTTCTAGTCCTCAGTGTTGTAGTGGTACGATTTAAATCTTCTCTAATAATGGGATAGCAGCAGAGACCAAATTTCTTTGCATGGCTACCTGGCATTTCCATGGTTTTTTTCTATGGAATTTCCTGTTTGCCTAGCAATTGATTATTTATATTTTTCCCTTCCTGCAAGAACACTGTGAAGTAGGATGCTACTATTTATTTAGAAAATGTATATGCTGCCTCTTCAGAGACCTGCTCGAGGCAGTTCACCAGCTTAAATACAATACAGCAGTAAAAAAAATAAAAACAACAAAGCATAAACATTCATAATGTTAAAAATCATAAAATATATAAATCAATATATCAAAGCATTATCAAATCAATATCTATATATCTAATAGCGAAGGCACCCCCTGCGTGCGGATATCTAAATCTGCAAATCGAGGGCACCTGGGGGGCAGGGCGATTTTCCTGCGCACGTGGGGCAATGCCCAGGTGTGCAGAAAAATCTGAACACTGTAAAAAAATATAGGGGGGATATTTAAATCCCCCAAAAAGTAACAAAGCGCCCCCTGCGCATGCACAGGGAATGCTCTTAGAACGGCTTTGCTGCCACCGCCAAAAAAGTGGAGGGGGTGTGGAGGGGAAGTCTTGGCAAGCCAGCAGCTGTAAGCTGCACATCCCTCGCTGCCGTTGCCTGGGGGGAGGGAGAAAGTTTGGCAGGCCGAGCTCCGAGCTGAGACCTACATCCAAAGTAGACCCCAATCTCCCACTAAGCACTAAAAAATGCAGGCTTCCAGTCCATTTGGATCAGCAGTGTTTTGGCACATACTTAGTTCTGAACACAATGCAAACCTGTTCCTTGGAGCTGTTCAGGGTGAACCAAACAGACTGGGTGCTCATGTCTGATCATCACGGGAGCCTCACCATCGGGGCCAGGCAGGGGTGGGGAAGAAAGCTTACCAGTGGTGGCTTCCTCCTTCTTGACAAGTAAGAGGAAGGAGAAGAGAAGGAGAAAGGTTGGCGGGCTGGCCTCACTGCCGCCACTGGGGGTGGAGGGAGGGAGGGAGAGGGGAGGGAGAAGGATGGGTTCACCTGCTGCCCCTTCTGCAGGCCGGGAGCTGTGGGGAATACTTCCCCCACCCCGCGAGTATCGCAGGTCCCGCCTCTTGTTAGAAGTTTTGAATCAGGAGCATCAATAAAGCAATAAAGCAAGCAGTGAACCTGCTACAGACATAAAAAAACATGATAAAACATAATTAACAGTCTCTGGTCCAAGTCTCAGCTCAGCCCTTGTAGAAACCCCTTAAGCCTTAGTCCAAATCTGCAATATGGGGAAAGCAATATCCACCTCCTTTGCAGGATGGTTAAGTACATCTGAGTACATGTACATCCAAAGTAGACCCCAATCTCCCACTAAGCACTAAAAAATGCAAATGATGTTAAATATTCCACGGGGAGGCAATTCTGAGTGGATATGTTTTCTTTTTCATTATAAATAGCAACCAAGAGAGGCTTTGACTGGGCCTGTGGTTTGGGAGAAATTGAATTTTAACTCTTTCCTCACCTCAGTGTTGTTCTCCTAACTTTAAGTAATTGGCCAAGAACCGACATAAGTTCTGTTTGGGGAAACATGCTATAAAGCTATCTGTATGTTTCAACCAAGAGAAGAGAAAGAAGCTCCCAAACTCCATTTGAGATGGGAAGAAGAGCTCAGGGGGTGTTGAAAAAAGCCCTCCCTCCCTCACTGAAGCTCTGGTCCAAGTCCAGACATCCAATAGCTGTTATTTATGAAGGAAAAATGCTTCAAAAGCAAGTCCTGGAAATCGACCATAGTAGTTTGATTCTGGGATCCTGCAGAGTATGCTCACCCCTATTTTTTGGTCTTTCTTGCCCAGAATCTTTATCATCTCACGTTATTGCAGAGGTTTTTTTGTTTGCAAGACTGAACATTATACGGTACCTACAATGGTTTTGCGGTTGAGATTTTTGAATCGGCCCTACACTGACAGAATTTGCCCGTGTGGCCTTAAAAGGATTGATACATCCTTTCACACCCTGCTGGAATGCAGATTTTTTTGAGATTATGAGGCATTAGTATATTAGGCCTTTATTCAACCAGTCATCTCCCTGTACTCCAGAAACCATGGCTTTTGCGGGGCTTCCTTACACTCCCGCCGGACTTGCAGGTCCACCGCCGGGCCCCTCATGGGGCTCGGCAGAGGAGCTGCAAGGCTGGCACCGGCTGCCGGGATCTTTGGGGGTGGGGTGTGTGGCCTTATGACACATTTCGGGTGATGTCAGGAGGTGTGGCCTTATGACACACTTCCGGTGATGTCAGGGGGTGTGGCATATGCTAATGAGTTATGCTAATGAGTTCCCCTAGCTCTTTTTCTACGAAATGACCCCTGGATCCAATCAGTGTTCTTCCAGCATCTAGTCTGGTATGGCCCTAAGACCATCACTATGGAACAGCAGAACCAAGATGTCCTAGAGAATGGGAGTACTATCTATTACTTCTGTGTCACTCCTTTATTTTCTAGCCGCTGAGGATGGTTCTCTCATTTGATCTGTGTACTACTTTCTGAGATACAGGCCCTTTCCGCACTTGGATCTCATCCCTGGTTTTATCAGAGTTCAACTCGTGACACAATGCCTGGCATCTATCCCTGGTTATAACAGCATCCGATTACCCCGGGACAAGTGAGGGGCAAAACCGGGGTGACCTCAATGTAATGTGGAAACAAGAAATACCCTGAAATAGTTACAGGGGTGAACTCACATGTAGTGTAGAATGTAAGTTTGGGGATAGGGTTGAACCAGGATTCAAGGTCTAGTGCGGAAAGGACCACACTGGGCTCAGAGAACCCGTACCCTGACTTGGATGGCCCAGGCTCTCCTGATCTCATCAGCTCTCAGAAGCTAAGCAGGCTCAGCTCTGGTTAGTAAAAGGATGGGAGACCACCAAGGGAGACCAGGGTCACTGTGCAGACAGAGGCAGGCACCTCTCTTCGTCTCTTGCCTTGAAAACCCTACCGGGCCGCCATAAGTCGGCTGCCACTCAAAGGCGCTTTCCACCACCGTTGAGAAAACCCATGTCCTTTATTCTCATCTCTCTCTAACAGCTTTGCCCTGCCCTGAAAACAGCCAATATCAGGCTTGCGGGTCTGCCTGTCCCGCCACTTGCAACGACCAAGCTGCTCCCGCCAACTGTTCCTCGTTGCCTTGCGTGGAGACCTGCCAGTGCAACAATGGCTTCGTCTTGGACGCCGGGAAGTGCGTCCCCCAGTCTGCCTGCGGGTGTGTTTTTGAGGGAAAACTCTTCGCCCCCAATGAGCAGTTCTGGGGAGACGGCACCTGCACACGGCGCTGCGTCTGTGACCCACAGTCCAGGCAAGTGAGCTGCCAGGCATCCAGCTGCCGGAGCGGAGAGCAATGCCGGGTGGAGAACGGCATCCAGAACTGCTACCCTACGGGTCATGCCACCTGCTCCGCTTCAGGGGACCCTCACTACGTCAGCTTCGATGGCCTGAGGTTTGACTTCCAGGGCACCTGCGTGTACCAGTTCACCGGGCTTTGTGAGGACAGGGAGGACCTGGTGGACTTCCGGGTGCTTGTCCAAAATGAGCATCGAGGTAGCCAATCAGTGTCCTTCACCCGAGTCGTGGAGGTCAATGTTTACGACACAGTAATAGTGATCAGCAGAGAAAAGCCTGCCAAAGTCATGGTGAGTCTGATCAGAGATTCGTTCCTTTTGAACAGCTGATTGTTTCCCCGTTTAGCTGCAGTACCTCTTCCTTCAGTTCTGATTCCAGTCACTGTTCGTTCCTAGCATGAGGCCCTCCAGATGGTGGAAATTTCGGGAATCTGCAGGATAGTCCGGGTTGCCATTTCAGTTTTGGAATCTGAAATGTGCAAATAGGAGACAGGGCAGGAGAGAACTGGTCTACTGGCTGCTGATTCACTGTTAACTCTTGACTGCCTCAAACAAGATGGTTCCTTATTGCTATTTCTGGTGCAATGGTCTAGTGCAATGTGTGAGGGAGGTCTCCTATAGGTAACTGGTGTCCACACACAGTTTTTTACCTTCTCTTCATTTTAGTTTTCTGGCATCACCATCTGAGTAAGTCAAGTGTTCAAGTATGCAAGACAATGCATGATGAAGAATTCATTTGGATGGGGGAGCCTTTATTTAACAGGGGGAAATGTTCTGTGAGTCATGTGCAAAAGTACTTCTGAAGCAGGCCCGTAGCCAGGATATTGTGGCTTGTGGGGCAAACTTTTTTCTGGTGGGGCTGAAGTTCTCAGTGCAGAAAGCAAAGCCATTTAGCCAATAGAAAGCTGTTACCAGGATAGATCTCTAAATTGCAAGCTGTCAGCCACTTTAGATGACAGTTCACAGATTCTGCAAGTTAATCACTTCTGCCAGCCCAAGCAACAATTCTGATAACAAGCCGACTGGTGGGGGTGATGACTTCTGTAGTAAAGAAAGCTAACATTTAGGCAGAAAAACTCTCTTAAAGGAGACCAGTTTCTTGACACAGAGTTAGAAGGTATCCTAGAGGTCACCTACTCCAGCCCCCTTGCTCAGTGCGGGAATTAGTCAACTACAGCACCCCACTCTGCTTAAAGGAGCACACAACTTTAAAAAATATTTTTAAATGATTGAAAAAGGCATTTGTGGGGCTATGCCTTTAAGAAAGGGGGTGGAGCCCCAAAAGCCCCACCGTAGCTATGGGCCTGTTCTGACGGGACTGTGTCTCAGTGGTAGAGCATCTGCTTGGCATGCAGAAGATTCAGTCCCCAGCATCTTGGCACGCAGAAGGTTCAATCCCCAGCATCTCCATTAAAGATCAGGTTGTAAGTGATGTAGACAGACCTCAGCCTGCACCCCTGGAGAGTCCCTGACACTCGGAGTAGACAGTACTGACTGTGATGGACCAGTGGTCTGATTCAGTATAATGTGTTCATGTTTCATGCTCACACCTTCCTTTTCGAATGGTTCCTAGGTGAACGGCTTGCTGACCAACCTGCCTTACAGCACAGAAAACAACAAAATCTCCCTGTACAAGAGAGGGCAAGACGCCGTAGTCCAGACCGAGTTCCAGATGACTGTCACCTTTGACTGGCAAAGCCGGGTCACCGTGACTGTGCCCAGCACCTATGCTGGAGCCCTTTGTGGTCTCTGCGGCAACTACAATGGCAACAAACAGGATGAAATGACCATGAAAAATGGCGGAGTGGCCCCAACCCCATCAGCGTTTGGCCAGAGCTGGACAGTGCGGGAGATACCAGGCTGCACGGAGGTTGATCCAGGAAAGTGCTCTAATCTGCCAGCCATTGAGACACACCAACGGGGACTCAGCAAGGAGTGTGGCCTCATACTAGACAAGAGTGGCCCGTTCAGGGAGTGTCACAGCAAAGTTGATCCAGAAGGGTATTTCCATGACTGCGTGTATGATTACTGCTTCTTTGAAGGCCAGCAAGCTATCATCTGCCAGGACGTTGCCAGCTATGCGGCGGCCTGCCAAGCGGCTGGGGCGACCATCCATGCCTGGAGATCTGAGAACTTCTGCAGTAAGTACAACTACGCCCAGCTAGTCTCTTTAGCTACTGATAATAAAGATGGTGGTTTTAAAAAATAAATAAACAAAGGGAAAGCAAGTGGGTCTTGCCTTCCATTTCAGGCAAGACCTGAAGTCGTTCTTCCAAACGACAGTCTGGCTTGGAGCAGCCTGGCAAGAAGCCATGTTCTTCCCCAAGCCAGACTTTCAGCTGCAGAATACCATGTGAAACTGGGGACTTCATAGAAGAGGAAGATTGGGCATATGCAGGCCCAGGGCTCTTTTTGTTGGAAAAAGCCCAGCAGGAACTCATTAGCATAATAGGCCACACCCAACAGCAGAAACACGTTAGCATATTAGGCCACACCCCTGACAGCACAGCTCATTAGCACATTAGGCCACACCCACATGTTACCAGAAGTGTGGTCATCCAGCCACACCCACCTTTTGCTTCTTATTCTCTTTATCTTATTTGTTGTCAAAACCCAGGGCTTTTTTTTTGTAGCAGGAACTCTTTTACGTGCTAGGCCACACACCCCTAATGTAGCCAATCCTAATGAGTTTCTGCTGTTGGGTGTGGCCTGTTATGCTAATGAGTTCCTGCTGGGTGTGGCCAACTTGGGAGCCAGCCGGAACTCCAGGGGTGCTATGCAGAGGCAGGCAATGGCAAACCACCTCCGTAGGGCTCCTGCCTTGAAAATCCTATGGGGTTGCCATAAATTGGCTGCAACGTGACAGCACTTTCCACCCCCCCAAGCATGCATTTGGTGGACTATGGACCCAGAGAGAAATAATCAAACTCCATAAGAACATAAGAACATAAGAACATAAGAACATAAGAGATGCCAATGTTGGATCAGGCCAAAGGCCCATCCAGTCCAACACTCTGTATCCCACAGTGGCCAGAAATACCAGTGCCATCAGGAGGTCCACCAGTGGGGCCAGGACATTAGAAGCCCTCCCACTGTTGACCCCCCCCAAGCACCAAGATGACAGAGCATCACTTGCCCCAGAGTCCCTATCTATACCTTGTGGCTAATAGCCACTGATGGACCTCTGCTCCATATGCTTATCTAATTCCCTTTTGAAGCCGTCCATGCTTGTAGCTGCCACCACTTCCTGTGGCAGTGAATTCCAAGTGTTAATCACTCTTTGGGTGAAGAAGTACTTCCTTTTATCCGTTCTAACCCGACCGCTCAGCAATTTCATGGAGTGCCCACGGGTTCTTGTATTGTGAGAAAGGGAGAAAAGTACCTCTTTCTCTACCTGCTCTTTCCCATGCATAATCTTATAAACCTCAATCATGTCACCCCTCAGTCGTCGTTTCTCCAAGCTAAAGAGCCCTAAGCGCCTTAACCGTTCCTCATAGGGAAAGTGTTCCAACCCTTTTATCATTCGAGTTGCTCTTTTCTGCACTTTTTCCAAAGCTATAATATCCTTTTTAAGGTGTGGTGACCAGAATTGCACACAGTATTCCAGATGAGGTCGCACCATTGATTTATATAGCGGCATTATGATATTGGCTGATCTGTTTACAATACCCTTCCTAATAATCCCCAGCATAGCATTGGCCTTCTTTATTGCAGTCACACACTGTCTCGACATTTTCAGTGAGTTATCTACTACAACTCCAAGATCTCTCTCTTGATCTGTCTCTGCCAGTTCAGACCCCATCAACGTGTATTTATAGTTAGGATTTTTGGCTCCAATGTGCATCACCTTGCACTTGGCCACATTGAACCCCATTTGCCATGTTGACGCCCACTCGCCCAACTTTGACAGATCCCTTTGGAGTGCCTCACAATCCTCACTGGTTTTCACCACCCTGAACAACTTCGTATCATCCGCAAATTTAGCCACTTCACTGCTTACTCCCAACTCCAAATCATTAATGAACAAGTTAAAAAGCAGTGGACCAAGTACTGATCCCTGTGGTACCCCACTGCTTACACCCCTCCACTGGGAGAACTGCCCATTTATACTCACTCTCTGTTTTCTATTAATTAGCCAGTTTTTGATCCATAAAAGGACTTGTCCTTTTATCCCATGATTTTTGAGCTTACTTAGGAGCCTTTGATGAGGAACTTTATCAAAAGCTTTCTGGAAGTCAAGGTAAACAATATCTATTGGATCCCCCTTGTCCACATGTTTGTTCACCCCCTCAAAGAACATTAACAGGTTAGTGAGACAAGATCTTCCCTTACAGAACCCATGTTGAGTCTGCCTCAATAGGTTTTGTTCATCTATGTGCCTACTAATTCTTTCCTTAATAATGGTTTCCACCAATTTACCCGGTATCGACGTCAGACTGACTGGCCTGTAATTTCCCGGATCTCCTCTGGAACCCTTTTTAAAGATGGGAGTGACATTAGCTACCTTCCAGTCCTCAGGAATGGAGGCTGATTTTAAGGAGAGATTACATATTTTTGTCAGGAGATCCACAAGTTCACAATTGAGTTCTTTCAGAACTCTTGGATGTATGCCATCTGGGCCTGGTGATTTATCAGTTTTTAAGTTGTTTATCAGTTTTAGGACCTCCTCTCTCGTCACCTCAATCTTACTCAGGTCTTTCAACACCCCTCCCGAACTCAGCGGCTCTGGAGTGGGCAAGCACCTCTCATCTTCCACAGTGAAGACGGAGGCAAAAAATGCATTTAGCTTCTCAGCCATTTCCCTATCGTCCTTCAGTACTCCTTTTACCCCTTGGTCATCCAAGGGCCCCACTGCCTCCCTGGCTGGTTTCCTGCTTCTAATGTATTTGAAGAAAGTTTTATTGTTGGTCTTTACATTTTTTGCTATATGTTCCTCATATTCCCTTTTTGCCTGCCTGACCACAGCCTTGCATTTTATTTGCCATAGCCTGTGTTCTGTTTTATCAGCCTCCAGCTCTTCTAGCCCTGACCTGGATAGCCCAGGCAAGCCTGATCTCATCAGATATCGGAAGCTAAGCAGGGCCGACCCTGGCAAGTACTTGGATGGGAGACCTCCAAGGAATACCAGGGCCAGGAGGCAGAGGCAACCAATAGCAAGCCACCTCTTTGAATGTCCAAGACCTACAAGTGGTCACCAGAACTCAGCCAAGACTTGCAGATATGCACATACACGTGCACACACACACACAAAATACCCCAAAAACCCCAAAAGCCCTCCAGCTCATATCCCAGCCTGGGAGTTGCCTTGAATCTGTTTCTGCCAATCTTACCATCCTTGTGAGTGTGTCATTCTGAATCTCCCCCCCCCCCACATCTACCAAGTTGATAACTTCTTGCTCTTTCATTTCTCCCTTGTTTCAAATTGACAGGTCTTCCTTGCGCTCAAAATAGTCACTACGAGCTCTGTGCCAGAGGATGCCCCCAGACCTGTGGAAGCTTCTACGCCCCAGCCCCTTGTCTAGCAAAGTGCCAGGAAGGTTGTGTGTGTGACGAAAACTTTGTGCAGAGTGGCGATCAGTGTGTCCCCATATCCCAGTGCGGCTGCCACCATGGAGGCCATTACTACCTGGCAGGAGAGACTTTCTACCCAACATGCCAGGAACGCTGTGTGTGCCAAGCCGGCGGGACTGTGAAATGTCAGACATTCTCCTGCGGACCTTATGAGGAATGCAAGTTGTTGGACGGGGTCCGGAAGTGCCACCCCATAGGCAGTGCTACCTGCTCTGCCTCTGGCGACCCCCACTACACCTCCTTCGATGGATCCCGCTTCGATTTCCAGGGCACCTGCACGTATACCCTGGCGAAGGCCATCCAAGCCAGTTCCACACTGATACCGTTTACTATAAATGTGGAGAACACGGCCTGGGGGAACGGGAAGGTTTCGGTGACCAAAATGGTCTCTGTCGAGGTCTATAACACCACACTCACATTACTGCAGAACGTGAAAGGACAAGTGAAGGTGAGTCTGTGCCACAAATGGTTAGCTCTGCAGCCGTTCCTTCATTCATAAAGCCATTCCCACGGTTTGCACATTCTTCTGCCGCTGCAATTAGGAATAGAATGGCGATACTCCTCCTCTACCTCACAGGTAGCTTCTAGTACAGTGATGGCGAACCTTTTAGAGACCGAGTACTTAAACTGCGACCCAAAACCCACATTTATCGCGCAAAGTGCCAACACGGCAATTTAACCTGAATACTGAGGTTTTACTTTAGAAAAAACAACTCATACATTAACTTAAGGTGATCCAAACAAAGTAAGGAAAGCAATCCCAAATGCTTTCATTTACTTAAAATTATTTGGCAGAGAATTCGACACTTTAATGATGGTCTGGGCCTGGCTGGGGCGATGGCACGCACGCCCACAGAGAGGGCTCTGTGCCGCCTCTGGCACCCGTGCCATAGGTTCGCCACCACTGTTCTAGTAGATACTTTGCATGAGTGCCCAGTCACGCAGATGCCCAGTTTACAGATTTCTTCCCATTGTTTTTGATGGCAAAGGATCTTATGAACTAGGCCTCTAGGCCATTGGGGGTTACACAAACAGACTACTGGAAGGCGGTAGACACGTGGTAGAGCAGATAGGCTTGCTTCACCATTCCAGTATCCTGTTACAGGGCTGCCCCAGCTGCAGCCATAAGCAGGGGAAGAGTAGTAAGTTGAAGAGTGTCAAAAGGTTGATTGGCTTTCTCAATGAACATGTATATGATGGTTGCCGGACCACTGGTGGAGGGGAGGGTCCCCCGCCACCAGACTAGGGTTGCCAGCTCCCTCTGAGCAGCTGGCGGGGGATGAAGGTGCACTTACTGGGAGTAGGGGGGAATGCCTGGCATTTCAGCGACGTGCCTACATTGCCGGGAAGTGACATAGGCACGTCAGGGACACTGGGGGGGGGATGAAGCTCTAGTTTGGGGGCAAAACTCTATCTGGGTCACATGGTCATGTCACTGAAATGCTGGGCATTTCTCTATTTTGGGGAGGTGATTCCCCCACACATACACTGGCCAGCTGGCTGATGACAGAGAAATGAGGTCTTGCAACAGCAGGCCCCCACCTCAACCGGGGGGGTGGGTCTGGAATCCCTATGCCAGGTCCTGCCCCCCAAACCACCAATCAACTGGCCAGTGGGGCGGGTCTTACCAGAAGAAAGAGGAAGTCCCAGGCCATGTTGCTGATGTCACACAGGAAGTAACATCATCACGCCAGTGATGTCCAGGCGAAGCTCTGTTATCTGGGCAAAATCTTTATGGTTGAAGTCATTTTTACCATAGAGTTTTTGCCCAAATACCAGAGTGTTGCAGCGACATCACAGGGTGATGACGTCACTTCCTGTGTTATGCTGGCAACGTGGCCTGGACCATCTTTCTCCTGGTGAGTCCCCCCCCAATTCCCCACCAGTTACCATGTGGGACCTGGCAACCCTAGTATATATACTTCATGCTGGAACAAAAAGCAACTCTATATGTTTAGCTTTGACTAGGAGAAAGAGCACTGGTACTGGAAGTATGGAGGCTCAGTATGGAAACATACATTCTAGTAATACTGGCATGGATCCTATCCCTGCGCCGCTACTCCACTGAGCAAAGTCTGAAGCCTTACTCTAGCCAAAGGAGACTTCCTCTACCTCAGTTTGGTAGCTGATGAAGGGAGCTTTGGTTCTCAAAAGCTTATATCCCCCCAAATTTGTTGGTCTCTGAGGTTCTACTGGATTTGAATCTAGCTGTTCTTCCAACTTAAGTGGCTCTTCTGTTGAAGGAAGGGCCACTTAAGTTGGAGGAAGGCTCTGTAGGCTGGAGCAAGACTTCTTAGAGAACAGTTGGGCACACCCCATGGTTTCAAAGCCTTTTTTCTAGAACCATGCATACATTCCGTTTCTACACAATATTGAGGTCTAAATATTATTTTAAAGTAAATAACCTAGAACAATCCGTTTGGCTTTCCATGAGGATAAGGACTTCTATTTTCGGCTTTTATTTTTCCTCTTTGCCAGCTGGAACTTTGCAGAACTTTGGATTGCATGACAGTACATTTCCATTACTCATACTAGGTGTTATTGTTTGGTTCCATTACTAAATAATATTTTTATCTTCATAAATAACACTAACAATACAATTGTTCGAGCTAAGTTGTACATGGCACATTTAGATTTAATATATAGATCTGTACAACAAAAAGTCCCATTATTTCACAAATGTCCATTATTTCCAAGGCCTTCGAAATGTCTAAAATGTTTCTGCTGGAGCAATTGGGTCCGTGTATCTGTTAGGAATCTTCTAACATTGGGCCAGTATGACTGAAGGAAGTAACAAAATACTGGGTTGGATCCAGCCACTGTTCTCACTCAATGCCACCTTACCACAGACTCCATCCCACATGGCTTGAATCCATTCAGATCTCATGGTACCCTTTCTGTTGGTCAAGGAGAAAACCTTCCTTCCTTCTTCATCAATTGAAAAACCGGTTGGATCCAACCCCTAACATAATCTTACCCAACCGAGAAATGACTTTCTTCCTGCAGGTGAATGGTATGTTCCAGCCTCTCCCAGTGACCCTTTCTGGTGGACGACTCAGAGCCTATCAGCATGGCACTAAAGTTGTAATCCAAACTGACTTTGCTCTGGTCATGAGCTATGACCTGGTTTACGATGTCCGAGTCACTGTCCCAGGGAGTTACCAGGGCCAAGTGAGTGGCTTGTGTGGGAACTACAATGGACGTAAAGAGGACGATTTCCTGCTCCCTGATGGCAGGGTGGTCTCCGATGTGACTGTATTCGGTGCAGCCTGGAAAGTGCCCATCCCTGGGGCAAGCGGATCCTGCTCAGATGGATGCTCTGGAAATAACTGCCCGGTTTGTGAGGAGAGGAAGAAGGATGTTTTCAAACAGCGCAATTACTGTGGCCTCCTCACTGCTGCAGATGGTCCCTTCAGAGCTTGTCACGACAAAGTAAACCCTAGTGGCTATTTCAGTAACTGCATCTATGATCTTTGCCTGGGCAATGGAGACAGGCCTATCTTATGCAAGAGTATTGAGAGTTATGTATCTGCCTGCCAAGAGGCTGGGGTCTCTGTTCAGCCCTGGAGGAATCAGTCCTTCTGCCGTGAGTATTAACAATTGACCTCTGGGATATATAATTTGATATGTGAAATAGGAGTAGCATTTGATCTAACTCCCTATCACTTCTGGGGACAATTAAAGGAATGGGGTTCTTACCTACCAAGTCCTAAATGGTTTCAGCCCTGAGTACCCTACAATAGGTGTCCCCAACCTGGTTGAACTTGTGGACACTTTTTTTGGATTTTGAAAACAGGTAGTGGGCACCACCACAAAATGGCTGCCATATGAGGTGGGACCAGTCACAAAATGGCTGCCATGAGGGCTGGGTCCAGTCCAAAATATTGGGAGGTTCCAGTAAGTATCCTCTTCTGATAAAGACAGCTGCATCCAAATAGGTACTCCCTTTTGACACAGTATGATAACTTCTGGACTCTTCTGAAGCACTTTTGTAGTGGAATAAAGCCAGACTTATCTCTTTGCTCTAGGGAAGAAGACAGTGGGCACCAGGAACCATACTGGCAGGTGCTATGGTGTCCACCACCAAAACATATTTGAGACCCTAGAGAATTCCAGTTTGAACATAAGCCCACGTCTTTGCAGGCAAAGAAGAATTTACCAGAAATTCATTGTAGCTCCACCCATACTTAGCTCTTAACATTTCTTTATAAAACAATGCTCCTAATTGTCATCATAACATATGGTGATGGAATCTGTGATTTGGTGCCGTACTAGTAGCTATCTTTTCCTTTTCTCGCCAAAATCTTAGTTCAGTTCTCTCCTCTTCCCTTCCCTTTGAAGTAGCACCAGGGATCTTTGCTTCTAATCCATGTGTTCTTTGCATTTAGCTCTGAGCTGCCCAGTCAACAGCCACTACAAGATCTGTGCTGACCTCTGTGCCACCACTTGCGCCAAGATCACAGACCCCAGAACATGTCCTGAAACCTGTGCTGAGGGCTGCCAATGTGACAGTGGCTTCTTCTTTGATGGCCTCAATTGCGTTACGGTGGAACATTGTGGGTGCTTCAGGAATGGCCGCTATTATAGGGTAACTGCTCTTCCAGATATTGTTTTCCCACTCTCTACTTTTATTGCTGTAACAACTTGTTACATGTCAGATTACGTATTTGTCAAAGATACAGCCCAGGGGCCGGAAGCGGCCCATCCAGAACACTTATCTGGCCTGCTAGCAACCTTGATTTTTGGGCAATAGGTCTCTGTTCTGTGCAAAACGTCTTGTGCATAGCAAGTGAAGGGTGGTTATTTAGGTGCTGAGGAGGTGTGTGGGTCATGTTTTGTTGCTGTAACAACTTGTTACATGTCAGATTACATATTTGTCAAAGATACAGCCCAGGGGCCGGAAGCAGCCCATCCAGAACTCTTATCTGGCCTGCGAGCAACCTTGATTTTCGGGCAGTAGGTCTCTGTTCTGTGCAAAACTTCTTGTGCATAACAAGTGAAGGGTGGTTAGTTAGGTGCTGAGGAGGTGTGTGGGTCATGGTCAGTGGTAAAATATCTAAGGTACACATATGGCCCAGCCCAACAAAGTGACATTTATGTCAGATCTGGCCCTCGTAGCAAATGGGTTTGACACCTCTTGCAAGTCTTTCCATGTTCTCTTAGTTCCATGCTTTTTCTAACCAAATATCACAAGTTCTTGTGGTTACCTGCAGAATTTCTCAGGATTCATTAAATAAGAGGGGGGAAATTGCCTGTCTTGTGCTGTTTCTTGGATGTGTAAGAAACACCGTTTTAATCAACGAATTCCCTTGTCACAAGGAGGTACAGAAATGGTGCAATGGTCAGATTATGAGCTGTTATATGAGGGGCTCGTTTATCCCTGTAAATTTCACACTTGATGACCGGCCATCAGAAAACATTCTGCTTGTGGTAATAGGACAATATTGATATGCAATCTGAAAATGGCTCATGGGTGTCTCCTTGAAATGCGATGCCACAAGAATATGTGCATGGCTTGTTACACTGTAATAATGAGGAAGGGAGTATATGTTTGAGATAGATGATATGATAGATGGATGGATGGATGGATGGATGGATGGATGGATGGATGGATGGATGGATGGATGGATAGATAGATAGATAGATAGATAGATAGATAGATAGATGATAGATAGATAGATAGATAGATAGATAGATAGATGATAGATAGATAGATAGATAGATGGAGATAGATAGATAGATAGATAGATAGATAGATAGATAGATAGATAGATAGACAGACAGACAGATAGACAGACAGACAGATAGATAGATGATGGATGGATGATGATGATGATGGACAGATGATGGATAGATTGATAGATGATAGATAGATAGACAGACAAGACAGATAACATATGTGCTAGAATTAACCAATATGGTTTACAGACAAATTAGGATTTAGAATTACTTCCAATGTTTCTTTTGCTTACACTTGTGAGGGATGAGAACATTCAGAAATACCGGGCGTGTTTCCAGTCTTAACCTACGCAGGCCTTCTTGATGTAGTAAAAACCAGCCAATTGCTCCCCTTTCATGTCTCCCGCCAGCCCAATGAGAAAGTTCTGCTGAACGAGTGCCGCCAAAGCTGTACCTGCCTTCCAGGCCAGGGGGTGGTCTGTGAGGCCCACAGCTGCAAAACCGATGAGAAATGTGAGATTCGGGATGGAGTCATGGGTTGTATTAATAAAGGTAAGAAGACATTCAGTGAAGCACAGCAGCTACATGTATGCCGGTGAAAGTCCAGGCCAGATGTGCAGAACTGAGCCCGCTGGACATTGCAGAGCTGGAAAAAGTACAAAGGAGGGCAACTGACATGATGAGGGGGTTGGAGCACCTTCCCTATGAGGAAAGGCTGAAGAGCCTGGGACTTTACAGTTAAGAAAAGAGATGACTAAGAGGGGACACGATAGAGGTTTATAAAATTATACACGAGGTGGAGAGAGTTGACAAAGAGAAATTTTTCTCCCTCTCCCAAAATACTAGAACTCGAGGGCATCCAATGAAGCTGATGGGCAGTAGGTTCAGGACGGACAAAAAGAAATGCTACTTTACACAGAGAGTTATTAAAATGTGGAATTCGCTGCCAGAGGATGTAGTGATGGCCACAGGAATAAACAGCTGTAAAAGGGGATTAGACAGATACATGGAGGATCATGGAAGACCAGGACTACTAGCCATGGTGACTGAGGGGAACCTCCACATACAGAAGCCTCAGCCTCTATGCCCTGTTGCTGGCCCTCCAGAGGAACTGGTTGTCCACTGTGTGAGACAGGATGCTCGCCGACGTGGGGATACAGGGGCTTGCCTCTTTTCTCCAGGGTCGGGGACAAAGGGTGGCGCTAGGGGAACAGCGGTCCGGGAGACGCCCACTTGAGTGTGGGGTGCCTCAGGGCACTGTGCTTTCCCCGATGTTGTTTAACATCTATATGCGCCCCCTTGCCCAGGTGGCTAGGAGGTTTGGGTAGGGTTGTCATCAGTACGCTGATGACACCCAGCTCTATCTGATGTTGGGCAGCCAGTCGGACTCCAGACCGGAAGATCTGGACCGGGCGTTGCAGGCCGTGGCTGGTTGGCTTAGGCTGAGCCGGTTGAAGCTGAATTCGGCGAAGACGGAGGTCCTATGCCTGAGTTGTGGTGGTAAGGGATTGGGGCTCCCACTCCCAACCTTCGATGGGGCGGTATTAGTGCCAGCGTCGGAGGTTAGGAGCTTGGGAGTGCGCCTGGATCCCCTTCTGACAATGGAAGCCCAGGTAGGGGCCACTGCAAAATCGGCCTTTTAACATTTTCGGCTGGTTCGGCAGTTGGTTCCCTTCCTCGACTGCTGCGACCTGGCTACAGTGATCCATGCGACGGTCACCTCGAGATTGGATTACTGTAACGCTCTCTACATGGGTCTGCCCTTTTCCCAAATTCAGAAGCTGCAGCTGGTGCAGAATGCCACGGCCAGGCTGTTGATGGGCCTCCCGCGTCGGGAGCACATCCAACCAGTGCTTAGGCTGCTGCACTGGCTGCCAACGGCTTACCAGATTCGCTTCAAGGTGTTGGTGCTTACCTTTAAAGCCCTATATGGCCAGGGTCTGGCTTACCTGAGGGACCGCCGTTCCCCATTTTTGCCCCAGAGAGCACTACGGTCTGGGGCCCAACAGCGTCTATCTATCCTGGGCCCCAAGGAGGCGAGACTTGCCATTACCAGGGCCAGGGCGTTTTCGGTGGCAGCTCCTTACTGGTGGAACGAGCTCCCAGATGACATCAGGGCCCTGCAGGACCTCTCACAGTTCCGCAGGGCCTGCAAGACGGAGCTCTTCTGCCAGGCTTTCAAATAGGAGTCGCCACCATAGTTACCATCAATCCGGAATATCGGACTGGCCCACTCTGAGCCTCACCAGCGAACATCTGGACCGTGGGACTGATTTTAAGACCTGAAGACAGAAGGAATGCAGACAATAGCCATTTGTCTTAAGGTTACTCTGATGTAGCGAGCATTTTATTGTTAAGATTGTTTTTAAGGGATTTTAATATTTTATTGTTTTATTTGTATCGGCCTGTCGGCCGTCTTCTGTAAGCCGCCCAAAGCCTGTTTACAGGGTGGGCGGGGTATAAATGTAAATATAAATAATAAATATGTAATATGTAAAACAATTAAATAAAACACATAAATACATAAACAGGAAGGAGGGCTAATAAGATTTAGTGAGAAAATACCAAATGGGAAAAAACGTCTTCATGTGTGGGTGGGCAGAAGTCAATGATAGAGGGAGAAAGATGAATCTCCTCAGGGAAGGAGTTCCAAAGTTCCTCTGTCACGACCAAGAAGGCCTTTTTTCATAGTGTTGCCATTGCCAGGCCTCATCTTACCTGTGGTGGGTAGCTGTGTGTGGTAACCATAGAGTTTCCCCCTGAATCCTAGAGAGTTGGCATGCAACAGCCCCAGCATGATAACATCACTACCGGTGACACCATTGTGTCGGTGGCATCCCTGCAGGATGCTGCTGTTTGGGGGTGGGGCTTCCCTAGCTGGCAGCAGATTGGGGTCCCCAAAATTGAGGGATCCCCTGGCCTGACTCGGGGAATGGCAATCCTTTTTTTCAGGTTGCCACCTGTCTAGATTTAGACGTCACCTGAAGCAGGGCCTCTAGGGTGACCAGAGTGGTCAGGTCCACTGAGAGGTGGGGTTATTTTTGTCTCCCCCCCCCCAATCACTATAGCTAAAACTGGTCTGCCTTTTTATGGAAACAGCCACTCACTCAAGTTTTTCCTTTCATTTCAGATCCTTGTAAGGCCTTGAAATGTCGACCCAAGGAAACGTGCAAAGTGGAGAACCACCAAGCCACGTGCGTCCCTGACTTCTCAGCAAGCTGCTGGGGCTGGGGAGACCCACACTACCACACCTTCGATGGGAGGGACTTTGACTTCCAGGGCACCTGCACTTACATCATTGCCAAGTACTGCGGAAATGACTCTACCCTGGTACCCTTCTCTGTAGAGGAGAAGAACGACAACAGGGGAAACCAGGCGGTGTCCTATGTGCGGCTGGTCAACATCTACGTCTACGGCTACAAGATCTCCATATACAAGCAGGAGTCTGGGAGAATCCGGGTAGGCTGGATAGCCAAAAGTAGGGGGATATGGGCCCTGCTAAATGTAGGGTTGGATTCCAGAAGACACTTCCCAGTGGCAGAATTAAACTTTCCTTTCTCCCACCTCCCACTGAGGTCCATAGATCTCCATGAAACGCTGCTTCCTGGGAGATGGGAGGCCCTGAAGAATAAGGGAGGTCCATAGAACTCAGTGTAAATTGCCAATTTAGTCTGGATGCAACCCATAATGTTCATTTGTGATCCTCAACATTAGGCTAACACAGGCCCATAGCTACAGTGGGTCATCTCGGGGCCAGGCCCTCCTGACTTACTGCCCACAGGCCTCCCAACTTCCCATCCAGCCAATTTATTTTATTTTTCACGCGTGCCACAATTGCACCGAACCAAGCCATTGCCCTGCCCTGCCTGCCGGTGCCCACGCCTCTTCCCCCCCCTCCCTTTCTCTCCCTCTCATTGCTTTTTAAAAAAACTTTAACTCTCTTGTCGCTCCTGACACAGCCTGGGTGTGTGTGCAGCAGTGCCCCCCAACTTATTTAAATGTCCCCCCAAAGTAAAAAAATCCTGGCTATGGCCCTGGGCTAACACGTAGGGTATTAAATTGTACAGTAATTATTATTTAGATGTTTATACCCCACTTCTCTCCCCAATGGAGACTTGGAGCTATTAAAGCATCATTGTCTTCTCCAGTGAGTGCTCCCTTCTCATTTGGTGGCCAAAGTATTTGAGCTTCAGTTTCATTATCTGGCCTTCCAGGGAACAGTCAGGGTTGATTTCTTTTAGGATTGACTGATTTGATCTTCTTGCAGTCCAAGGGACTCTCAAGAGTCTTCTCCAGCACCATAGTTCAAAAGAATCTATTCTTCGGCGCTCGGCCTTCCTTATAGTCCAACTCTCGCAGCCATACATGACTACTGGGAATACCATTGCTTGGACCATGCGTATTTTTGTTGGCAGGGTGATGTCTCTACTTTTTATCATGCTGTTTAGGTTCGCCATCGCTTTCCTCCCAAGGAGCAGGCGTCTTTTAATTTCATGGCTGCAGTCACAGTCTGCGGTGATCGAGCATCATTATCTCCCCTTTTATTTTATCCCCACAATAACTCTCCTTAGAGAGCCAGTGTGATGTAGTGCTTAAGAGTGACGGACTCTAATCTGAAGAACCGGGTTAGATCCCACACTCCTCCACATGAAGCCAGCTGGGTGACCTTGGGTCAGTCACAGCTCTTTCAGAGCTCTCTCAGCCCCCCCCAAAAATAAGTCTAGCTCGCCACCTAGTGGTGCATAACGCTAAAAGAGCTAGGACTTCAGGCTGCCAGACAATATTAGGATCTCCGGCTATACTCTGCTCAGTGCCAAATGATGATGGTTGTTCTTGTTGTTGTTCTTAACAACCTCCTTGTAATTTAGGTTAGGCTAAGAGCGAGTGATGGGTTCAAAGTCACCCAGTGAGCTTCCACCACCAAGTGAGGATTTGAACTTGGGTCTCCCAGATCTTAGTCCGACACTCTAGGCCCTACAACATGCTGGCTCTATATTAGGGCTGATGTGAGTTTACATAGGAGCTTGAAGACTGTCCTGGATCAGCGTTCAGCAGCTCTTGTTTATATGCAAGCGTGGAATCTGTGGAAACTGTGGCCCTTTTACTCACAGATCACTCAGATTTAAGTCCGCATCTGAATGTCTGCTAATTCCCCACCTGGACATAAACAAGGAATGATGACTCAGGATCCTCGCTAAATCACATCAATAAGTTAGGCTACAATAGCCATCTGGGAGTAAGAGATGAGCTGTAACTCTCCCAGGCAAGAATGTGCAAGAGGATAACGGTGATTCAGTGCAAACTGCGTTGATAATAAACAACCCCGCTGACCCACTATGAAGATAGTCCAGGACAAAAGCTCTGTACCAAACCAAGCTTATTAAATACGGGGGGGAAACCACTCAAACACTAGATTGGCAAGTTTTCCCTGAATCATTTTACATAATGAACAGCTAATTCTTTCCACTTGAAGAACAGCATATCCTTTATTCCCCCTCCAAATGCAATTTTCAAATGTTGGCCTGCTTCAGTATTAAATATTCTACCCCACCCTTAGGGACAGATTGTAGAAGAGTAGCCATTCAGTCTCTCATAGCTAAGTAGACAAGGAGTCCCACGGCACTAATTTATTCCAGCATGTCGTTTTCTAAGAGCCTCCTTCATCAGATGCATGAAGCAGACTCTTTAAAGATTCAAACGTTTTTACCCTGCCCTACCTCCATGGAGTCTGGGACAGTGTATATTCTCTTCCTTGCTCCATCTTATCTAAGCAACAACCCCATGAAGTAGGTTAGGCTGACAGAGAGAGAGGGAAAGTAGAATAACTGGCCCAGGGTCATGGCAGACTGGAGAATCCAACACTAACCACTGCACAACACTGCCGTACTGTTCCAGATCACTCGGAGTTACCGAATATCAGCAAATTCTTTGCCTGCGTGTGAACAAGGATGACTGATGGCTTGTATATGAATGGTTTGCACTCAGGTTCGGAGCCTTTTCCAAGAGTTTATTTGGATCAGAAATGCGGCAGAAAGATCACCGTGGCCCATTCTGCATCTAGCATTCGCTCCGTTGTTTTACTAAACCCACACTAGAACAGAAGAAGATGGGGCTCAAAACCACATTCAAGTACCCCAGGCCAATGCCATACTGACTGCAGAATCACCCCTGAATGGCCGTAAAAAAGCCATAAATCTATGCAGATGGTACCATAAACCCGAGAGATCAAAGGAAGTGAAACCGGCATGCAGTGTGGCGGCTACCATAAAACCTGACAATCAAAGAAAGTGGAAGTGGCATGCAGTGTGGAGGGGGGTTTCTGTTCCAACGTAAAATAGCGGAGTGAATGCTAGATGCAGAATGGACCTGTGAATCCTAAAATTCTCTTTAAATTGAAGGAATTGTTTACCGATTTCTCTCCAGGGAACAATCATTCTTTCAGAGGGGGATGCTAAGGATCTTTAACAAGCCAGGAGCCTCATCCAGCTCCAACAGCTATGACTCCCTGCTACTTAAAGCACAAAATGTCAAATCGAAGAGGGATGTAGAATGTAATTCACAGCAGAAGAGCAATGTTCCATTATATATGTTCACTGCAGCCACTGGACAATACTATTTGATTGCTGCTGTTTTTAATTTATTATTTATTTTCTTGGATGGGAAGAGCGACTCCCTAAGGTTACTTATTTTGTATTGATGTCACTTTGATTTTGGTTAGCTGCCTTGTGCATGTTCCTGGAAAGGCGGGGAACAAATTAAAGAAATATATTCATCAACACAAGTCAGAATTGAGTTGATACAAAAGACTGAGGATCAGTGGTAGAGCATCTGCTTTGCACCCAGAAGGTCACAGGTTCGATTCCCAGCATCTTCAGCTAAAGGGATTAGGCAGCAGGCAATGCAAAAGACCTCCGCCTGAGACCCTGGGGACAATATTGACCATTATAGAACAATGGGGTTGGGTCCAACCAACTCTTCCACTGGTGGAAAAGATGGGTTCCCCCTTGATCATCATAAAAACGATGCTAGGGATCATGGGACTTGCACGGACAAAAGCCATGTGGACTGGTGAGTGTACAGAAGAGAGGGGTTGGGCAAGCTTGAGCAAAGACACTGGATGGATCAAACCCCTGGTCTGACCACAGCTTCATGTATGTTCATATGCAAGTGTCAAGTCTCAGTCCTGGAAAACATGAACAAATAATAGACACTGCCTCTTAGTTAGGATTGCTAACTCTGGCTTGGGAAATTTCTGGAGATTTGTGGGCTGTGCTTAGGGAGGGTGAAATTTGGGGAGGGGAGGAAGCTCAGCAAGGGTGTAATGACATTGAGTCCACTCTCTGAACCTGCCATGTTCTCCAAGGGAAGTGATCTGCAGATGAATTGTAATTCCCAAACCCCCATGTCATAGCTGTAGGTTGGCAACTCGACCCTGAGTAGTGGCAAAATACATGACCCCATTCACTGCCAGTCCCCACATACAGCCGATCTTCCAGATGAGAGTTTGAACTTTCACACCTCTTCTGATGCCACCATTGGCTTGCCTGTTCCCCTTGCTCAAACACCAGGCTCTGGGTAGTGTGCAGTCTTCTGAAGACAGTAATGCTTGGAAAAACAAAGGAATAAATTCATTTTGGATTCTTTTCTTCCCCATTCTTGCTCTAGTTAAATGATGAAATTACCAGCCTACCGGTGACTCTTGAAAATGGCAAGATCAAGATTCACTCGACTGGCCTCAAAGCTGTCTTGCAAACCAATTTTGGCCTCCAAGTGACCTATGACTGGAATTGGCATCTGATCCTGACTCTCCCCAGCAGCTATTATGGGTCAATGTGCGGGCTCTGTGGAAACTTCAATCAAAATCCAGCCGATGACATGACCTATCTCAACGGCACCGTGGCCTCCTCCATCGTAAGCTGGGCGAGCAGCTGGAAAGTCCACGACAGGGATCCCTTCTGCTGGGATTTCTGCCGAGGGAATTGTCCGACATGCGACGATAGCAAAAGACAGCTGTATGGAGGCCCGCAGTTCTGTGGGGTAATCAGCCAAACCACTGGAGGACCCTTTAGAGACTGCCACGCCAAAGTGAACCCGGATGATTTCTTTGATAGTTGCATTTATGATGTGTGCCTAAATGGGGGAGCCAAGAACATCCTCTGCCAGGCGCTGGAGGCCTATGCCACGACCTGTAGGGAGGCAAACGCTACTGTGTATGATTGGAGGACACCTTCTGGCTGTGGTAAGAGCTGGTAGACCTCCTGATGGCAGCTGGGTTTAGCTACTGTATGACACAGAATGTTAGACTGGATGGGCCATTGGCCTGATCCAACATGGCTTCTCTTATGTTCCTATGCTCTACATACTTAGTGCTTGGGGGGCAACAGTGGGAGGGCTTCTGGAGTTCTGGCCCCACTGGTGGACCCCCTGATGGCACCTGGGTTGGCCACTGTGTGACACAGAGTGTTGTACCAGATCAGCTGTTGGCCTAATCAAACATGGCTTCTCCTATGGTCTTATGTTCTTCCCCAAACACACAATGGCCTATATGTTTTCCTTGGTGATACACTACAGCTGGACTTGCAAGACTGCAGCTGCTGGTGGTTGTGCATCTCAGTGACACAACAGTGATTCATAAACCCCAAATACCCATATTTGTATAGATCTCCGAAGAATTTTCACTCCACAAACTTATTATTTGGAAAGATCTTTGAGAACATAGGGGTGCCCAGGAGGGCACGAAGATCTCCCAGACTTACAACTGATCTCTGGCACGATTGCGCTGATGGGCCAGGCAGGGCACGGAAAGTCCAAAACTCAGTCTGAGGTCAGGGCACCAGATAAGGCAGAGAAACGTGAGCAGAGTCCAAAATACCAAGTCAAAACACAGTCTAAGGTTACCGGAGATTGCAGGCAGAGTTTAGAAGCCGAAAGCCGTTCGTCAGGAGTCAGGTTACACAGTCCGAAGTCAGGGAGCCAGAGAAACGATGTCACGCAAGCCAAAGTCAGGAGCCGGGGAGTCAAGATGAAAACCAGGAGACAGGAACGCAGGATCCGGGGTGCAGCGATTCGTCTATGCAATTAGTTGCCAGCACGAGTTGGGGATCTGAGAGAGCCGCCTTAATAGCCCGTTCCGCTTGTTAGCCAATTACCAGCCGCTAACAGGGTCCTGGCTCCGGTCAGTACTCTGGGCTTAGAGGCCGCCGACCTCGCATGCATGCCTCCTTACGCCGGGTTGCCGTGTCCCATCACCTTTGTTCTCACAAATGAGTCACAGGTGGGGGGGAATCAGGAGGCGTGGTGCTTGTGCTTGGCTCTGCAGGTGTGGCTCCAGGTGTAAACTCTCCTAGTAGCTGGTGCTCATCCTCCGCAGGACTTAGACCTGGGCTGCAGAGAGCTCACCCTCGGATGTTGAGGGTGTAGAATCCCCGGGGTCAGGGTCCACGGGGTCGGGCTGCACTGCGGGCATGACAGTCTCCAGACTACAGAGATCAGTTTCCCTGGAGGGTAGAATCTATGGCATTCTACTCTGCTGAGGTCCCTCCTCTCCTTAAACCCCGCCCTCCGCAGTCTCTGCTCCCAAAGCTTCAGGAATTTCCAAACCCAGAACTGGCATGGCTATATGGAGTACACCTCCTTCCATGCTGTTTTCTTGACCTGCAATGGTCCCGGGATGCTGTCTGGCCCATTGGTGAAATCCAGGACCCTTAGGACCATTTTGGATCATGAAAATGTTGTGGGGGGATAGGGTTGCCAGCTCTGTGTTGGGAAATGCCTGGATACTGGGGGTGGTGGTGGAGGGACTTCAATGCCATAGAGTCCATAGAGTCAGTTTGGTGCAGTGGTTAGGAGCGCGGACTCTAATCTGGGAGAACCAGGTTTGATTTCCCCACTCCTCCACACACAGCTGCTGGTGTGACCTTGGGCCAGTCATGAGTTCTCTCAGAGCTGTTCTCTCCAGAGCAGTCCTCGAAAGAGCTCTCTCAGCCCCACCTACCTCACAGGGTGGGGAGGGGAAGGGAAAGGAGATTGTAAGCTGCTCTGAGATTCCGAGTGAAGAGCGGGGCATAAATCCAATCTCCTCCTCCTCCTCCTCCTCCTCCTCCTCTTCTTCTTTTCTTCCAAAGTGGCCATTTTCTTGAGGTGAACTAATATCTGTCCTCCTGGAGTTGGAGTAGGGGGAGATCTCCAGCTACCGCCTGGAAGCTGGCAACCCGGGGGGGGGGGCTGAAGCTTGTTCTCCACGCACACTGCAGTTGCAATCCAAATATGTCAGGGAATGAGGAGAACCTGCAATTCCTTTTCGACAGTTCTCCCGGACATAGGCCAGAGCCCTGAACTCAACCAGTGTACTCCATGATGTGTGAATCAGCCAGCCCGGCCTTTTATATACAGCATTAGCGATAGGCCTGACCAAGCAGTGCTTTTAGCACATGTCTTCAATGGCTGACCTCTGTCGCTCTTCTCCCCTTGCCCTTTTCCAGCCTTGCCCTGCCCCGAGAACAGCCACTACGAAGCCTGTGGAAATGCCTGTCCGGCCAGCTGTTCTGACCGCACTGCCCCCTCCTCCTGCCAACAGCCCTGCTTGGAGACCTGCCAGTGCAATAACGGCTTTGTCCTCAGTGTCGACAAGTGTGTACCCGTTGGCAGCTGTGGCTGCACATACAATGGATACTACTACAAGCCCGGGGAGGAATTCTGGGCCGACGAGAACTGTGGCACTCGTTGCAAGTGTGATCCCAGCCTGGGCTTTGCAGTGTGCAGTCCGGCCGGCTGCAAGGCCAACGAAAGGTGCACCGTGGTCAACGGGGTCCGGGGCTGTAATCCCATCAGCTTTGCTACCTGCTCAGCATCGGGAGACCCTCACTACACCACCTTCGACGGAAAGAGATATGATTTCATGGGCACCTGCATTTACCAGCTGGCCGGACTGTGCTCCAGTGACCCGACCCTGCAAGCTTTCAGCATCCAAGTGCAGAACAACAACCGAGGCAACACAAAAGTGTCATACACCAAAGTGGTGACGTTGGAGGTCTACAATACAACCATTGCGCTGAGCCAGGAGTATCCACGGAGAATCCAGGTAAGGGACACAGTCAAAACTGCTAGATGTATAGGTGTATTTGTGTGTTGAGGACAGAGGGATTCCTTGTGCCTAAAAGCACTTTTGGAGTCTGATTACGACTACTGAGAGTGCATTCACACATACTAAATAATGCAATTTCACTTCAGCAGCCATTTGCAAGTGGAATTTTGCCATTTCACACGGTATAATCCAGTTGCAAAGAAGATATTGGATTTATACCCTGCCCTTCACTTCCCGAAGGAGTCTCAGAGGGGCTTACAATCTCCATTCCCTTCCCCTCCCCCCCAATAGACACCCTGTGAGGTAGGTGAGGCTGAGAGAGCTCTTTCAAGGACTGCTCATGAGAGAACAGCTCTGAAAGAACTTGTAACTGACCCAAGGTCACACCAGCAGCTGCATGTGGAGGCGTGGGGAATCAAACGAAATTCTCCCAGATTAGAATCCATGCTCTTAACCACTGCACCAAACCGTAGTGGTGTGAAAGCGCCTGAGACACCTGCAGTTAGCAGCCTTAAAACCCGACATATAGCAAGCTACTGAGAAGAGTATTGGTGGAGTGCTTTCCGGAACATATTTTGCAGGAGCTTCTGTTATACTCCCACCAAGTAATTTATGCAAGTATAATTTGTCAATACTCATTGAAATTCTTCCGGAAGCTTGGCAGCAATACGCTAATGTAATGAACTGTGGCAGACGGCAGTAAATCTGTCGAGCCATCTTAACTTTAGTTGTTAGGTCTATTCGCATTCCGAATGTGGGTGAAACAAGCCAGCTATATTGCAATGCCATGACTGGGACGGGCAATAAAATATATGCATTTCATGGTCAGGCGAGTGTTGGCCTCATTAGACATCCTGGCAAAAAGTCAGCATCAGACTCCAGTAACAGAGGTGCAAACCCTTTCTGTTCCTTCTGCTTGGCCCCTGGGATTTGGGGGGGAACCCCACAGCCTCCCCAAGTCTCCATTCAGTATCTCCACTCCTTCTCCTCACTTCCCAGGGGTGTCAACAACAAATTGGATACCACGTGCTGCCACCAACAAGTATGAGAGCATCTCCTGCTAGACAGAGTTGTACATCTAGCACTCTGTACCTGTACTGCTGTTTTTAGAAGCTTTGCCTAGTTGCTGTGCCTCCTACTAAACTCCTACAAGCAAGCGTGGGAGTAATCTATTGCAACTCTGCAAACTTGAGCTATCATGCTGCAGGAATGGCAAGCTTACCTGCTGCCCCTCCCTGTTACCACTCTTCAGATAGCAAGACTGAATAAGTGTGGTATTTTTCTAGAGATCAGGATTAAAAATATGAGAAAGTTTATTAAATTAATTAAAATAATATACTTGTCCTGTCCAGGCTGAGCAAGGGACCAAAGAAAAGGTGAAAACATTCAGTCCCCTTTCCTTACACTGGGAGCTTATCCTTAGCAATGTTTAATTAGGACAAGAGTTGCCTCGGGGCGCACCCGCCGTTTGCCCCGACACAAACATGTTAATTTCACACCCGAGGCTGCGGGGCTGCATTTTGACTCGCAGCTTTGCCCGATTTCCTCCGCAGTTTCGTGATACTGGTTTTTGAGGATCACAAAACTGCGGAGGAAATCGGGCGAAGCCGCGGGTCAAATGCAGCCCTGCAACCTCGGGTGTGAAATTTACATGTTTGTGTCGAGGCAAACGGCGGCTGCGCTGCGAGGCAGCTCTAGTGAGAAATCGCCCCTTCTGTTCTATGGCTGGCAAAACACTTTCCAAAGGTACAAGCAACCGAGCCGTCATGAAGAAACTACCTTAAAATTACAGATAGCAATACACTAATAAGGTTGTTATAGAACTGATATTGTGCCTGTGAATGACCAAAAGCAAGATGCATGAGAGCTTTTTCATCATGTCCTGAGTTTAAATAACTTGTGTTTCTCCTTTGGGATGACCTCACCGTCCCTTCCTGTCCCTAAGAGCTTACTTAAGTCTTCTCAGCTTTATGGTTGTAGCTGTGACTTGCTAGAAGGGTCCCAGGTGGTAAACCATTGGCCTGCTTTGGCTAGAGTCATTAGCATAACCAAGAGCTCGGGTGCTCTGTGCTTGGAGATTGATGGCTCCACCCCCCTCCCTTCCTGCCAGCTATGAGTTTGCACCTGGGTTCTTGAGAATATGCAGAGTGTGGTCCCACTGACTGAAATATTGGGGGGTGGGATTCTTGGGTGGATGGCATTCCTTCACATCTGCTTTGGGGGTTTCCCAGCATTTAATCTTAATTGGAGTCATCCCAGTTTCTTAAGACTTAAAGGATTTGCCCATGAATCCTCTTTGCTGAAGTACCTCCAGTAATGCAAACCCATGAAGTACCTCTAAGTACTGCAAGCAGCATACCTAGGCAATACAATAAACAACGCAATAAAAACAACCATGTAGGAATGCCAATTAACTGCAATGCCAATTAAACATAAGTACATAAGAAGAGCTGCACTGGGTCAGACCAGCAGTCCATGGAGTCCAGCAGTTCATGGAGTCCCTGAGAGGACCAATAAACAGGCCATAGAAGCCAAGGTCTTTCCCTGGTGTTTCTTCCCAGCACTGGTATTCAGAAGCTTACTGTCTATGGACATGGAGGATCCCTTTAGACAGCATGGATGGAAGCCATGGATGGACCTCTCTTCCACGAACCATTTCTGCATATATTCTCTAAATCACCCATTTTACCTGGGCATCTTTCATTTTGGGAGGTGCCGTAGCTCAGTGGTAGAGCATCTGCTTTGCATGCCGAAGGTCCCAGGTTGAATCCCTGGCATCTCCAGTTGGAAGAACCAGGGGACAGGTGATGTAAAAGACCTTCACCCAGGCCTGTAGCTACAGTGGGGCACCTTGGGGCTAGCCCCCCCCAACTTACTGGCAAGGCCCCATGACTCCCCATCCAGCCCACAGCCCCTGAGTAGCAGTGGGTGCAGGGAAGGAGCTGGGTATTCCAGGGCAGCTGTCTGGTGTGAGGGGCCAGTTACGGTGGCTGTGCAGAGCCAGACAGCACTTCTCTATTTCCCCCAGAAAGTCTATTTTCCCTGGAAAGTACCTGTCACTGGTGAGCTCTCGGGCTCCTGGAATCCAGCACGGGGTTCCTGCACCCCACTTTCTTGCATGTCTCTCTCTCCCCCACGGCCTCCCAGACTGGCAAGGGCAGAAAGGTAAGTTAATTAATTTCAACATAAGGTTGTTGTCGTTCAGTCGCACAGTCGAGTCCGACTCTTCGCGAACCCATGGACAAGATCACGCCAGGCCCTCCTGTCTTCCGCCGTCCTCTGAAGTTGGCTCAATTTCATGTCCGTTGCATCTATGACACTGTCTAACCATCTCATCCTTTGCCATCCCCGTCTTCTTTGACCTTCAGTCTTTCCCAGCATCAGGGTCTTCTCCAGTGAGTGCTCCCTTCTCATTGGGTGGCCAAAGTATTTGAGTTTCAGTTTCATTATCTGGCCTTCCAGGGAACAGTCAGGGTTGATTTCTTTTAGGATTGACTGATTTGATCTTCTTGCAGTCCAAGGGACATAAGGTAATTAACTTTAATTGAATTACCTTTGATTCTATTAGCCAATGCCCCCTAAGACATTTAAATCCCCCCCCGACTTAAAAATCCCTGGCTATGGGCCTGCCTTTACCTCAGACCCAGGAGAGCCCCTGCCAGTCTAAGTAGACAATACTGACTTTGATGGATCAATGGTCTGATTCGATACAAGGCAGTACATTCAGAAGTTCAATTCTCAGTCTCACTGTTGAGACATTATAACAGATTTAAGAGTGTATACACACGAAGAAGTAACCGGATGTGTATTGGGACAAGTGGTGATGGTTCCTGTCATATCCCATTCCAGGTCAACGGAGTCTTCGTGAACCTGCCTTTCTATCAGGATGGCAAGATAAAGGCCTACATCAGTGGGGCCCAGGCCTTCGTCCAGATGGACTTTGACCTGACAGTCACCTTTGACTGGAACAGCTACGTCAAGGTCATCATACCCAATACCTATGCCAATGCCACTTGCGGCCTCTGTGGCAACAACAACCTGAATCCCAACGATGACTTGACCGTGAAGAACGGGGGCCCAGCAACCAGCATTCCCCAGTTTGCAGAAAGCTGGAAGGTGGCCGAAGTCCCCGGTTGCTCAGTGGGATGCACTGGGAGCGATTGCCCGCCATGTGAGGAGGCACAGAAACAGACTTACAAGGGTGACCGCTATTGTGGGATCCTCATCAAAAAGGATGGGCCCTTCAGGCGATGCCATGGAACCATTGATCCGGCGCCCTACTTTGATGATTGCGTGTTTGATACCTGCCAGTACCACGGCCAACATGACACCCTGTGCAATGCCATCGGTACCTACGTGGCAGCCTGCCAGGCCCTGGGCATCCAGATCGACCCGTGGAGATCAAACTCCTTCTGCAGTAAGTATTCCCTCTTGAATCTGCGTTTCCTCTGTGGGAAACTGCTGAGGGAGGGCACATAACACACAAACACAACGTGTGGGAGCCGCCAGAGCTTAAAATTAAACTCATTTTGAAAACCTGACATTTTGGGTTGAGAGTTTCCCCTCCCCAAATTTATTCCCGCTTGAAACCCGCATATTTGAAGATGTCAGACCATGGACATATGGCACAGCGGAATTCGCACTGGGATGCTGCTGAGGAAATAAAGTTCACACCGAGCCTGTTTTTATATGTAGTAAAGAAATATGAGTCCTGAACTCCATTCAAGATAGGATAGAGCAGCCCCGTAGCTAGGCAGTTTTCGGGGGGGGGGACAAGACAGGTTGGGGGGGCACCACTGATCCTTACAGAAAGCCACCAGTCCTTTTCTCTCTGGGTGCCTACTCACGTGTATTGTGGCAAGCAGCAATTCAACTGGTGCCGCTACGGCACCTCAGAGAGGCAGCGATTAGTCATGCCGCACACCAGGGGTGCGTTCAGATGTACAGCTAATCCCAACATTCTGCCGGCTCAAATTTGATCCCGATCTTTGTAATCCATCCTCACACGACCAGACATCCCCCGGGGGAATCGCCTTACCGTGCGCTGCTTCCGCTGTGGATTGTCTAGAAGGCGGCCACTGAAGGAGGCATGCGTGGTGGGGTTTTTTTTTAAAAAAAAAACCTTTTTGCGCATGCACATAGGCATGATATCACGGCCTTGTTTATCTGCACATGTACAGAATCAAGATTTTTTTAAAATGGCACCCGTTCGGGATGGTCTGACGTCAGACCATCCCAAATGGGCTCCATTTTTAATTGCGCGCTGGAACGATCAGATGGGGGAAAGTCCGCGAGTAGCCCATCGGAACCGAAAACTCCAGATTTAAAGTAGTATCTTTTTAGTACGGCTCCGAGGCACGGCAAAACGGGATGCTCACGGAAGACGAACATTTCCCAGATGTTGATGTCTGATCATTACATTTAAAGTCATGAGGCACCAGTGCCTCGCACGGATCTAAAGAGCCGTCTGAACGCACCCAAAGACTGTTTTATTGAGAGAGGGGTCTTTTCTCTGCTGCTTTGCCAGCAGGTGCTGGAAAGGGTTAGATGCACTGAGATCCGGTTTTCTAGAAAGGGTGGGGTCGGAGCAGCCGTCTTCCCAGCTCACCTCCTCTTTTCCTTCTGGAGGGAACTTCTCTTTGCAACCCTCTCCTTGCAAGGAGGGGTGCAGAGTTGGTGCAGAGAGGAAGCACAAAGGCTGGGAGGAGGAGGAGGAAGTGAGTGTAAGCAAGCAAGCAAAGGAGGAAGAGAGGTTCATGAATGCGAGGAGACAAGGAGGACAAGGCCTGAAAAGGAAATATGTGGCTGGATAAAATTGAAAAGAGAGACTCTCAGCATCCTACGCCAGCCAACCACGAGGCACGCAGGCCTCTCAGTCGTTGCCAACTCGCCGGTCCCCTCAGAAACAGGAAGCAAGGAGGAACTGTTCTGCCGAGGCTGCGCAGCAGCGGCTGCTGGCAAGGAGAGGAGGTGGAAACTACACTTTTGTGTGGCGTGGAAGGAATATGGTGGGGTGGGCTCAGATTTGGGACATTGGAAATCTGGGAGGGGGCATTGCCCTATGTGCCCCTGGCTAGCTACGGCCCTGGGATAGGGTAGGGACAGCGTTCTAACTAGCTATACTAGGATGGACAGAGAGGCACAAGGTTGCAAGATAGGAAAAGAGAGAGAAGGTGTGAGATGGAAGGAAGATTCCCTGAGATTTCCCAGCTCACCTCCTCTTTTCCTTCCGAAGGGAACTTCTCTTTGTAACCCTCTCCTTGCAAGGCGAGGTACAGAGTCAGTGCAGAAAGGAGACACAAAGGCTGGGGGGAGGAGGAGGTGGTGGTGAGTGTAAGCAAGCAAGCAAAGAGGAAGAGAGGCTCCTGGATGTGGGGAGACAAGGAGGACAAGGCCTGAAAAGGAGATATGTGGCCGGATAGGAGATAAAATTGGAAAGAGAGACTCTCAGCATCCTAGGCCAGCCAACTACGAGGCACGCAGGCCTCGCAGTCGTCGCCAGTCCCCTCAGAAACAGGAAGCAGGGAGAAACTGTTCTGCTGAGGCTGGGGCTGCTGGCAAGGAGAGGAAGTGGAAACTACGCTTTTGTGTGGCGTGGCAGAAAAATGGTGGGGTGGGCTCTCAGATTCGGGACACTGGAAATCTGGAAGGGGGCGTTGCCCCATGTGCCCCTGGTTAGCTATGGCCCTGGGATAGGGTAGAGACAGTGTTCTAACTAGCTGTACTAGGATGGACAGAGAGGCACATGGTTGCAAGATAGGAAAAGAAAGAGAAGGTGTGTGAGATGGAAGGAAGATTCCCTGAGAGGAGCAATCTACATTATTTATTTATTTGGTTTATATACCTCCCTCCCTGTGGACAAGCTCAGGGCGGTTTACATCAATCATAATAAATACCTATAAAACAACTATTAAAATACCAATTTAAAACAACATAAGACATTTAAAAAATGTAAAAGAGCAGTAGAAAGGAAGGGATACACAGGTTGAAATTAAAAAAAAACTTATCAGAGCAGTAGAAAGGAAGGGATACACAGGTGCTGACCAATCTATCACTGTAGCTCTCTATGGTCACCCTCTGAAGTCTGAGCTTAAGAGACAGTGCAAAGTCCTTCACTTCCAACACAAATAATCCAGTACTGCTTTTGGCAATAACCTCTGCCTGTTCTATGGGCCAAGGAGGACCAGCAGAGGCTCAGTGAGTCCAGACTCTCTGGGAGTCAGGCATCCACTGCTTGCTTATAGGACTGACTTCCAGTCCACTGTGTAGATGAAACCAGAGATTTCCCCCTTGGGCCCTGCAGCATCATGAGCTATGCATTTATTCAGCGATATCAGGTTCTGAAGTAGCAGCCATGTTGTTGAGACTGAAATAGTAAACTAACAAATGGATAGGTTAAACAAGGAGGTTGTTACAGCACATGTTGAATGGAAATAGTAGAAGTCACTCCATAAACGGTTTCAGCAACAGATGACCGTAGATCTAAATCCAGTTCCAACACCCAATGAGCCACCTCTCCAAAATAATGTCTAGATTGGGGTCCCCAACCTTTTGAAGCCCATGGGCAGCTTTGGAATTCTGACACGGCATGGTGGGTCCAGCCACAAAATGGCTGCCCCAAAATGGCTGCTTCAGGAGGTGGAGCCAACCACAAAATGGCCACCGCCACTTACCTTCAGGCACAAAATAAAGATCCTTGTGCTGTGTTGGCAGCTGATGCCAAAGCAAAAAAAAAAATCTGCACCAGCCAATCAAATCTCCAATGGCCAATCAGAAGTCTTGCTGGGCAAAAGCTTCACTTGGCCTTGCCCACATTCCAAAAACACTTGGTGGGCATCAGGAAAGGTGTTGGCAGGTACCATGGCACCCACAGGCACCACGTTGAGGACACCTGGTCTAGATCACCTTGAAACTGATTCTGGTTTGCCCTCTCTCCCAGGTCCCAGATGCTCACGTAACTCTCACTACGAACTCTGTGGAAACGGCTGCCCCGCTACCTGCCTCGGTCTCTCGGCTCCAGAGGGCTGCGAAGTATCGTGCAAGGAAGGATGCTATTGCGATGCTGGGTTTCTCCTGAGTGCAGACCAATGCGTTCCTATCGGGAACTGTGGCTGTGTGCACCAAGGCAAATACTACAAGAAGGAAGAGGAGTTCTACCCCACCGCCTCCTGTGAGGTGAAATGCCGCTGTACAAACAGTGGAGCCGTCGAATGCCGAAACATCTCCTGTGGGGCCCACGAAACATGCGGGGTGGAGAATGGTGTCCAAGGCTGTCATCCTGTGGGCTGTGGCCAATGCAGTTTGACCGGAGGCTCCCACTACTTGACTTTTGATGGGCGGACCTATGACTTCCAAGGCGCTTGTGCCTACACTTTAGCTGAAGTCCGCAGAAGGGATTCGCAGCTGACAAACTTCTCCGTGTCAGTGGAGAATGAACGTTCTGGCGATGGGCGTGTCTCCTCGACAAAGATGGTCGTGGTGTCCTTTCATGGGTACACCATTGTACTCGAGAGGGGGAAGAAGTGGCAGGCCGAGGTATGTCCCCTTCTGAATTTGGGCTGTACGGTTGTGGTTTACGCTGTGGCTGTGCAGGTCATTACAAGCACTGTACCCTCACTTTGCTGTTATTCACACAGGTAGATAGAGAGATCTATACCCTACCGTTGCGGAAAGATGACGGGAAGCTCAGGATCAATCAAGAAGGGAACAACATCGTCGTCCATTCTGACTTTGGCCTCAAAGTCCTTTATGATACTGCCTCTTACGTCTTAATTTCTCTGACCAGCAACTATCGAGGATACATGAACGGCCTCTGTGGCAACTTCAACAGGAACAGGACCGATGATTTCCGTCGGCCCAATGGGGAAAGCACGCAGAACGTGGAGGAGTTCGGGACCTCTTGGAAAATTCCTGTTGATGGTGTCGATTGCTCGGACAGCTGTGGTGAGAAATGTCCTGTCTGTGACGCAACCAAGACAGCACCCTTCCAACCGGAGAATTCCTGCGGAATGATCCAAGCCACATCAGGCCCATTCAAAGCGTGTCACTCATTGGTGGCCCCAGCCGAATATTTCAACCGGTGTCTGTATGACATGTGTGCAGCCAATGGGACGGGGCAGACCCTCTGCCAAAGCCTTCAGGCATACGCAGCTGCATGCCAAATAGCCGGGGCGACAGTTGGAGCCTGGAGAACAGACAACTTCTGTCGTAAGTTTCCAGCAAAATCAGCAGTTTCACTTGTTAATCCCATTTTCCCATCTTGATGCTTCAGGTATTCATGATACCGAGAAAGGGTGCTGGCAAATGCCGTTCAAGTCAATGCAATGGGAGGAGTGGGTGGCACAGCTGAGAACAGCCCCATAGCCAGAAATTTTGGATTGGTGGGGCATGGGGAAATTTTGGACTTGTGGGGCATGGGGAAATTTTGGACTGGTGGGGCATGGGGAAATTTTGGATTGGTGGGGCATGGGGAAATTTTGTGGGACAGTGGGGGGGGGCAGCCACACGCCTTCCATGAACTCCAAGCGGTGATTTTGCTGCCCCTCTCCCTCCCCTCCTGCAAGATTTAAAGGACCCTCCAGCTGATCGGTGGGCCATGTGATCCCACTGATCAGCTGGAGGGCCCTTTTAGTGTCACAGGAGGGGGGAGAGGGGCAACAGCTGTTGTGGGGCATGCCTCACATTTGAGGGGGCGGAGCCCCAAAATGCCCCACCATAGCTACAGGCCTGGCTGAGAAGACAGCGGGCAGCCAGTTACAGCCATTCTCCTGTAATCTCTTCTATCTGTGAGCTTCCAGGCTTGCGTTTATGTGGATTTCTACACGATATCTGGATTTTCATTCTGGAAAATCTCATCATTCCCTTCTTTTTTTAGAATAAAAAAGAAATCTCCTAATATTCCTGACCAAAAAGATACACAGGAAACTGTATTGTCGGCATGAGAGTAGGTCTCCAGTATGTAGGACACGCATCTGCCATTTCCTACAATAATTTCTGTCCCTTCTGACCCAAACAGTGCTAAAATCACGACCATATTTTTCACTGCTCTCTCTTACCGACCCCTCTTCACTTGCTGAGATATTGCTCATTGACAGAGAAAAAGTCAAAATTGGCAAACAAACAAATAATGCAGTTCACAATGAAGTAGGCAGACTAGGGGGGGAATTGATGGGGGGGGGAAGAAGCCCATTTTCATAAAGATTTTGCATTAATTCTAGAGAATGAGAGAGATAAGCAAGGCAATCTTAAGCGGAGTTACCCCTTTCAAAGCCCACACTGGGCTTCAAAGGGTGCAAGTCTGCTTAATATTTCACTAATAGAGACACATCCTGACCTGGATAGCCCCGGCTAGCCCGATCTCGTCAGATCTGGGAAACTAAGCAAGGTTGGCCCCAGCTAGTATTTGGATGGGAGACCACCAAGGAAATCCACAGAGGCACTAGGAATGGCAAACCACCTCTGTTGGTCTCTTGCCTTAGTAGTAGTTGTTGTTGTTATAGTTGTTTATTATGGTCTTCGGGCCAGCATACAGTTTAGTCAAACATAAAATACAATAATAATTCCCCCCCCCCCAAATTTAAGAGCTTTTAAGGTGCAGTTCCCATAATTTGAAAATTAACGCACAGAATTTAGCCACTTGACATGTAATCTTAGAATTATTACCAGATAAAAACCAATGAAGCCTTGCTTTATTTGTGTCTACATGGCCGGGGATCATATCAAGTAATAGAGTAATAATGCCGAGACGTACCTCCCTGTAGAGTGGGCAACTAGAGCACATGTGCTCTACGGACTCAACCTCCCCTAGGGAACAAGAGCATAACCTTTCTGGATAGGAGGTTTTATTGTACCTGCCAGCTGGGGGTGGTGTTCTGCTCGGACGCTTTCTGCAGAGCTCCGGGGTATTAAGATCTCTGGCCTTGAAAACCCTACGGAGTGGCCAAAAGTCAGCTGTGACTTGACAACACTTTCCACCGCCACATAAAGTTTGGCCACATAAAGTTTGGCCTGTACTCCATATTCTGTGGACTGCTGGTGGAATTTTTGCCAGAAGTTCAGACGGCACTCCATCCTTGCCTGTCCCTGTTCGCGTTCACCCCTGGGATTCTCTCTTTCTTCTCAGCTCTCACCTGCCCACCCAACAGCCACTACGAACTGTGCACCAGGACCTGCGATTTCACCTGCACCAGCTTGTCCACTCCAGTACAGTGTGCAAAGAAATGCTTTGAGGGCTGTCAGTGTGAAAGCGGCTATCTCTTCAGCGGCGATGCATGCGTGGCGATAGCGAACTGTGGCTGCGTGCATGACGGGCGGTACATCAAGGTAAGGTTGCATCCCACGTGTTTACGACACAAGCCACCATCCGTAACTGACTGGGATTGTTGCAGCTTTGCGCTTTAGAATTACATGCCTCTTCAGCAGGCTTTCTCTCTGCAGTTCCTCAGAATACCCTTCTTAAATCCACTCTCCCCTTTTGATTTACGTGTCTCCTCGTTAAGAGGATGTCCCCTCAAATCATGTTAGGCCCTGGGGTTGAAATCAAGACAAAGGTCCAGATCATCTAGCTCCATGTTATGTCTTCGTGGAAGCTGAAAGGGGAGTAGAAAGGCCTGAAAGACGATGAGGATCAGGCATGGCTCCAGTGACATCATGGGCAGAACGCTGATGCTGAAGGGCCGTTCTCCATCCTTCCCAGGACAAACTGGGCTCTTGCTGCTCTCCCAATGCAGGGAGAGGCAGTGTGGTGTCGTGGTTAGCGTGTCAGTCCAGGATCTGGGTTCGAATCCCCACTCTGCCACAGAAACTCGCTGGGTGACTAGGCTTACCAAGTGCCGGCGGGAGACCTGCGGGTCTTAGCAGAATCCCTGCCGCGGGGACAGCAACACGCTTTGCCAGTTGCTCTCTTAGCTCAACTTACCTCCCAAGAGTATTTTGAGGATAAAATGGAGAAAGGAAGAATAATATATACAGAACTCCGTGAGGAAATGGTAGGACAAAAAGGGATTCATACATTGGAATGGATTGACTAAAACGTTTAAAACCATTAGTATTTATTTATGTTATTTATAGTCCGCCTTCCTCACAGGGGCTCAAGGCAGGTTACACAGAGTGAATCAGTGCAGTCAACTAAATGGGGGCATTCCGTAACCAGTGTGTTAGGATTTTAGGAGTTTAGAACCACCAGAAAGAACTGAAGCATTGCACAAGTCTTAACATGACACATTAAGCGGTACAAATATTACATAATAGGATTGTCCTTAAAATAAGCTGTACCCAGCAGTACGGATCACTGCCCCACTCACTTATACCAGTAAGTTTGTGAACCATTCTGTACTATGCAGCCTTATTACCTGCGCAGAAAAGCCCTCTTGAACAGTTCAGTTTTGCATAGTTTGCAGAAGGCCAGGAGAGTGGGAGTTTTCCTGACCTCCCTGGCCAGGCCATTCCACAAGGCGGGAGCCACAACAGAGAAGGCCCATGTACGGGCAGTTGTTGATTTTGCCCAGGGCTTTTTTTGTAGAAAAAGCCCAGCAGGAACTCATTAGCATAATAGGCCATACCCAACAGCAGGAACTCATTAGCATATTAGTCCACACCCCTGACAGCACAGCTCATTCGCATATTAGGCCACACGCCCCTGTTACCAGAAGTGTGGTCATCCAGCCACACCCACCTTTTGCTTCTTATTCCCTTTACCTTGTTTGTTGACAAAACCCAGGGCCTTTTTTTGTAGCAGGGACTCCTTTGCATGTTAGGCCACACACCCCTAATTGTAGCCAATCCTAATGAGTTTCTGCTGTTGGGTGTGGCCTATTATACTAATGAGTTCCTGCTGGGCGTGGCCAACTTTGGAGCCAGACGGAACTCCGTTCCTGTGCGTTCCTGACCCAAAATAGCCCTGACTCTATTACAGATAGGATCCTGGAAAAATCTGCTTTCCACCCTTCTAATTTTTTTAATTGTTGTAGCACTCAGCCCGATGAAGAGTTCTGACAAGCTCAAATAAGGGTTGCCAGCCTCCAGGTGGGGCCTGGAGATCTGCTAAAATTCATCTCCAGGTAACCAAGTAGGGTTGCTAGCTCCATATTGGGAAATACCTGGAGATTTGGGGGTGGAGCCTGGAGAGGGCAGGGTTTGGAGATGGGAGGGACCTCAGCAGGGTATATTTCCATAGAATCCAACCTCCAAAGCAGCTATTTTCTCCAGGGGGAACTGATGTCTGTCATCTGGAGATCAGATGTAATCCCAGAAGATCTCCAGGCCCCACCTGGAGGCTGGCAGCCCTACAACCAAGATCAATTCCCTCAGAGAGAAAGGCTGCTTTGGAGGCTGGACTCTATGGCATTATCCCCTGCTGAGGTTCCCTCCCCACCCCAAACCCCATCCACCCCCAGGCTCCACCCCCCCCAAATCTGAAGGCATTTCCCGACTCAGAGTTGGCAACGCTAGCTCAAATGCTTGCACAATGTTTTGTGTCATTGTGGCTGGTCTTGATGAAAGGTATTACACAGAGCTTGTTTCTTGCTTCTGGTAGATACAGGGCCCAGCATCTCGTAACCAATCTAGCCTGGCCCGAGACTGTTGCTTTTTGTTCTCCTATTCGCCATTGCCGGGCGTGCGATCTTTGCCTTACCACTAGTTAACTGAGGTTTGCATTTTTAAAAAAACTCCTCCTCTCCCCCTTCTTCTTGCTGTAAATCTTCCAGGTTGGAGACAGCATCGTCTTAGATGGCTGCTTGGAGAAATGCACCTGTGGTGCTTCAGGTCAGCTGACCTGTGAGGAAACCAGCTGTCAGGTGGGAGAGATATGCGCCCTCCATAATGGTGTGCGTGGCTGCATTGGGCAGAAAGGCGAGTGCACCATCACCCCTGGCGCACGGCTGACCTCCTTTGACGGCGCTGCTGGTGAAATCCTCCACGAGGGGATCTATGAAGTGGCCTCCCATTGCAACGAGAGCGACCCCTTTTGGTTCCGGGTCATAGCTTGGAATGCCGCAGCTGGGATTTGGAGGCTGTATCCATGGTACACGTATTCTTCCGAGGGGCTTTCATCACTCTGAAAAAGGACAAGGAGACATGGGTAAGGGCCAGCCACGTGCAGGACTGGACATTAGATTTGAATATGACCCCTTTCTAAAATCACCTAGTCAGAACTGAAACTTTTAAAGACGAGGGCGGTAAAGAAACAAAGACATCTGTTTTGTCCTCGCGGCCACCCCTAAAAGGTTTTAAATGCATCTCCAACCTCAGACAGGATATGGTAGATAGCATACATGGCATCTCTTCCTCAATCTGGGCCAGTGGTTCTTGAGCCTATAGTGGAGTTTCATTGATTCACAGCCCTCACATCCACAACCCTACCTGTTGGGGTCCTGAGATCCTGCCGTCCTCTCCCTGTAATGCCATTTTCTGCTACTCGTTCCTTTTTATCGCTTGTTTACTATTCACACTGTGCAAACAGTGCTCCAAAAGATATGGAAACCTTTCTGCTTTACCCTTGGTGGCAAGAAAGCTGAGGCGTCCACTGGTGGCAATCTCCACCCACCCACCCCCGGCCTCACCTGCAAGATCTTTTCCCCCCCAATAACTCCACAAGGTCTCTTGTTTTTGAAAACAAGTGGAAATGTTGTCCTGGTAGAAAATCACAGTTCATCTTGGTTGTGAATGAAGGGGGTTGGGGTTCTGGAGGAGGACAGCATCTCTTCCCGGAAGGGGTGGTTTAACTGAGGTGCTGGAAAGAAAAAGAAAACAATTGTAGGAGTTGGGATTCAGCGGCAGTATCAGCATTACGTATATTCTTCTAAGGAAGAAACCCAGTTGGTAGGTCAAGGATGTTCTCCCTTAGTGGTTCTGGAGGCCAGCTTTCCTTCCCAGAAATGGTGGTTTGAGGAAAACTCTCATCGAAATGTGAAGAACTCTTCCATAGCTCACACAGCATTTTCGCCTCAGGCAACTACAGTTCAGGTACTACCAACTGCAGCTTCTCAACAGCCAGCAACTCAGCCTTCACCTTCATTTCCCTCTTGGTTTCCTGATCCTATTCAAAAGGTCTGCATGCACACACGTGCGCACACACAAAACCTTCTCTTTATGATGGCCAAGATGGTAGCACATATACATATTTTATGTATACATGTCACATACTTCTTTACAAAATGAGTGATGTGGAATTCACTGCCAGAGGAGGTCGTGATGGCATAGACAGCTTAAAAAGGGGGTGAGACAGATTCACAGAGGACAGGTCCATCTGTGGCTACTAGCCATGCTGACCAAAGGGAACCTCCATATTCTAAGGCAGTAAACTTCGGAATACCAGTGCCAGGAGGCAACATCAGGAGAAGGCCTTGGCCTCTTTTCCAGAATTGCAGAAAAATAGCCTTTCGGTCTGGATGGGCCATGTAATGAGTTCTTTCCTGTCTGTGGCGGATTTCTCTAATCTGGCGGTTACTGCTGGCAGAGTTTAAATATGCAAAGGAAGTAGAGCACTGATTGTTTAGAGAAAAATAAGTAGGTTTATTTAAAGAAGAACAAACTCTGATAGAACACAGAAGAGAAAGAGCCTTAACTGTCTACTCTAGCCTAACTGTTGAAGGGGGAACAAGAAGAAGAAGAAGGAAGCTCTGCAGGAGAAGGAAGTCTCCAGAAGAGCCAATCAGGAGACAGCAAGGACACAGTTTGAAATTGTGGGCAGTCCCTAGTCTAGTTATGCTAACTACCAGTGCTTCAGCTGTCTCCCTGTAGGGCGATCTTCAGATCTTCTTCATAAGGCTGCACTATAGACCTTGCATAGTCCAACAGTTACAAAGATGCACGGGGCTCAAGAAGTGGATCTTCATTTTAGAGGAAACCAAACTTTTGCATCAGTTCCAGCTAGGGTTGCCAAGTGTACTTACCCTTGCTGGCAGGGGAGCTTTGCCGGGCTCCGGGAGCTCTCCCAGGACGTGCGCACAAAGCGCGCGCGTGCCACCAGCACGTCACAGGAAGTGACGTGCTACGTCGCTCATGTTGGGGGCGTGGCGCAGATCGTCGGGGGAAAACCATATGGTTATCCTCCCGACTATCTGGGCCACGCCCCCAACGTGAGCGACGTGGCTGCTTCGGGGGGCGGAGTTCCCCCCGGGGCCCTATTCCGTCACGGCGGAAATCGGGCCTCCAAAGCGGGGGTTTCCCCGCCCCCACTTGGCAACCCTAGTTCCAGCAGAAAGAGATTTAAAGTTTCCTTACATCTTTCTTCTTGCGATCCACCATCCTTCTCTCTTCCAGGTCAACGGGCACCGAGCCCAGCTCCCGGTGGCCACTGAAGATGTGACCATAAGCCTCTCCCGGGATGGAGTTGCGATTGATTTGGCCTCTGAAGTTCACATTCTCCTCAGAGCTTGCGGGGAAGTGCTGGTGAAAGTCAGTGATCACTTTGAGGGGAAACTCTGCGCCTCCTGTGGGAACTTCAATGGGAATCCTGCTGATGACCTGAGGCTGCCCGGTGGGAAAGTCGTAGGAAACATCGGTGAAGTCATTGAGGCCTGGAAGGCCAAGGACTTCTCTGGCTGGTGAGTGGGTGGTCTTTGCCATGGTGATAGAGCAGGCAAAACAGGGACTTAAGTGGCCTGACAGACCGTCACCTAGTATCGTTTGGCAGTAGGCCCTTAACGCAGATACTTCAGAAGGAATCAATGAATACATCCAGGGGGCAAAACATCAGTTCAAAATACAACTATGCAATGGTCGGGGAATGGTGTTGGGAAGGGTCTCACTGAGGCGTATATTAGCTCATAATCCTTTCTTCATGTTTTTCTCTTCCAGTGATTCCTAAACGCCAAGACAAGCCACTGTGCACCCCACCCTGTGCTGCTGAGCATTAGTAGCAACTGTTCAACCCTGGAGCACAATTCTTCTGTGCTGAGTATTCCCTGGGGCCATGTTTAATGTGGCTCAGCCACCCATCACGCATACTCTGATTACCAGTAAAATAATAACCTTGGAACCATTTTTTTCCTGAGCATCAATAAACCTGTTTTTTTGGAAACCTCTTTCAGAGTGATGTCATTTTATCTGCAGGATTTTGGCTTCCTTGAATATGCAAGAGAGTTTGCACCACTGGTGTTCTCCCTCCAACGGCTGCAGCCAAGCAAGGATGGGACTAAACGGTGTAACCTAGTTGAGTGAACATCTACCTAGACTTGGGTCTGTGCTCTGCCACGGAGTATTTGGACAGCCTTAGTCAAATCACACTGTCTTGGCCTCTGTTTGAAAAAAAGAATTTGAAAGAAAAAAAGAGATTGAAAAGAAGAAGAAGAAGAAGAGGAGGAGGAGATTGGATTTATACCCCGCCCTTCACTACCCGAAGGAGTCTCAGAGCGGCTTACAAACTCCTTCCCCTCCCCACAACAGACACCCTGTGAGGTGGGTGGGGCTGAGAGAACTCTTGACAGAAACTGCTCTTTTTCAAGGACAGCTGTACCAGAGCTTGTGACTGACCCAAGGTTACATCAGCAGTAGCAAGTGGAGGAGTGGGGAATCAAACCCGGTTCTCCCAGATTAGAGTTCGCACACTTAACCACTACACCAAACTGGCTCTTAGAATTGTAAGGATCATATGGATCAGAGTAATTAGGTGAACCAACCTCAAGGTGGTTCTCCTGGGCCCTTTCCGCACTGACAGCTTGCTCCGGAGAATCCGAGGATTCAAGCCTTAAAGGCTGACTTTGCAGTCGCACGCTTTCCCTCTGCATTGGTTTCTTCCCCCTACAGTTTATTTATGTATGCATTCTGCATCTACAAGAAAGGGAAGGGAGGGGGAAATCCAGACCCACACATGCAAGACTGACACATTTGGGAGCAGGGAATCCCCATGTCCTTTTTACTGATTCCTTGTTATGCTCTCTCTGGCTTTTTAAAAGTTTGCCTGAGCAGGAGAATCACAGAATCACAGAGTTGGAAGGGGTCATGCAGCCCATCAAGTCCCGCACCCTGCTCAGTGCAGGATCAGCCTAGAGCATCCCTGACAAGTGTTTGTCCAGCTGCTGCTCAAAGACTGCCAGTGTGGGGGAGCTCGCCGCCTCCTTAGGCAGCTGATTCCACTGTTGCATAACTCTTACTGTGAAAAAGCTTTTCCTAATACAGAGCCCTTCCCGCCCTTAATTTAAACCCATTATTGCAAGTCCTATCTTCTGCTGCCAACAGGAAGAGCTCCCTGCTCTCCTCTAAGTGACAGCCCCTCAAATACTTAAAGAGAGCAATCATGTCCCCCTTCAGCCTCCTCTCCTCCAGACTAAACATTCCCAAATCCCTCAGCCTTTCCTTATAGGGCTTGGTCTCCAGGCCCCCAATCATCCTCATCACTCTTCTCTGCACCCGCTCCGTTCTGTCCACATCTTTTTTGAAGTGAGGCCTCCAGAGCTGCGCACAATACTCATCCTCTTTTGTCTTTTGTCTTTGGAGATGGAGGGAAAGAAAACAGAATGGGGAGGGAGTGTCAACCTAAAGAGAAAGAGGTGGAAATGGGGGAGGGCAGTGGGCAGCGCTTAAATACCCGCAGAAACAATTCTACTTTAGAAAGGATTCGCGATTCGAAAGCGGATGAGAACAAAGAATCGCAGCAAAAGGAGTTTTGGTAGCTGTGGGGCAACAGTGTGCTGGAAGCTGTCTGAATGCAGATTCCTGTAAAACAAATGCAGAAGCAAGAAACTGGAAGTGAAAGTGGGAGGGAACGCAGAATGGAAGAATAGGATGTGCTCAGAAACCGAGAAAAAATACGGGTGCAGAAAGGGCCCTGGAATGACAATTGATCTCCAAACTGCAGATAGCAGATCCCCTAGAGGAAATGGCACCCTCAGAGTACAGACTCTATGGTATACCAAAGAGTCTAGGAGAAATGGAAGCCCTCCAGGGACACCATATCCCTGCTGAATCCCCTCCTCAAATAGTGCTGTCCCCAGACACAGCCCTGAATCTTCAGGAATTTCACAAGTGTTGAAAACCCTAGAAACCATATGAAATCAAGATGGCCAGTCCTCCAAATTCTCTTTCCTTGCTGCTGTCTAACGCCATTCCTTTAGAGCAAGATAGAGAAGTACCCATTGGGAAACTGACTTTGGAAGATGAATGCCTAACTGTTTTCCTGAAGCCAGTTTTTGGTGTCAGGGAATCTGTCAGGCTGTAGAAACGTTACTTGGATCAGCGAAGTCTTCCAAACTGAGCACAGCCAGGGATGGAGGAAGGTAGCTTCTCGGTACGGTGGGCGAGCATCTTGGCAGGATATGCCTTGCCTCTGTCTCTCTGGCTGTGCTGAGGAGATTTGGGGGAAAGGGAAAGACCAGCAGCAGCAGCAACTGTATTTCACTTCATTGAGAGAGAGAGAGGAATCAAAATTCAACCAACTATTACAATCTAATACACTCAAAACAAAGCTAGGCCACCCACTCATTCAAGCTTCCCTGACATGGAAAAGTGGCATTAGGGAACATTTCACTATTATAAATGTTCAAATCCACCCCAATTGCTGATCCGTTGGGTACTATTTCATTGCTCTTGAAACCCCTACAAATGTTTTGCCCAAATAGTACCTTTCACATCTGCCTCAAATGTCATACAGAATAACTTCAGTCTGATACCTCTTCCCCTTGGCTTGTGTTTTCCTTTCTTTTCCATATTTTCCCTGAATTGTTTTGTCATGTTTAAAAATTATTATTTGTTCGCCTGTCCCCCTGAGGCCCCATCTGGTTCCACGCCCTCTCTGATTAACAAACATGAAGAAAAGTTGGCTCTCTTGGGCCTAACGTCCAACCAAAGGCCTTGGACTCATATTCTGCGGTACAGTCCAGGGGAATCCTGAAATTTCCTTTATACAAACATGAAATTTGGCTTCCACACTTATTTATCGGCACATACCTCCAAGGATCCTCTGTTCTGCTGGTTTAGAATGGGAGACCTGGGCTGAAGTTAGTCTTCACTGCAAAGTTTTTGATAATGCTTTGGGATTTTGGTTTAAATGGGCCAGATACTCACATCATTACTGCCCCCGACACCCAACAGATTGTTTTGTCTTTAGCCACAACAATCATTGCAATGGTTAGGCACGATGTCAGCTGTGACCAGGTGATGGTTGGGTTTTGAGCACGCCAGGCTAGCCAACAATAACTTGTTCCTATTAATCACCGCCAGCCTCCCAAGAGCCAAATGTTACACAACCAAAGCTGTGACCACAACCTCATCAGAGGACTGGTCCAAAAAGCTCGATCCCAAACTTGCTCATCATCTTCACGCCCCACTTTAATTTGAGTGTTTCATAAGAATAAAAAAAGACCCTAATCCCTCTGGAGTTAGTGGGAGTTTTGCCAAAGAGTTCCCAGAACTGGCACTTCTTCACTATATAAAGGGAAGCTTCGGAAAGGGAAAAATTCAGAGGGAGGAATACAGAGGCACCATCTCCCTTGGCTCTAGTACATCAGAAACACAGAAGGACCAAAGGTAAGAAACTCTACATTGCCTGTTATTACTTTCCACTCTCAAGTTTCAAGGTGTTCTAGAAATTCCAGTTCCATATGGAAAATAATAGCAAATCTGATGAGTTGGATTCAACTAGCTTTTGATTGGAGAAAAGAGGAAGGAGGGTCCCTTTGACCACCAAGACGACTATGCTGGGGGAGTTTCATGGACACAAGCCATGTGGGACAGGGGATGTAGTAAGAAAGGGAAATCACCAAGACAGAATGTATAAGCTATCTGGAGAGCCAGCATCGTGTAGTGGTTTAGAGCGGCAGCCTCTAATCTGGAGAACCAGGTTTGATTCCCCTACTCCTCCACACGAAGCTAGCTGGGTGACCATGGGTCAGTCACAGTTCTCTCAGAACTCTCTCAGCCCCACTTCAACAAAACTATTCACTGTTGTGGGGGAATGAGATTGTGAGCTGCTTTGAGACTCCTGAAGGTAGAGAAAAGTGGGGTATAGAAACTTCTTCTTCTTGGATCCCACCTGATTCGAAGTGCCAATGATATTTTATTTAGGTGAATATAATACTGAGCAATGCCAAGGTTTCTTAATTCATGCGGACCTCCATGTTGTAGCTCTGGATTGTCACCTTTTCCTCTGGATCGTCACCTTTTACAGTTCAGCAGCTGTACAACCAGACAGGAATTCAACAGGTGGGAATCTTCCCAGAATGGAGATTCAGTGATAAGTAATACTATGCCTGCTGTTTCTCACTGCTAGAAAAGGAAGAGGGCAGATTTGGTGATACCTTTGTCCAGGGCTTTTTTCCTCAGGGAACACGCTGGAACAGAGTTCCGGAACCACTTCGGCAAAACTATTTTTTAAATGTTTAAAAGGTCATGAGTTTTCAGTATACAGATTGAAAACCTCATTTCTCTCTTGAGAGTTTCTGGCACCTTTTTTTCAAAAGAAAAGAAAAGGAAAACCCTGCCTTTGTTACCAAAAACCTTCCCCCCAGGCCTTTCTAGGCAAACCTAGGAAATCACTCAGGATGCCAAAGTTGAGAGGTCACCAAAAGAGTGTGCCACTGTCCAGGGTTCAGGGCAGAGAGGGAACCAAAACAGTATTCCTTCTATGCATATCTACCATGCCTGCTCAGAAGCAAGTCTTACTATTGCCCCGGTCACATGGGCCGGATAACATGGGGGGAGGCGTGGCTATTCGTGCCGTCGCAGTTTGATCCGCGATTAAGTGATCAGACGCGATGGCGGTGCAGCGGGGTTTTGGCAGTCGGGGCCCGCAGCAAAGACGACAGCCGGGGGGAAGAGCCGCGCGCCGGTGCGATCACACCAACCAAGTCCGTCAGCAGCCCGTGGCAAACCAGTTGCTAGTACTTGTTAGCAGGTACTTTTTAACTGCGGGTTTTCGGCAAGAAGCCACGGGTACGCTACATTTGCCAGATGTGGTGGTGTGATTGTGCACGGATAATCCATCCGGCATCCGTGGCTCTCCCACGGCAAATTCGCCGTGTGAAAGGGGCCTATGTTCAGTGGGATTTTCTCCCAGGTAACCATGGTTCGAATTGCAGCCCTTGGAACAAGCCATTGATGTTTGAACTGGGGAGGGCACCACAGTCATAGTTTGCCTAGGGTTCCCAAAACCCTGGTGCTGGCCCTGGACTCCACCTAGAGTTGCCAACCTCCAGGCAGTGGCTGGAGATCTCAGGTGCCCTAATTATACTGCTAAGACTCTTTTCACTTTCACTGCACAGGGAAAGTCATTTGAGGTAGTTCCAGTGAACTCACTGTATTGCAGAACCAAACTGATAGCTGGCTAGGGTTGCCAGCTCATAGCTGGGAAATTCCTGGAGATTTAGGGGGTGGAGCCTGGAGAAGGTGGGGTTTGGGAGGGAAGGACCTAAGTGGGGTATAATGCCATAGAGTTCACCCTCCAAAGCAGCCATTTTCTCCAGAGGAACTAATCTCTGTCATCTGGAGCCTGGAGACAACTTGGAATACTGCCAGATCGCCAGGTCCCACCTGCAGTTTAGCAGCCCTATAAAGCAATCTTGTGTCTGAACTAAACTGAAGAAGAAGAAGAGTAGTTTTTTATACTCACTTTTCTCTGCCTTAAGGAGTCTCAATGCGATTTACAATTGTATTCCTCTCCCCACAACAGCCACCTTGTGAGGTAGGTGGGGCTGAGAGTTCTGAGAGAACTGTGACTGGCCCAAGGTCACCCAGCAGGCTTCATGTGGAGGAGGAGTGGGGAATCAAAACCGGTTCTCCACCACACTGAACCAATAGACCTTCTGGGGTAAGGGCTGGGTGTGTCATAAGCACAAACATTGGAGCAAATATTGGGCACTTTCAGTCCAGCTTTCTCCACTAGTGCAGACTCAAAACGGCTTACAAGATTAAAAATACAACAGATATATTTTTTTTAACTTTATTTTTTTTATTTTACTTTAGCAAGCATACAACAAACAATTATTGCACATTCTACAGTTAAAGCTATGAATTTACAATTACCAAGAACTGAACAAAGGAGAGAATAGCACTGCAGAAAGAATTAATATGATAATATTGACAGTTCAAAAGTGTGCTAACATACTATAACATTGCTTTGACTGCAACACTTCCTTTAATGTGTCATTGCACGTCAAGTATTCTAACACCAGACAGATGTTTTAATGCCAGTCACTAGGCCGCCTAATCTATCTGCCATCAACAGAGTAGTCCACTGGGTGGGGAAGAAAGGCAGAGCAGGCAGGTGGCAGTACTTCTTCCCTTGATGGCCATCATTCCCCAGGTACTAACAGTCATGTCTAAGTTACAGACCGCTGGCATAACGTCCAGATTATTGTAACAAACTGTGGATGTCAAGAGAGAAGAGGCACATGTCATATAGTCCATGGTGTGCTTGTTGTCAATGTGAGGAACAAAGAGCCTGTCAAGGGAGACCTCTGCCTATGATAGCCAGGGCTCTTTTTGTAGAAAAGGTCCAGCATGAACTCATTAGCATAATAGGCCACACACAGAAGCAGAAACTATTTAGCATATTAGGCCACACCCCTGACTGCACCGCTCATTAGCATATTAAATCGCATTCCCATGTTACCAGAAGTGTGCTCATCCAGCCACACCCACCTTTTGCTTCTTATTCTGCTTACCTTGTTTGTGGTCAAAACCCTGGGCTTTTTTTGTAGCAGGAACTCCTTTGCATGTTAGGCCACACACCTCTAATGTAGCCAGTCCTAATGAGTTCCTGCTGTTGGGTGTGGCCTATTATGCTAATGAGTTCCTGCTGGGTGTGGCCAACTTGGGAGCCAGCCGGAACTCCGTTCCTGTGTGTTCCTGCCCCAAAATAGCCCTGTTTATATCTATTCCGCCTTACTCCCTCAGGGTGGTGGACATCTGTCTCCAATCTTCCATTTTACCTTCCCAACAACCCTGAGAGGTAGCTTAGGCCAAGAGAGTCTGATTGGCTCAACGTCACCCAACAAGTTATGAGGAAAGGCTGAAGAAACTTGGGACTTTTTGGTTTAGAAAAGAGATGACTAAGCGGGGAGGTGATACGTTTATAAAATTATGCATGGAGTGGAGAGAGTTGACAAAGAGAAAATTGTTCTCCCTTTCCTTAAATACTAGAACTCGAGGGCATCCAATGAAGCTGATGGGCAGTAGGTTCGGGACGGACAAAAAGAAATACTCCTTTACACGGAGAGTGAATAAAAGGTGGATTTTGCTGGCAGGGGTTATAGAGATGGCCTCAGGCATAGACAGTTTTAAAAGGGGATTAGATAGATTGAGGGAGGAGAGGTCTGTCAGTGGCTACTAGCCATGGTAACTAAAGAGAACTTCCACATTCAGAGGCAGTCAACCTCTGAATCCCAGTGCAGGGAGGCAACATCAGGGGAAGGCCTCAGCTTCTATGGCCCGTTGTTGGCCCTCCAGAGGACCTTGCTCTGTTCACTGTGTGAGACAGGATGCTGGACTAGATAGACTGTTGGCCTGATCCAGAAGGGGTTTTTTTGTGTGTTCTTAAGTTCCCTGGCATAGTGGGGATTTGAACCAAGATCTCTGAGATCCTAGTCTTGACACTTTAGCCATGACCCCAAACTGATTCCTTTCTATCTCTAGCCTTTCCTGAATATATAGACCAAACAGAACAGTCTGTATTTTCCTTGTTACTGTCCAATATGAGTCAGCCTTCCCGGTACTTTGGCATGTTGAACAAGTCTTACAGATGTTTGGTCCAGATGATGACTCACTGTTGTGATAGTTAACAAAAGAATTCAAATTAGACTGAATGAGGATGAGGCAAATGCTGAAGACACGTACTACTAATTGTTCATGGCCCTTATGCCCATGGAAGGGGAATATCATATGATTGCCAAATCCAGACTGGGAAATTCTTGAAGATTTTGCTAGATAAATCCAGCATATATATATTTTTAAAAAGTACTAAAATACAAGAATGTTTGGGCAAAATGGAAGGCACAATGGAGGCAACTTTAAGCATGTGCATGTGTACACACTTTCTGCACTTAGCAGAGATACTTTTTAGGCGGAGATTGTGTGTAGATTTGCAACATGTAAAAAAAATACTGTAGATTGCAGAGGATGGTGGCTGAAATCCTTCACACGCACTTGATTGAGGAAGTCCCATTGTCCTGAATGGCATTTACTTGGTGGTGGAAAGTGCCATCAATTCACAGCCAACTTATGGTGACCCTATAGGGTTCTGTCAGCTATGCTGCCATGAAAGTTGGGGAGGTTGGTCTGTGTCTGGTTAATTGCTATTGCTTTCCTTTCAGGTTAATTGCTATTGCATTCCTTTCTGTGCTTTTTCTGCTGTGCGCCGAAACACTTATCTATACAGATGTGCAGGAGGGTGTTGTAGTGTCTGGGATTTCATTAGGTGCCGTGGGAGAGTGTTAGTTCTCAGCTTCAGCTACCTAACGGTCTCTAAGCCTTAGCCCGCGCGCGGGAGGCCGCCTAATTGGCCAGTACTGGGGGGGGTGTATACGAATACCCTATATCCTATTATGCCCATGGGGCCGCCGCCATTCTTAACAGTGCCTATGTTACTGCATCTATAGCTCTGCAATAAAAGTATAACTGTTCCTGAATGTGTGTATTTTGTTGTTGGCTGTGGGTTCTGACAGGTTCTCAAGGCAAGTGAGAAGCAGAGGTGGTTTGGCATTGCCTGCCTCTGCATAGAGACCCTGGTCTTCCTTGGTGGCCTCCCATCCAAATACTGGCCAGGGCTGACCCTGCTTAGCTTCCGAGACCTGACGAGATCGGGCTAGCCTGGGCCATCAGGGCAGAGAGAAATAGAGGTGGTTTTGCCATTGCCTGCCTCTGTGTAGTGACTCTGGCCTTCCTTGGTGGACTCCCATCCAAATACTAACCATGTCCAACCCTGCTTAGCTTCTAAGATCTGACGAGGCAGGGCTAGCCTGGGACATCCAAGTCAGGGCATCTACGTACAAGGATGCAAAAGTCTGCAGACTCCTCTATCACGTAAACCCCCTGCTGAAATGTGCCCGCTTGCTCAGAGCTCATGACTTGTTTTCATGAAAAACGTGTCACCATTTTTCATCTGCCAAGTATAGGATGGGTGGAAGAACCAAATGTTCCAACCTAATCTCAAAACTTATTTTGCAGCCTCTATCAATCTGTTGTCCATCATGTGGGCGATGGGACTCTGGGCCAAGTTATGTGTACTGTGGGGTAAGTACCTGTATTCATTCGTTTCTTCACAAAGAGTATAATTGGCTGGATCAGAATGTTTTGGCCCCATGTCAATTCACTGGGAACAGGCCCCAAAATCCTGGCTGCACATGTGTAGGATTCTTGCCAGATCAGAACTGCACAAATTAGCATGATTCAACAGCCTGTTCAACACACACATCTGTACTCAGGGTAAAGGCAGGCAAGAGAAAAATCATACAACTCCATCAATATGAACTGGTTGGAGAACTGCACTCAAAGAGTAGTCGTCAATGGCATTTCATCTGAACGGAGGGAGGTGTCCAGTGGGGTGTCACAGGTTTCGGTTCTGAGCCCAGTATTTTTCAATATTTTTATAAACGATCTGGATGAGGGTGTGGAGGTGCGACTCATTAAATTTGCAGATGACACCAAATTGGGAGGAGCAGCAAACACACCAGAAGATACAGACAGAATTCAACAAGATCTAAATACACCAGGAAAGTGGGCGGATGTGAACAAGATGCAATTTAACAAGGATAAGTGCTGCGTTCTACATCTGGGTAACAAAAATGTGGAAGGCACACACTGGGTGGGGGTTATACTTCTGAGTCGCAGTCTGTGTGAACAAGATCTTGGAGTACAGGTGGGACCATAAGTTAAATATGAGCAGCCAGTATGATGCAGTGACAAAAAAGGCTAACGCAAATCTTGGGGTGTGTCCACAGAGGCATAACATCTAAATCGCAAGTTGTTATAGTCCCAGTGTACACTGCAGTGGTCAGGCCACACCTGGAGTATTGAGTGTCATTCTGGAGGCCTCACTTCACAAAGGATGTGGAGAAAATGGAACAGGTGCAGAGGAGAGCAATGAGGATGATCAGGGGCCTGGAGACCAAGCCCAATGAGGAAAGGCTGAGGGACTTGGAAATGTTTCGTCTGAAGAGGGGAGGTTGAGGGGGGACAGGACAGCTCTCTTTAAGTATTTGAAGGGCTGCCACTTAGAGGAGGGCAGGGAGCTGTTCCTGTTGGCAGCAGAGGACTCGCAATCATGGGTTTACATTAAGGGTGGGAAGGTACCGGCTGGATATTAGGGGGGACATTTACATTAAGAGTTGTGCAACAGTGGATTCAGCTGCCTAGGGAGGTGGTGTGCTCCCCCTCACTGTCAGTCTTTAAGCAGAGGCAGGACAGACAATTGTCAGGGATGCTCCAGGCTGATCCTGCATTGAGCAGTGGGTTGGACTAGATGGCCTGTATGGCCCAGCTCTGTGATTCTATGATTCTAATAATACAAAATACAGGTTTGAGAAGCTTCAATTTGCCTCAGGGCAATGCAAGAGAAAAAGAGGGCATTTAATCCTTCAACTTCCCCTTGGTTGTAAAAACTGAACCCATAATTCCATGTTCTTCTGTTAGCATTTTAATAGTAAAGAAATGTATCCTTTAAAAATGTTTTCCCATGAATCTACTCACAGCTGAGCGGGAGACCACAGTATGAATGATCAAGTGGAGGTTGAAAGGTTATATTTCCTCTTTCTCCCCCATGGAGATATCAGACAAATTGAGGCTGCAGATGCCAGTGACTCTTGTCTTCTCCTAATGTGGTCAAAGTTTGATAGGCTCTGTTTAGTCCTTTTAATTTCTAAGTCAAGTTCAGGGTTAATTTGATCTAGAACCCACACATATATTCCTTCCCATAAGTCACAGGCACACTCACTTTAATGACCTCCTAAACCACAGTGAAACGTTTATTTAGAGCTCTCTAAAAGTTTTATTTTTCCTTGTTAGGAATGTCAGTTGCTCCAGCCTTGGTGATAGCCGGCCTGATCCCAAGAACATTTTCCTCAAGTCCTTTAGGAAAAGAATTTGTCACAGCTTTCATGCAGAACGGCTTGCCACGAACATCCCACGGGGATTTCAAGCTGATTATCTCAGGGTATGCTCCTGAAACATCTGTCACTATCTACATGAAACGGCCGGCATTGAGGGCAGTGATCCAGGTGAATGAGGGTCAAACCCTGTCTGCGACAATCCCACGTGAAGCAGAGATGGTCGGAACCGGTTTGTTTGACAGCACGGTCATTGTCCGGGCCGACAAAGATATCTCTGTCCACTCCGTCAATAGCAAGCCTACCTCAGTTGATACTACCATTGTCTATCCGGTGACAAGCTTAGGAACCGAGTATTACATCGTCACTCCAACCGTAGGCACAGATCGCTACCGAGAGTTTGCCATCATTGCCTGGGACGAGCCCACATCCGTTGACATCCACCTGAAAGGGACTGTGACATTTCAGAGGAAAAAATATTTCCACGGGGACAAGATCTCCATTGCACTTAGTCCTTACCAAGCTGTCCAGCTACAAAGCGAGGTGGACGTCTCCGGGACTAAAATAGTCTCTCAGAAACCAGTGGCTGTCTACAGCGGCCACACGTGCGTCTCTAGACAAGTCTCTTGTGACCATGTTTCTGAGCAGCTGTTGCCTGTTTCTAGCTGGGGTACCGACTTCATCGTCCCCTCTCTTCCCTTTGACACGGAGTATGACATAGTGTATGTTTCTACTTCCCAAAAAACTCAGGTTGACACCCAAATTGGGGCAAGCAAGAGCAACCGAGACTTGACTGCTGCTCGAGCACACTTGTACGGCATTCAAGGCTCGACCGCCATGTCCCTCTCGGCTAACTCGGGCATTCAAGTTACCTTCTTCAGTGACGGTGGCACTCATGGTAGCCTCCACTATGACCCTTTCTTCATGGCAATCCCTCCGGTCTCTAGTTACTGTCAAGCCTACAACATTTATGGGTATGACCATTTTGAGAACTACGCGCTGATCATTGCCAAATCATCGGAGACTTCTGGGATCACCCTGGACAAGCGACCACTGAGAAATCTCCACTGGAATCCAGTTCCTGGCACTGAATTCTCCTGGGCATCACACAGCTTAGGCCACAGATACACAGTCCATGTAGTGGAGCACCCCACCTCCCTCTTTGGGCTGCTGAGTGTTGGGGTTGGAAACGGGAAGGCATACGGCTCCCCAGCAGTTTGCGCAAAAGGTAATGACAAATCTGCTGCCCCCTTTCTTTCTTGTCTCCCTTCTTTTCTCTGTTCACCCAACTTTACATAAGAATCACAGACCTTATTCCCAGGAATGTACGAGAGGGCCACTTCACTCGCTACATTTTTATTTTTGGCATTTTTGTATTTTGTGTGTGTGTGTGTGTGTGTGTGTACACATGTGAGTGTGTGTGCACCTGGAAGTCATGGTGACCTCTGGTGACTGACCTCCTACTGGGAGGCCTGGAGGATGTTCAGAGAGGTGGCTGAATGAAGCCTGCCCCCGCCTCCCGACTGCTGTTATTCCAAGGAGGTCTCCCACCCAAGTACTTGCCAGAGTCGACCCTGCCTAGCTTCCAAGATCTGATGAGATTAGGCTTGCCTGGGCTATCCAGATCAGGGCACTAGCTACATTTTTAGACATACATGTGTAGGATAAAATGCCATGCAGGACTGAAATGAGCAAATGTATTTGGAAATGGATGTGCCGTGCAGATACACCCAACAGAGAAGCCAATTCATGCATTATGGAGAACACAGGTTGTCTCCTGTGTAACAGTCACATATCAGGTCCAGGTCAGGGCACTAGCTACATTTTTAGACATACATGTGTAGGATAAAATGCCATGCAGGACTGAAATGAGCAAATGTATTTGGAAATGGATGTGCCGTGCAGATACACCCAACAGAGAAGCCAATTCACGCATTATGGAGAACACAGGTTGTCTCCTGTGTAACAGTCACATATCAGTTGCAGCTTCCCCACACCCCCTGCAACCATATTGCCCAGTTTGGATTGTGACTGCTGCACATGTGGAGAAAGGGCTTCAGCCTTAGCCCCAGACAAATTTTCTGATCTGAAATGGTCCAAGGAGTACTGTTTGGTGAAACTCCCAAGTGTCCTTGTAGATTTCCCCAGTGGGCTAAATAGCAGATGCCCAAGTCCCTTGTGCTGTCTATCTACTAAAGGTTATCTAACGTTCCTTAATTCTCTTTCTCACCCACCGCAGATCCCTGCAAAACACTGCAATGCCGAACAAAGGAAATGTGCCAGGTGCAGAATGGTCAAGCGAGCTGTGTCCATGAGTACATGGGAACCTGTTGGGGCTCCACATCCCAAGATGTTCGGACGTTTGATGGCCTCATCGTAGACCTCCAATATCTTTGCACCTACACCCTTGTGAAGTCCTGCAGCGGTGACCCTGACCTTGTACCTTTCACAGTTGAAGAGAAGAGCAGCCCCTCCGACCACAAGGCCTCCTCCAAGATGCAGCTAACCCGTATCAACGTGTATGATTACAACATCACCATTAACAAAGGAGATGATGCCCAGATCATGGTAAGGAAGAACCCATGCTCTTTCCTTAACTGTGTTTCCGTTCACAGTTGTAGGAGGCAAACCACCAAGAGCGGGTGAAACGTTGGCATAACTGCCATGGAAGTCTAGAAATCCCAGTGAATCAGCTAAACCAGGGCTGCCTCCAGGTTTTGGGAAGCCCTGGGCAGACAGTGCCCGGGAGTCCCTTCATGCCTGCCTTTCCACCCTTACCTGCATGCCCCCACTTTCCTGTGCATCTTCCACCAAGAGAGCCAGTTTGGTGCAGTGGTTAAGAGTGCGGACTCTAATTTGGGAGAAACATGGCCGACACTTACCTGAAAGGCTGGATTGCTGCATGATCTGACTGTGAAGTGGTGCATCCTGTCCACTGGACGAATGAGACTTTCATTCCAGGTATTGTTCCAGGAATATTTATTACTCAGCTGGTGAATGGCGAGGTGACTGCAGAAACTAGGATGCGGTCCCCCCCCCCCTTTTTAATCTAATGGCCAGCAGAGGTAGGAAACTGGGACAACCGCATTTGCTGGCTCCACGACAGCTGGGGGGGGGGGAGAAGCTGATTGGTCTTGAATTTGGTGGGCTCTACGCAATGATGACGTAGAGCCAGCCTGGGAGATTTAAGCAGCACTGCCAGTGAATCGTGGCAGTGCTGTTTTACCTTTAAATTGGAGATGCTGGGGATTGAACCTGGGACCTTTAGCATGCCAAGTAAATGCTCTACCACTGAGCCATTGGCCACCCCCCCCAAAAAATGAGTCGCTTCTATGTGTCTGCTGGGGTATAATTTATTTTAAAGTATCTAGTTCTGTAGTTATTTTATTGCATTTATTTTGTTATTTTGGTGTTATGTTGTAAATCTACACTCAGTGGATTATCATAGGTTGGAACCCTGAGCCCACTTTGCAGGGAGGGAAGGAGGGAAGAAGGGAGGGAGGGAAGTGTATAGGATTCTGCCCCCCAAGCCTATTGGCCAGGGTCAATAGTGCACCCAGGACCAATGCCACTTGTTTGCCACCTTTCCCAATGGTCTTGGTCAGCTGTGGGCAAAGGTGGTGGAACAACTGAAGCAAACAGATGGAGAAAGGCATGCAGACTAATGGCAGGGGAGGTATGTGGGTAGGGGTCAGAGGCAGTGAGCCCTTAATGGAATCCATGGACCCTGGCAACTGCTCCACCTCAGGGTGTGCTGACTCCGGCCCTGAGCTAAACCCTTAGGGATGATGTGTTTGAACGATCCCCAGCAAATAGCTCAGACGTTCTCCTGGTGCAAACAGCTGGATTTAAGGGAGAAGAAGGCATCAGAAATTTCTAGCCAGCATTAATTACGGTAAGAAAACCTCAACGCATGGATACCACTCACACCACTAAGAGACAACCAACACAGCCCCACACATCTGAGATTAGGGAAAGCATTTCTAAGTCAGAAGGTACACAGGGTTGGCTCAATACATTTTGCCATTCCATTGGTCCCTTCTCACATGCCACCCTCTGCCAACTCCAAGGTGAGCTGATGAGGTGCTCTGCAGTCTAGTTGCCACCCAGGTTCCGTAACTTTTAAAGAAAGTAATGGCAAATAGGGTTGACACACCATTCATTCATTCATTCATTCATTCATTCATTCATTCATTCATTCATTCATTCATTCTGTCTATATACTGCCTTTTGGTTGAGGCATTCAATGCAGGGCAATATCCACACATCATTGGATAGTTAATTATTGCTATGCTAGATAGCTGAGGTTAGCCTGATCTCATCAAGTCTTAGAAGCTGCACAGGGTCAGCCCTGGTTGGTACTTAGATAGGAAACCACCAAGAAAGTCCAGGGTCGCTAGGCAGAGTCAGGCCATGGCAAACCACCTCAGTTCATCTCTTGCCTTGAAAACCCCTACAGGGTTACACCAAGTTGGCTGTTAACTTGAAGGCACTTTCCACCACCATGACAGAGTAATCATTCCTAACTGGGTGGTCATGGCCACACAGCAGATTCCAGGTGTGAATGATTGGTATAGTGCACTATTGCACACTATCCAATGATGTGCAATAGCCGGTGATGTCTGGATCCAGCCCAGTTTACACTTTCAAAATATTCTAAGTCAAAACAAAGAGCAGGAATCTCTCCATCCACTGGTGGTCTCTTTAGGCGCTGACTTCTCCTGACTTTTTGATGGAAACCATGTTTCCTGCACATTGGTCTTTCCTCCCACAGGTAAACGGTGCAGTGGCCAGCCTCCCAACCATCCTGCAAGACGGAAAAATCAAAATCTTTGAGAACAGCGGGCAGCCCATCATCGAAAGAATCCCCTTCCAGCCTAAGAGCAAGGTTCAGACTCTTAGCTAGCATCTAGGGCTTAACACATTAGCACCTCATTCCCAGAGATGTACACTTAATGCTCAATGGTAGCATGTGGCCAGGTAGGCACAGGAAATAGACTTGGAATCCCAGTTACAACATCAAAGACAAGTTAGAAACAAGAATAATGTTTATTCAGTCAGAGCTTAGCAAAATAGACTATAAGTTTACAAAAAAAGAAAGGCTAAGGCGATTTGCCTTAACTAAACATTACTGATTCATAGTTACCCCATTCAGGAACAGCTACAGTCCAAATAGTCCAAGGGATCAGGAAGGGAAATCCCATCATGGAATTCCATGTGCTTTAAGTTCCAAAGCAAGTCTTTGTTCTCCAACAGACCGCATGGCAGGACAGCATTTCCAGGTGCGATAAAAAGCAGAGCTCACTAGCAGGAACAGAGAGCAAGAGACACAAACAGAGAGAGTCTCTCTCATTGGGTCTGAACAGATATAGTCCAATTTCAGTCTCAATCAGATGTGGCCATCAGCCAATCACGAGTGAGTATGGGATGTGGCCAATTGCTAGTTGCCATGGTTGCAACACAGGAATGGCTAGGAGTTTGGAGGCCACACCTGCAGGCATGTGACCCAAACTCCAACTACTTCATTGTGTATGTGACATCTCGCATGGCAAGCACCACCAGGTCTGGCTTTCGGCATGAACGTGTGAAAGAATGTGGGTTTATGGCATGCTATTGAGGCCATCTGGCCTCAGCATTTCCCTTGTAAGGGGAAATAAGGCACAGCCTGTTACCAAAAGACAGGAGAATGCAGGAGACATTTAGAATTCAATATTTCTATACACCATCACAAACCACGTGAATCACACCATCCATATTGGGAGTTTTTTGACAGGAAGGAAGGAAGGAAGGAAGGAAGGAAGGAAGGAAGGAAGGAAGGAAGGAAGATGTGGGTGGTGTTCAGCAGAGGCACTCCTGGCACCCACAGAAGCATGCCTCTGCCACTGCTGATGGAGAAAGGGCATGAAAGTGGTGCAGACAGCTGTCAGTACAGGCAATGGGAGGGCACGTGAGGAAGGGAAGGATGCCCAGTCTGAGGCAGCCCCCCCCCCCAGTCAAACAGGGAATGAGCAGACAGAAGGCAATTCTGCACTGGCTTTTCCCTCCATTGTTTTACCAAAGGTGCAGCTCAAAACCACATTCAAGTACCTTTGGGGCAACACTGTACTGACTGCGAAGTCACCCCTGAATGAACATAAATCTGTGCAGAAGGTACCATAAAACCCAATAAACCTGATGATCAAAGAAAGTAAAAGCAGCATGCAGTGCAGAGGGTACCATAAAACCCGATGGTCTAAGAAAGTGGAAATGGCATGCAATGCAGAGGGGAATTTCTGTTCCAGTGTGGGTTTCATAAAACAATGGAGGGGAAAGCCAATGCGGAATCACCCAGAGAGGGTACAAACAATTACAGGCAGGGCTGCAGAGGACCTTTATAGAGAAGAGCAGCACCTGGGTGTGCAGAAACCCACATTCAGATTCTGTTTTGTTATTACATCTCAAGAAAGTACACTGCAGGGAGCCAGAGAAGAATCAGTGGAGACTGTTGCAGCATGTCTCCCCACAGGAATGGGGCAATAGGGATACACTGTTAATGTCCCCCTCTACTCCTTTCCACCCACAATTTCCAAGTGCTATTTATTAGTCTATCACTGCGCCTCATAGTTGGTGTGGATACCTAAATCCATGCAATGGGGCCAGTCGCTGCCACCATTTAGGGCTATCAAAATCAGGGGCAACTGTTCTGAAGAATGGTCTCTGTATTTTTTTTAAAAAATCCTAATTTGGAGGTAGCGCCTTCAAAAGTTTGTAGTGTTGACTGTGCATGTGCAGAGGCCTCTATAAAAGCCCAGCTAGAGTTCAGGGGGCAGAACGGGTCAGGAGGAAGTGGGAGGAGGCCAATCAGGACTGGTGGGGAGAGGCAAGGAAGAGAGGGGAACATTGGATTTCTCTGCCTCCCTCAGTCACAGCTGATTTCCAGAGATCAGCTCCCCTGGACAAAATGGCAACCATGTATGTCTATTGCTTCATAACCAACAGACCTGTGGCATAAATGCACTGGAGCATACATTTCTGTGGGCCACCCTGACTGGATAGCCCAGGCAAGCCTAATCTCATCAGATCTTGGAAGCTAGGCAGGGTCGACTCTGGCAAGTACTTGGATGGGAGACCTCCTTGGAATACCAGCCAGTGAGGTACCCATGCATGTCTATTGCTTCATAAGCAACAGACTTGTGGCATAAATGTACTGGAGCATAAATTTCTGTGGGCCACCCTGACCGGATAGCCCAGGCAAGCCTAATCTTATCACATGCACATATAAAAATGCAAAAAAATACAAAAAAATTATGTGGGCCAAAAAGCCCACATTGTCAATTGTATTTACATAATTACATTATATATCCCATGCACATAACAAATACAGGCACGAAAGTGGTAGCAAAGTTGTTATTGACTTCACGAGGGCAGAAGCCCCACCTGTCCAAGATATAAAAATCCTTTCGTAGGCAGAGCATAAATTAAAATAAAACCAGGACAAGAGTAAAAGATCCAGTCAGGGTAAGCACAAACCACTTCAAAAGAGGGTGGAAGGAAGCTGAAAGTGATAGTTTAGGAGTCTGTATAATCTACAAGCGCATTTCGCTTTTGATCAAATCTAATCTGTTGTCACCCCCCCCCCAAGCGGTCCACACCTGCCCTGACAACAGTCACTACGAGTCCTGTGGAAGTGCCTGCCCAGCTACCTGTTCTGACCAATCGGCTCATTCCACCTGCAAATTGCCCTGTATGGAGACCTGTCAGTGTGACGACGGTTACGTCCGCCACGACAACAAATGCATCCCTGTAGAGAGCTGTGGCTGCATCTCCAGCAGCGTCCACCACATGCCTGGGGAGGAGTTCTGGGCTGATGAGAACTGCCAGTCTCGTTGCAAGTGTGATCCTAACCTAGGGAAAGTGAAGTGTTGGAAAGCAGGCTGCAAAGCCAATGAGAAATGCACCCTGGTGGACGGCGTGCGCCGCTGCAAGGGAACGACGTACTCCACCTGCATAGGAACTGGAGACCCTCACTACACTACCTTTGATGGAAGGAAGTACGACTTCCAGGGGAGCTGCGTTTATCAGATGGCGGACGTCTGCTCCCAGGACCCCACCCTCACACCATTTTCGGTCACCGTAGAGAACAACCACCGAGGCAACAAGGCAGTGTCCTTCACCAAAGTAGTAACGTTGGATGTCTACAACATGACCATCAGCCTGAGCCAAGACCATCCACGCAGGATTCAGGTACAATTACTGGGGTATGAAGAAACCATGGGGGATTGGGCGGGGCGGAGATTCTGGGGGATAAATTTCACAGCTAGCCAGACCTACAGGGAGTTAGACATATTCATGGAGAAGAAATCCACCAACATCTACTAGCCGTGGTGAGTCAAGAGAACCTCCATATTAAGAAGCAGTAAGCTTTGGAAATCCAGTGCTAGGAGACAGCATCAGGGAGGGCCCTGGACTCTATGCCTTGTTTACTGGCTCTCCAGGGCAACTGGTTGGCTGCTGTGTAGAGCTGGAAGCTGGACCATATGGACCATTGGTCTGATCTAGCAAGGCTCTTCTTAATGGTAGTCTTAATGGTAATCTTTGGCTACCCTCTCACCATATCATTACAGAGTCATCCCTGCATGAAGGGGTTGCAGCTCAGTGGAAGATCCTCTGCTTTGCATGTACAAGAGACAGTTTGGTGTAGTGGTTAAGTGCGCAGACTCTAATCTGGGAGAACCGGGTTTGATTCCCCCCTCCTCCACTTGCACCTGGCTGGATGACCTTGGGCAAGCCATAGTTCTGATAAGAGCTGTTCTTGAAAAAGAGCAGTTTCTGTCAAGAGCTCTCTCAGCCCCACCTACCTCACAGGGTGTCTGTTGTGGGGAGGGGAAGGGAAAGGAGTTTGTAAGCCGCTCTGAGACACCTTTGGGTAGTGAATGGCGGGGTATAAATCCAATCTCTTCTTCTTCTTCTTCTGTGTTCAATCCCTGTAATCTCCAGCTAAAAGGACCAGGTAGTAGGTGATGTGAAAGACCTCTGTCCGAGACCCTGCAGAACCTCTGCCAGTCTGAGTAGACAATATTGATAAGGATGGACCGATGGTCTGATTCAGTAAAAGGCAGCTCCATGTGTGTTCATAGGTGTTCATGACATCCCAATTTGTCACCTGGTCATATCCCATGTTTCTTTAAAAGCTGGTTTGATTCCTTATGGCTGCTCCTCGTCTTATTTATTTGCAGACTACTGCCATTTTTTTCCCCATCTCCTCCAGCTCCCAGATTAATTATACCACTTGTTTGCAACAGATGTGAGGGGGTATTTTGGCACCAGGCATTGTGTTGGCTCCAGTGATGCATGAACAGAAATGTAAACTCACTTGTGGAAGCGTTAGATATACTGCAATATTTGTTGATCCCAATAAATTCTTGCACTGTGGGTTGCGCAAGCAGAGATGCAATGTTTGGGGTGTAAATTTAATTTAGCGCAAGCTGCCCTTGTGGTCTTTTTCATATGCTTCCGCAGGGGATCTACCACATGCAGAAATCTTCCCCTGTATCCAATCAGTCTTCAACACACTCTTTTGAATTAAGGGAACTGGGTCTTGGCTCCTGAATATTTAACACAAGACTGCTTCTCTTTGGCACTGAAATTACAAACTTTTCCTTATGGATGGGGTGATTTCCTGTAGCCTGCTGAAGTGCTGGTTCATTTGTGGTGGACAGATGCTTCTTGCATGGGTTGAAGAAAATACATCCACTTCTATTGCCCAGCAAAGGAAACTTTTTTAAAGCAACCAGAATATCATGCAAGAGTTGCCACTCTCACATGGAAAATACAGCTAGGAGAACCCAGAAAGGATGCTTCAAGAAGAAGAAGAGGTTGGATTTATACCCCACCGTTCACTACCCGAAGGAGTCTCAGAGCAGCTGACAATCTCCTTTCCTTTCCCTTCCCCTCCCCACAACAGGCACCTTGTGAGGTAGGTGGCACTGAGAGAACTCTGAGAGAACTGCCCTTGAGAGAACAGCTTGAGAGAACTTGTAACTGACCCAAGGTCACACCAGCAGCTGCATGTGGAGGAGTGGGAAATCAAACCCCGTTCTCCCAGATTAGAGTCCGTGCCCCTAAACACTACATCAAATTGGATCTCAAAGATGACTTCTTGCCACCTGGCTCCTTCTGCTCTGTAGTATTATTTCCATAGCACAGATTCCTATCTTCTTAGTGTTCAGGCACACTACTGCTTATCCCCAGCGGCACATGTGGCAGATCATTTCTTTCCTTATTTATGCCAGGAAGCAATTTTTAAATGTGCATGTGGTTACCCAGTAGGACTCAGCTACTGTTACACAGTCTAGTTTCTAAATTAACTGAAAGTCCTTGGAATTCTCTTTTCCCCATGTCTCCTAGGTCAACGGGGTCTTTGTGGACCTGCCCTTCTCCTATGAAGATAAGCTGAAGGTCTACATCAGTGGAGTCCATGGCTTCATCAAAACAGACTTTGATCTGAGAGTCAGCTTTGACTGGTACAGCTATGCCAGGGTCATCATACCTAACACTTATGCCAATGCGATCTGTGGACTCTGCGGCAATGCCAATCAGGATCCCGGAGATGACTTCACCATGAAGGATGGTACTCAGGCGAAGGACGAAATCCAGTTTGCAGAGAGCTGGAAAGTGAAGGATGTCCCCGGGTGCTCAGCGGGATGTACCAGTAACTGCCAAGTGTGCGGGGAGGCTGAGAAGCAGCCCTACAAGAGTAACAAGTATTGTGGGGTCCTCATTCAAAAGAATGGACCATTCAGGCAGTGCCATGAAGCCATTGACCCAACGTCCTTCTTTGATGACTGCGTCTTTGACACCTGTATGTACAAGGGTCACCACGATACCCTGTGCAGTGCCATCAGTGCCTACGTGACAGCCTGCCAAGCTCAGGGCACCCAGGTTGGGCCATGGCGATCAGCCTCTTTCTGCAGTAAGTGTTGGGGGTGTTGAATCCGGGCGTGTAGCTATAGTGGGGCATTTGGGGGCTATGCCCCCTTAATTAAAAGCCACGCCCCACAACAGACAGAAAAGGGCATTTAAAAATATTTATTAAGTCATTAATTAACTTACGTGCCCCCTAAGAAATTTAAATGCCCCCCAATGGGGGAAAAAACCTGGCTATGGGCCTGGTTGAATCCCTTTTCATGCAGCTCTTAAGCTGGTAAGGGGGTTCCCTGCATGGGCACACGCTAATAGCCACTCTACAAAATGGGGGGATCTCTGTAGAGGTTGGAGACAACATCTCTGTGGTAGGACATGGACTTAGCATGGCTAGAAAATACTTCACATAGACAGCTGGCGAGCAAGACAGGCAATGGTCTGGCCCAGGTGGGTAGCTGTGTTGGTCTGAAGCAACAAAACAAAGTCTGAGTCCAGGGGCACCTTTAAGACCAACAAAGTTTAATCCTGAAGAAGTGTGCATGCACACAAAAGCTTATGCTCAGAATTAAACTTAGTTGGTCTTCAAAGTGCCACTGGACTCAAACTTTGTTCCAATGGTCTGATCCATAAGGAAGTTTTGTATGTCCTATATACAAAAAAAATTCATACATATAGCCAGAGGTCATTTCGGGGGGGAACGCGGGGGAACGCAGTTCCCCCCGGGTGAGGTACGGAGGGGGCACATGACGAAGCCCCGCCCCCTGCTTCCGGCCGCCCTGCTTCCGGCCCTCATTCAGCCAGGAGGAGGCAGGAGAAGAGGGAGGGTAAGTTGCTTCCTCCCTGCCTCTCCCCACCCCTGCCTGCCTGGGGCCAGGGAGGGCCTTCGCAGGGCTTCCTTGCACTCCCGCCAGCCTTGCAGGTCCACCGCCGGGCCCCTCATGGAGCTGCAAGGCCGGTGGCGGCGGCCGGGACCATTGGGGGTGGGGTGTGTGGCCTTATGACACACTTCCGGTGATGTCAGGGGGTGAGGCCTTATGACACACTTCCGGTGATGTCAGGGGGTGTGGCATATGCTAATGAGTTATGCTAATGAGTTCCCCTAGCTCTTTTTCTACGAAATGACCCCTGCATATAGCACCAATCTGATGTTATCTACTTTACACTGAATGGGATATTCACCGGCCATCAGTGAAAACATAGTTTGAACAAAGACCTTCCAAATGTTGCAATAAAAGCTTATGTACCTGGGGAAACTGTACTAAATATGTTGATTTTGCATAAATATTTTCTGGAGATTCTGAGCGCAGGAAAAAGGTGTGGCTTTTGAAAATGTAAACACCTGTGACATACCATGATCAAAATTAAGCCCTGGGGCCATTTTAACCCTGAACTTTACGTCCTCTGAAGCTTTGGTTTCAATTCCTTCCTCTTTTTTTTTTTTTTTGCAGGGGAAATTTGATGGCCATATAATATCAATCCCATTGTAGGATGACTTTTGCAAACTTTCAGAATGCTATCTTGAAGCCGGTTCAAGTATTTCCAGAAACTCGGCATTTAAGAGATACGATTCATTGAGCTCAGACATTAATGTTTCTACTTCTTTGAACTTTCCATCAGACTGCTAGCTGCATCCTAACCACTAAATCCCATTCAGAAACAGATCTTGGTTCTGCTACCATGAAGAGTTTCCATTCCAGAAACCTCTCAAGGAATACTCTCATGATTTGCTCCTTCTCTTCCCAAGCAAGCTCCCCCCTCTCCAAACACCCTATTATTCCTCTGACTTCAATGCGTCCTAAGCAAATTTTGTCAAGGTATTACAGTAAAGTACAAACATGTCGTGCCTTGCACTTATCCCAGGTGTCCAGTTCCAACTGTGCAGCCCTATTTCCCTTCCATATTTTAAGGAAAAGCACAAACGAGGGATCCTAGCAAGCACGTTACTAAATCTCATGTGATGGTTCCCTTGCCTCCACTGAAGGGCATTAGAATTTCTGCTGAGGTTGTTATTGACTGAAAGGTATGGCCTCAGCTGGAATGCCGTCTCACTCTTCAGCCACCAAAGCTTTCCTTGTGTTCTTCCCTTCCAGGTCCTCCCTGCCCACAGAATTCCCACTATGAGCTCTGTGGAAATGGCTGCCCCTCCACTTGCCACGACCTCTTAGCACCAGAAACATGCGAGGATTCTTGTGTAGAAGGATGCTTTTGTGACTCGGGATTCGTCCTCAGCGGGGATCAGTGTGTCCCTCTTGCAGACTGTGGCTGCGTGCACCGTGGCAGATACTACAAAAGGGGAGAGGGCTTCTACCCGGACTCTTCCTGCCGGGAGAAATGTCGCTGCATGGACCACAGAGCTGTCAAGTGTGAAAAGTTCTCCTGCGGATCACATGAGGAATGCAGGGTGGAAAATGGCGTCCAAGGCTGCCACCCAGTGGGATACGGAACAGCTATAGCATCAGGCGACCCTCATTACATTTCCTTTGATGGACGGAGTTTCGATTTCCATGGCTCCTGCACTTACACCTTGGCCGAAGTGTGCAGCCAGGATCCTCAGCTAGAGCCCTTCTCAGTCTTGCTGGAGAACGAGAAGTCCAAGGAGAGTCCAGCAGTTCTCACAAGGAGTGTTGTCATTTCCATTCATGGGCACACTGTTGTCCTTGAGAGAGGAATGAAGTGGAAGGCGACGGTATGTTCCTTGCATGTTATAGTGCGCCACAAATCCGTAGATCCTTTGTAAAAAGGACCATGTGCAGAAACATGTCTCTGTGGGTGAGCTCAGAACTAACCCCATATTGATATTTTGTTGATGATGATGCAGGTGGATGGAGAGCTACACACACTGCCAATGAACAGGGACGAGGGGAAACTCTGGATTACCCAGGAGGGGAACAATATCATTATCCAGTCTTCCACTGGCTTCACAATCCTTTACGACACTCTCTCTTTTGTCCGTGTATCTGTCCCCGGCACTTACCAAGGACAGATGTGTGGTCTGGGCGGTAACTTCAACGGTAACGCAAATGACGATTTCATGCTACCCGATGGAAAAACTGCTCAAAGCGTGGTTGAGTTTGGGGCCTCTTGGAAGGTTCCCGTGGATGGCGCCAGTTGCTCTGACAGCTGCGGTGAGCAATGCCCTACCTGTGACGCTGCCAAGATTTCACAGTGTGAGACTTCCTGTGGCATCCTCCGATCCCAGTTGGGCCCATTCAGAGACTGTCACCCCTTGGTCAACCCTGATGTGTACTTCAGCCATTGTGTATACGACACATGTGCAGCCAATGGAACTGAAGAAGCCCTCTGCCGTAGCCTCCAGGCCTATGCAGCAGTATGCCAAATGAGGGGAGCCTTGATTGAAGACTGGAGAACATCCTCCTTTTGTCGTAAGTCTGTCAATTAATCTTCTGCCACCACTACCTCTTATCCCCCATATAACTGCAATGGAAGGCAGATATCTGTATCAGCATGTTATTAACCTATTAAGTATGACAGGACCTCAATCCTGTTGAACTTGTGGCCATTCTGGAAATTTTTAAAACAGGGAGTGGGCATCACAACAAAATGGCCGCCAAAGGCAAGTGGGAACAGTTGCACAATGACTGCTGTATGGGCTGGGTCCAATAATGTTGTTGGGAGGTTCTAAGCCGAACATGGTGTCGTGACGCAGACAAAAAGGGGATGCCTCCTGTGCTCTTCTAAAGCACCTCCGGTTTGGTGTAGTGGTTAGGAGCATGGACTCTAATCTGGGAGAACTGCATTCCCCACTCGTCCACATGCAGCTGCTTGTGTGACTTTGGGTCAGTTACAAGTTATTTTCAGAGCTGTTCTCTCCACAGCAGTCCTCGAAAGAGCTCTCTCAGCCCCACCTACTTCACAGGGTGTCTGTTGTGGGAAAGGGAAAGGAGATTGTAAGCCTCTCTGAGACTCCTTCGAGTAGTGAAGGGCAAGGTATAAATCCATCTCCTCTTCCTCTTCTTCTCCTATTCCAGTAAAGTGGGGCATTATGGGAAGGGAACTAACAGGGTATAATGGCATAGAGTCTACCCTCTATGAGGAAGACACAAGCAGGTGCCAAAGAACATACTGACACCTTGGATGATCAGCAGTAGCTTTCAGAGCTTTCACGTCACCTACTACTTGATCCGTTTCCCTGGAGATGCGAGGGACTGAACCTAGGACCTTCTGCATGCAAAACCGATGCTCTACCACTGAGCCACGGCCCCCTCCTTGAGCACAAATGTCAAATTCCACTCTCATTCTTTCCATATGGCTTTGCTCCCTTCAGCTCTCTCCTGCCCAGCCAACAGCCACTATGAGCTATGCACCCGAACCTGTGATTATACCTGTGCTGCGCTATCGGCTCCGTCTCAGTGCACCGGGGAGTGCTTTGAAGGGTGCCAGTGTGATTCTGGGTACGTGTTCGATGGGGAGGAATGCGTCTCCATGGACAAGTGTGGCTGTTCGTACGACGGGTGTTACATCAAGGTGAGTGCTGGTGTACAAAACAGTCTGTTCTGAGGACCTGAGTGATCTCAGCACACTTTAGTCCTGGGGATGTGTGTCACTGCAAAGATGCATTTGCCGCCTGGTGTGTTCTAGTCGGCTATAAAATGTCATTGGTGGTGGTGGTGGTGGTGGTGGTGGAAAATACCATCAAGTCACAGCCAGTGTTCCCTCTAAGCTGAGTTAGTGTGGGCTAGCTCACAGTTTTTTACCCTCCGGCTCACACATTTTTGTCTTAGCTCAGGAAGGACGGCTCCAGTCCAGAGCAAACTAATTTATGCAATAGCCAAATCACCTGCCTGCTCACAGCTTTAATGCTGGTAGCTCACAAAGTAGAGTTTTTGCTCACAGGACTCCACAGCTTAGAGGGAGCATTGCTCACAGCCCACTGATGGGGACCCCATAGGGTTTTGCAAATAGGAAAAGACACTGAGACGGTTTGCCATTGCCCGCCGCTGCACAGCAACTCTGGACTTCCTTGGCGGTCTCCCATCCAAGTACTGACCAGGGCTGACCCCACCAAGCTCCGAGATCTAAGAATATCGAGTCAGCCTGGGCCATCCAGGTCAGGACGGTCTTATATACGAAGCCGCTATACGAAACCAGAGGAGATCCCCTGGAGTTCTGCCAGAATGGCGGCTTCTGTGGCATTATGGCCCACTGAGGTCCAGAGGTCATTTCGGGGGGAATCGCGGGGGATCGCAGTTCCCCCGGGTGAGGTACGGTGGGCGGGGCACATGACGAAGCCCCGCCCCCTGCTTCCGGGGCCGGCGGTGGTGGCCGGGAACATTGGGGGCGGGGTGTGTGGCCTTATGACACAATTCCGGTGATGTCAGGGTGTGTGGCCTTATGACACACTTCCGGTGATGTCAGGGGGTGTGGCCTTATGACACACTTCTGGTGATGTCAGGGGATGTGGCATATGCTAATGAGTTATGCTAATGAGTCCCCCTAGCTCTTTTTCTACAAAACGACCCCTGATGAGCAGTGTTCCCTCTAAGCTGAGTTGGTGTGAGCTAGTTCACAGTTTTTTAGCCTCCAGCTCACACATTTTTGTCTTTGCTCAGGAAGGAGGGCTCCAGAGCAAACTACTTTATGCAGCAGCCAAATGGCTCACTCTCAACTTCAATGCCAGTCGCTCACAAAGTAGATTTTTTGCTCACAAGACTCCACAGCTTAGAGGGAACATTGCTGCTGAGGTCTTCCCCCCCCCCACTTTTCCTAGGCACTGCCTGAAATATCCAGGGATTCCCCAAACCAGAGTTGGCACCCCTGAGGGGAACGAAGGGTTGCCAGCGTCTGGGAGGAGCTGGAGACCCCGCAGAATTGCAACTGATCTCCAGAGTACATAAATTGCTTTTTTATTATTTATTTCTTTTTAAAACACACATTTATTCCACTTCTCCTGGGGGAAATGGCTGCTTTGGAAGGAGGACTGCGTGGCGTTCTACCCCACCCAGGTCCCTCCCCTCCACCAACCCCACTCCCCCGGGCTCCAGCTGCAAATCATAAGGTATTGCCAGACCTGGAGTTGGCAGCCCTAGCTAAGCAACCACTGCATCAAAATGAGCTACGGTTGCCAGGTCCGTAGGACTCACAGAGGGGGATTGGGGGAGAACTTACCAGAAGCCGGGAAAACGCAACGTGCCTATGTCACCCCGGAGCCAGAAATAAACGTGACATACCTACGTCACCCGGAAGTGACATCGGCATGTCGATGATGGAGGGGCAACGCTCTGGTTTTTGGGAGAAACTCTATGGTTTGAAGCTAATTCTACCATAAAGTTTTGCCCCGAAGCCAGAGTGTCACACACACACACACCCCCGACATCACCAACATGCTTACATCACTTCCGGAGCCAGAAATAAACGTGACATACCTACGTCACCCGGAAGTGACATCGGCATGTCGATGATGGAGGGGCAACGCTCTGGTTTTTGGGAGAAACTCTATGGTTTGAAGCTAATTCTACCATAAAGTTTTGCCCCGAAGCCAGAGTGTCACACACACACCCGACATCACCAACATGCTTACATCACTTCCGGGTGATGTAGGCATGTCACGTTTATTTCCTGCTTCTTGCCTGTTGGAGGAGTAATTCTCCTCCAGCAACCAGCTAGCTGGTGCCAGGGTGGAGTGCCAGAAACCGGGGGATCCCCCACATGCTGGAGGGAACCTGGCAACCCTACTGAGATAGAACAGGACCAGGCCAAATTTCCTCCCTTCCACTTCCTGTTTCCAGTGCTACTATACTATGTCTCCCAGCAGGTAGCATCACGTTCCCTCTAAGCTGTGGAGCCTTGTGAGCAAAAATTCTACTTTGTGAGCTACTGGCATTAAAGTTGTGAGCGAGCGATTTGTCTACTGCATAAATTAGTCTGCTCTGGAGCCATCCTTCCTGAGCTAAGACCAAAATGTGTGAGCCAGAGGCTAAAAATCTGTGAGCTAGCTCACACTAACTCAGCTTAGAGGGAACACCGGTTACCAGTTCTGTTCAAAACCACTGCTATATCTAAGAACATAATATGGCCTTGGGCTGGATATGCCACATTTATAGTTTTCCATAAATTGTATTTCCAGTTTTCCATATATTGGGAGGTTTTGTTCCTTTTTTAAGTGTTACAAATTGATTCAGTGCTAATGATATGACACTGGTCGTGTCCTTTAGAAATTCAACTGATTCTTTTAAAATGTTTTCTTCAAATTTCTTTACAGGCTGGAGAGACCATCCTCTCCAGCAACTGTTTGGAGAAATGCACCTGTCACCCCTCAAGCCAGCTCATCTGTCAGAAGACCAGCTGTGGCGTTGGAGAGACCTGTGCCCTCACTGGCAAAGTGCGCAGCTGTGTCAAGCTGGAAGGGCAATGCTCGCTCATGCCCGGAGCCTGGCTCACCTCTTTTGACGGTGCCAGAGGCAAACTCCTCTCCACTGGGGTCTACAAGCTAGCCTCCTATTGCTATGAGAACTCCCCCTCCTGGTTCAAGGTGGTGGTGGATGTCAGTGAATGCAACGAGGACAGTGTGCCAGCTGGCACCGCCATCTATGTCTTCTTCCGGGAAGCATTCATCACAGTGACCAACCACATGGAGGCTTGGGTAAGAAGAATTGAGGATAGGGCATGGGAAGATGTTAGCAGATGCTCTTTCTTGACCCATACAGCCATTTTATTATTTATCTGCTACTTATTTAAAACATTTTTATTCTGTCTTTCTACTCAATTAGGGTCCCCAAGGACATGACCGTGAGAACATTAAAACATTTCAACAATTAACATTTGAAATTATAGAATACTTTTAAAAACGCACATAACCATACGCCACCATACAAATTCTATTCCACTCTGAATTCTTTCTCATCAGTGATTTTATTGTAAGACGTATAAAGTTATATTGGAAGACATAAAAAAGCATCACTTGAACTGAAACAAGGAATGTATCAGAGAAAAAATAATTCGCAACCATGAGCTCACTAAATACTTCTTTACACAGAGCATGATTAAAATGTAGAATTCACTGCCAGAGGTTGCTGTCCCTGTGGTCTGTCAGTGGTCTCAAGCTATGGTGACTGAGGGGAACCTCCACATTCAGAGGCAGTCAACCTCTTAACATCAGTGCCATTGGGGAAGGCCTTGGCCTCTATGCCCTGTTTTTGGACTTCCAGGGAAACTGGTTGTCCACTGTCTGGGAAAGGATGCTGGACTAGATGGACCACTGGTCTGATCCATAAGGGTTCTTCTTATGTTCTTATTTCTAGGGATGGGCATGAACCAGCTCATGAACTAAAGTTCATGATGAATTTTGGCTGGTTCGTGGTTCACGAACTGGAGTTCGTGGCTGGTCAACCAGCACAAACTTTCCACAAACTTTCGAGCAATTTGTGGCAGTTAATGAATTGATATATTCCCAAATTTGCCAAACTTCAAATTTGCCAAATTTGCCAAACTTCAAAGCAACAAAGCAACTTCAGAGCAACAGGGGAAGCAGAATTCTTCAGCCTTGAAAACACCCGTGTATACAGGGGTCATTTCGTAGAAAAAGAGCTAGGGGAACTCATTAGCATAACTCATTAGCATATGCCACACCCCCTGACATCAGGGGCCTGGTGGTGGACCTGCAAGGCCAGCGGGAGTGCAAGGAAGCCCCACCAAGGCCCTCCCTGGCCCCAGGCAGGCAGGGGTGGGGAGAGGCGGGGAGGAAGCAACTTACCCTCCCTCTTCTCCTGCCTCCTCCTGGCTGAATGAGGGCCGGAAGCGGGGCGGCCGGAAGCAGGGGGCGGGGCTTCGTCATGTGCCCCGCCCCCTGCACCTCACCCGGGGGAACTGCGATCCCCCGCGATCCCCCCGAAATGACCTCTGCATGTATAGCTTGCACTTTTGAACCTACACCTGACATTTCCTCCAAAAGCACTTTCTTGGGGGCATATTCTTTGGGGGGCCATAACTCAGACCCCCTCAGTCCAATCTGCACACTACTTAGAAGGCACGTAGAGGAGCATCAGCGGGAGGTCCCACACGAGTCTGGTGTCTGTAGCTTGCCCAGGGTCCATTCTATACACTCCTGAACCTCCTAAACCTGCATCTGTTATTTCCCCAGAAAGCATATTCCTGGGGTCACCTTCTTTGGGGAGGCCATAACTTGGACCCTGGGAATCCAATCCTCACCAAACTTGGAGGGCTGGTAGAGGAAAGACAGCCAGAGATCCCCTGTGAGTTTGATGTCTCTAGCACACCGGGGGGGGGTGTTCTAAAGCCCTTGTCATGAACCTCACAAACTGAACTGGATCATTTGGTGGCTAAAAGTTTGTGACGGCTCATGGTTTGTTTATTTATTTATTTCTACATTCAATTTATATACCGCTCTAACCTTTTTTGGCAGGTCTCTGAGCGGTTTACATACATATTCCAAATTCCCTAACTAGGGCCACATTGTTGATGGGTGATGTCTGCCTACCAGCACCCAGGGCTTGTTGTTTTTCTGGCTTCCTCTAGCGGCTTCGGGTATCGGCGTCCTTCTGGTTGGCAAACTGGGCACGCCACGAATCACAAACCAAACCACATCTTCCCAGTTCATGCCCATCCTTATTTATTTCCTTCCAAAAAAATAAAACCAGCCTTTTAAAAGCCAAACATATAAAACAGACACGGCGTGTTATTGTATGTTGCACTCATATATTTTCAGATTCCAAATCCTGCTGACTGTCACCAAATAAATGAATACCTTTTCCCCTACTTAAACATGTTTGAATAGCAGCAATGATTTTATATTTAAGCACAGGACGCCATATTTTCTGGAACCAATTCTTTACCAATGGTGCCCTTCTGTCCCCCACAACCCCACCATGGCCTACCAATCTGGAGCCATAATCATGAGCAGTCTTATTCCAACCTGCATTCTTGCATCCAAATGGCACTACTCTTGAACAATCAGCATGTCAGATCCCTGCCCCAAGCAACATCTTATGTGAACCCACCTCTTTGATCCAACCCTCTTAAGTGTGTACACACCTTAGCCAGTAGCTGTCTCATTTTCAGTCACTATTGTGCCGCAACCACTCAGTCCCCTAATTGTCCTAGAGCAGAGGTCACCAACCTTTTCTTTAATGAGAGCTGAGCAAAGAAAAATATCTCAAGCTGCACCCCCCCTCCCCAGCATGTTACCAATTTTTGTTCTGTCCTAGAAGCAGACCTGGAAGAAGACCAGAAAACAGAACATGAGCTAGGGAGAGCATTAAAAATGAAGCTCCATGCTACACAGCAGAGAGAAAAATCTTGTGAAATAATAGCTAAAATAAATAAGCCTACAGCAGATCTTTTCATGAGCTCTTTCTTGCTCTCCTAGGGAACGCATGAGCTATTCTACAGCAACCAGTAAGCTAATGATTGATTGATTCTGCATTGGCTTTTCCCTCCGTTGTTTTACCAAACCCATGTTGAACAGAAATACCCCTCTGCATTGCACGCTGCGTTCATTTTCTTTGATCATCAGATTTTACGGTACCCTCTACACTGCATGCCACGTTCACTTTCTTTGATCATTGGGTTTCATGGTACCTTCTGCACAGATTTATGGCCATTCGGGGGTAACTTCACAGTCAGCACAGCATTGCCCAGTGGGCGATTCTGCATCTAGCATTTGCTCTACATTTTCTCAACTGAGAGGAAAAAGTGCAGCTCAAAACCACATGCATATACCTCGAGGCAATGCCATACTGACTGCAAAGTCACCCCTGACTGGCCATAAAGCTATGAGGAAGGTACCATAAAACCTGATGATCAAAGAAAGCGAAAGCGGCACGTGGTGTAGAGGGTACCATAAAATCCAATGATCAAAGAAAGCGACAGCAGCATGCAATGCAGAGGGGAATCTCTGTTCCAGCGGTGGGTTTCGTAAAACAACAGAGGGAAAAGCCAATGCAGAATCACCCAGTGCCTCTCTGGCTTCTCTCCTTCTTCTCTGGGAAGCGGGAAGCAGATGGTGGACAGCTGGCCCTCGGTCTTACTCTGCTTCATGCTGCTTTCCTCGCCTTTCAGGTCAATGGGCTTCTAGTGCAGCCCCCGCTGAACGTCTCTGAAGCCGTGTCCATCACCCAGTCTCAAGACACCATTGTCATCCACCAGAGGCCCAGGATGCACATCTCTTTCAGTCCCAACGGCAAAGTATCGGTGAGAGTCAGTGACAGCCTGTCAGGAAAGATGTGTGCTCCTTGTGGGAACTTCAACGGAGACATCTCAGACGACTTCAGGCTACCCAGTGGTCAGATCGCAGGTGATGTCGCGGAGGTCATGGACGCCTGGAAGGCCAGAGACTTCTCAGAGTGGTGAGTAGTGAAGATGTTTCCAGTCAGCTCTCCAAGATCTCAGATCAAGGTCTTTCACATCAACTACTACTAGCAGGTCCCTTTAACTGGAGATGAGGGGGGATTGAACCCGAGACCTTCTGCGTGCAAAGCAGATGCCATACCACTGATCCCTGGCCTCTCCCCCAAACTCACTAGCCTTTCTTGCTGAACAAGAAGCAGTTGCAGCCACTTTCTGCTAGCATTAAGCAACTACCAACAACTTTTCTCTTCCCCCAACTTCATACTGGGGGGGGGGGACGGGACAATACAGAGGTTCAGCTACAGCATTTGTGGAGAAGAGGGTGATAAAGGCATTGGGCTGCCGAATAACCCCTTGATGGTCTACCCCATGTTTCATGTCCTTTACACATGGAATTCACTGCCACAGGAAGTGGTGGCGGCTACAAGCATGGACGGCTTCAAAAGGGAATTAGATAAGCATATGGAGCAGAGGTCCATCAGTGGCTATTAGCCACAAGGTATAGATAGGGACTCTGGGGCAAGTGATGCTCTGTCTTCTTGGTGCTTGGGGGGGGGGGTCAACAGTGGGAGGGCTTCTAATGTCCTGGCCCCACTGGTGGACCTCCTGGTGGCACCTGGTATTTTTGGCCACTGTGTAACAGAGTGTTGGACTAGATGGGCCTTTGGCCTGATCCAACATTGGCGTCTCTTATGTTCTTACGTTCTCTCTTCTATGCTTACCTTCACAGTTATTAACAACTGGAAAGTCAGATACTTCTTAAGATTGGTAAGTAATTCCCCACATTGCTACAGTTTTTATAAGAGCCTATCCTGACATGGTTTCCATCATAAGGGCAACCTCTGGAATAATTCCCATTGCAAGGATGCTCACTGCATCATATGTAGCTGTAGCTTTACATTGATCCCACTTCTGACACCATATTGTACTCAGCTTCTCTGCAGTGAGCTCAGGGGGGCATATGGAGTGATTCAGCTCCCAAGGCAGCAGATGTCACACTAAGGAATTGGGCAAGCACCTAAAAGCATTTCCGGGAGATCCATACATTAACAATGGCAGGATTCCCAAGGTAAAGGTTTCCTTTGCTCGAAAGCCAGTCGAATCCGACTCTAGAGTTGCAGTGCTCATCTCCGTTTCCAAGCCAAAGAGCCAGCACTGTCCAAAGATGTTTCCGTGGTCATGTGGCTGGCTTGACTAGATGCCGAGGTGCACGGAACGCTGTTACCTTCCCACCGAAGCGGTACCTATTTATCTACTTGCAATTTCTTGCTTTCGAACTGCTAGGTTGGCAGGAGCTGGAACCAGAGACGGGGGCTCACTGCATCACGCGGCACTTGGGTCTTGAACTGCTGAACTACCAACCTTCTGGTCTGCAGTTCAGTGTCTTAACCACTGAGCCACCGCAGCCAGGATTCCCAAGTTGTCTGCAAAATCATGTGGTTTCGGCATATCAGAGCAGGGATTTGGGGTGGCTGCACAATTTCATCTGAATATAAATACCTAGTGAGATTTCTACAAAAGATTTTTCAAGCATAGTACTAGATTTCTGCAAGATCACTGTGAATTCTAAACTCTGTGATAAGGCTTTCAATGCATATTCCTTCGAAAGAATCTCTCACAACATTGTAATTATCTGACGTCTCAGAACAAACGTTTTCTGTGTCAGTTTGGAGAAAATATATGCCAAAGGCCCAGCTAGCTCCAGGCTGGAAAATTCTTGGGAGGTTTTGGGGCAAATCCTGGAGTGGGTGGAATTTGGTGAGGGGAGGGAGCATGTGATGTCATATTGTTCAGAGGAACAGAAGCTGCCATAGGCCCATTCTGCATCCAGCATTCGCTCTGCTGTTTTACCAAACCCACATTGGAACAGAAATTCCCCTCTACATTGCATGCCACTTTCACTTTGATTGATTTCCAGATTTTATGGCAGCCTCCACACTGCATGGCAGTTTCATGTCCTTTAATCTCTCGGTTTTATGGTGCCCATCTGCATGGATTTATGGACGTTTTATGGCCGTTCAGGTGTTACTCTGCAGTCAGTATGGTGTTGGGCCAGGGTATTTGAATAGGGTTTTGAGCCGCATCTTTTTCTGTTCCAATGTGGGTTTGGTAAAAAAAACGGAGCAAATGCTAGCTGCGGAATGGGCCATAGTCTTCAGAGGAACGGAGCTCCGTAGTCTGGAGATCCCTTGTAATTCCAAGAGAACTCCAGCCCCACCTCAACACTTGCAATCATAAAGATGCTTAATGTGGCAGAAGTTGATTGGGGGCCTTAGCGGGTTGCTAACTTGTCAAAGTGATAGAGACCAATAGAAAATGTTAAACTTTGGACCAGATGCTAGAGCCAGAAAGAGCCTTTTTTGGCCTATTGGAAACGTCTTCAGACAGTGCTGGCTCTTTGGCTTTGAAATGGAGATGAGCACCGCCAGGGGTCATTTCATAGAAAAAGAGCTAGGGGAACTCATTAGCATAACTCATTAGCATATGCCACACCCCCTGACATCAGGAGCCCGGCAGTGGACCTGCAAGGCTGGCGGGAGTGCGAGGAAGCCCCGCCAAGGTCCTCCCTGGCCCCAGGCAGGCAGGGGTGGGGAGAGGTGGGGAGGAAGCAACTTACCCTCCCTCTTCTCCTGCCTCCTCCTGGCTGAATGAGGGCTGGAAGCAGAGTGGCCGGAAGCAGGGGGCGGGGCTTCTTCGTGTGCCCCCCCCCGCACCTCACCCGGGGGAACTGTGATCCCCCGCGTTCCCCCCCGAAATGACCCCTGAGCACTGCAACCCTAGAGCTAGTTTGGTATAGTGGTTAAGTGTGCAGAGTCTAGTATAGGAGAACCGGGTTTGATTCCCCACTCCTCCACTTGCACCTGCTGATGTGACCTTGGGTCTGTCACAAGCTCTGGCACAGCTGTTCCTGAAAGAGCAGTTTGTGTCAGAGTTCTCTCAGCACCACCCACCTCACAGGGTGTCTGTTGTGGGGAGGGGAAGGGAAAGGAGTTTGTAAGCCGCTCTGAGACTCCAAGTGAAGGGCGGGGTATAAATCCAATCTCTTCTCTTCTTCTTCTAGAGTTGGATTCGACTGGCTTTCGAGCAAGGGAACCTTTATCTTTACTATATATGCTTGTGCCACTACAAAGCGTGCATGCACACTATGGCATCAGATTAACAATCAGAGCAAAGAGATCCACAAAAGTACTGGAAAGCCCATTTGCCTAATTGAAATTAGACAAGTTAACATTATTGAGAAATGACATATGGCTTAAGAATCCTGTTTCCGCAGCCCAAACACTGTTTGTTTGTGAGATTTCACAAGAAGTCATAAATATACACAGGAGAACCCTGCATGATTGTGCAGTGGAATGAATCCGTGAATTATTCACATCTGGATTCCTGGCAATATTCTTTCTCCCATTCCCCTTTCCATACAGCACCTCTTAGAATGCATTTAGTCCCCAAATAATATTTCCTGCCATTCCCTTCGCATACTGGGTATTCTGGCATCCCACCTGCCCTTCCAATACATCTTGACGATCTCACTTTCTTTTTTTAAAGAGCTACATTTGGCTCCACAGTCATAGGCTGCAGCCTCCTTGATCCTGCATCAAACTTGATCATGTGTAAACTTGAGAGCTCATCACATTCAGACTTCGCAAGACATATCTCCTATACTAGTGGTGCATACGGTTTTGCGGCCTGTTTGCACAGTCGCCAACTTAAAAGGGTTCCCTTGTTCAAGCCTATTAACCTCGGTCTGTACACTTACAACCTATAGAGGCAACCATGTCTGTAAACCTCAGATAGGGGGAGCTGTTCAGCATGTGCTCAGCATACAGCCCTTGATATGAAATGAAAATAAATCTTCGTTATGCACGGGATCAGAGATATTGAGCTGCACTTGCAAAAATTAAGGGCAATAAACAAGCCTGATCTCTTCAGCTGTAGTGTTCGCTGGGCGGTGGCCATGTTTCTGTTCTGGCAGGCAGAGTCAGATATTTTGTATCTTCCTCACATATTCTTCTCATCCTTTATCCTCAGGTTCACATGTGCATTAAGGCCTCCCTGGGACTTTCACTAGCTTCCCTCTCCTGCTTTGTACTTGCCACACTTATGCCCCATTGGGCATACAAATCTCTCCCCCCAAACATAGCTCCTGTATTGCCAACACTGGTAAACTTCCTGCATGAAATTTCCCCGTACATCTTAGAAGAGCTCCCCTTTCTGGAACAAGATGAAGATGTCAGAAAAGTACTCTGCCTACAAAAAAAACGCTCAGTAGGCAGAACTAATCTCGCTAGCTGAATAACTAAGCACGCCTGCTCGTTCCTCCAGCCGTCACTTGAAATTCATTTTTTGGAGCTAGCATACAGATACAGGACTATACTGTTTTAAGACAAGATAATTAAACTTTTCCCCTGCTTGCTTCCAAAAAAAATGCTCAGTAGGCAGAACTAATCTTGCTAGCTGAATAACTAAGCATGCCTGCTCGTTCCTCCAGCTGTCACTTGAAATTCATTTTTTGGAGCTAGATACAGGACTATACTGTTTTAAGAAGATAATTAAACTTTTCCCCTGCTTGCTACTGCCCCTTAGGGAATGTCACTCTTCTCTGTGTAAGAACATTTTCCCGAATTTTCTAGCATAACTTGCTCTGGTTCCTCTGCCTGGGAAAAAGCCGGCATCACTTTCAATGCTCCCTCTAAGCTGTGGAGTCTTGTGAGCAAAAATTCTACTTTGTGAGCTACTGGCATTAAAGTTGTGAGTGAGAGATTTGGCTCCTGCATAAATTAGTTCGCTCTGGAGCCATCCTTCCTGAGCTAAGACAAAAATGTGTGAGCCGGAGGCTAAAAACTGCGAGCTAGCTCACACTAACTCAGCTTAAAGGGAACACTGGCTCGCTTTTTTAAAACCTGGTTTCATCCCAGTTGCGCTTGCCCTTAGTGCCCTCCAACCCGCTAGCCTTGTGCCCTTTCTGACCTCCGATATCCTAATAAATCCCCCAAGGAATTTCCATGATGTCCTTCAGCGCTGTGCTTGCTTGCTTTCGCAATCGCATAAAATAGCCAAAAGATCAGATGCCGATTGATCTTTATTCTGCTGACGGATTGCAGTAATTTGACAGAATTCATGCTGGGTTTTTCCTCCCCAATATAGAATTCTTTCCGCACAAGTAGATACATGAAATTGTGTGTGCATGTTTTCAGTGCCATCAAGTCGCTTCTAATTTAATGCAACTCTATAAATTAATGACCTCCAAAACAGCCTATCGTTAACATAAAATATTAGCTGTAAGATCGCCTTTCTAACTAGAATTAAAAGGCACAAACCGCTTCCATCCCTCTTGCAATAGAACAAAACTCGACTCTCTCGCAAGGCAACTGGTTATTCAGAAAGTAGCAGCGCCATCTGCTGAAACTCCTGAAACTCCTGGGCTATCGCAGCCAGATTCTTCCACATGGTGGCGCGATGGTCCAGGAATAGAGCTCAGGGGAGCTTTTGGGAAGAACGTGCTTGATTTCAGCTCCCCCTGTAAAAATGGTAGGATGTGCAGAAAACAGGCTCAAATAACAGCTCTGTCCTAACACACCCATTTTTTTCTTTCTCGTAGTCATTTCTGAAAAGCCGTATGGAACCACCTGTTGGACCTCACAAGCACCTTCGGAGGCTACACTTGGTAAAAATAAATTAGGCCACAGCCAGGAACGTGAAGGAATGCACCATCATGTCAAAATACGGCCCTGTGCCAAATTAATAGGGTGGATCTATCAATGGTTATAAGCGATTATTCCTAAGAATGGGACTTCCATGTTCAGAGGCAGTGTACCTGTGTGTACCAGATGCAATGGACAAACAGCAGGGATGGTTATCACCTGCATTTCCTGCTTGAAAGGTGCCCTCCACCATCTCGCTGGCCCCCTTGGGTGTCAGTGTGCCTGGGGGTAGACGGACACTGGGTCTGACCCAGCAAGCCTCCTTTGATGTCATTTCTATTGAGCATGCCCCAATGATTTGAGAATTTTGAAGGGGATCTCCTTCCCTTGCTGCCTTGTAAATTGCAGCATGTTCCACAATAAAAATGTAGAAAGGCATTGCGCTCTAACCAGCAATTGTAAATGTCAGCAGACTTAAGAATGAAGAAGGAAGCTCTGTGAAAACCCTCCGATGTTTTGTGTGAACTCCTTTGCTGGCCTGCCCCGGGGCAAGGTGTATGCAGTGTGAGACATCCCTCAAAATCGTTTGGGTGTGGATTGAGTCTGTTGTCGGGATCAGATGTCTGCTCGGGATGGGTCCCTGTCTTTCACAACACAAGTTGGTTTGGAAGCGGGCGTCTGAGGATGGAAGCTCGAGTGATGTGAACAGGGCCACCTACATTTTTGCCACTTGGGGTGCGAGGAGAGGGTTTCACCCTTTCCCTGTGTGCTCTTTTCCCAGTCTCTCTTCCCCAGGTGCCATTCTCCGCACAGGGGAAACACATGGATCCATGAAGCTGCCTCTTACTAAATCAGACCCTTTTTGGTCCATCAGTGTCAGTATTTTCTACCCAGTCTGGCAGCAGCTCTCCGGGGTCGCAGGCAGAGGTCTTTCGCATCACCTACTGCCAGATCCTTTAACTGGAGACACCAGGAACTGGACTTGAGACCTTCTGCATGCCAAGCAGATGCTCTGCCACTGAGCCACAGCCCCTCCCCACAGATATAGATACAGAGCAGGAGGAAAGGGTTTCCTGTCCCTCCCCCATGCTGTGGCTCTAATCTAGATCAGACCTTCCTATGTTTGTTTGTTGTTATGTTTTTTAAACATAGGATTGCAGTGCAGTGCAATCCTAAACAGCGTTACACCCTTCTAAATCCACCAAATGGGCTTAGATGGATTAATTATGTTTAGGAGGGTGCTTGTCAGTCACAGATCTCCCACAGTCAGGTTAAATGGCGTCCCGAACAATGTTCCCTCTAAGCCGTGGAGTCTCATGAGCAAAAATTCTACTTTGTGAGCTACTGGCATTAAACTTGTGAGCGAGCGATTTGGCTACTGCATAAACTAGTTTGCTCTGGAGCCCTCCTTCCTGAGCTAAGACAAAAATGTCTGAGTCAGTTAAAAAACTGTGAGCTAGCTCACACTAACTCAGCTTAGAGGGAACACTGGTCCTGAATTCCACATTTATCAGACCTCCATTGTTTCCCCCTCATCTCATTCCATGACCTCATGGGCTGCTGGGAGGGGGAAATGCTTGGTATTTGGATATGGAGACTCTAGGGGCGATTTCGCACTAGAGCTGCCTCGCGGCGCAGCCACCGTTTGCCCCGACACTATTTGTCAATTTCACACCCGAGGCTGCGGGGCTGCATTTGACCGGCGGCTTCGCCCGATTTCCTCCGCAGTTTCATGATCCTCAAAAACCAGGATCACGAAACTGCGGAGGAAATCGGGTGAAGCCACGAGTCAAAATGCAGCCCCGCAGCTTCGGGTGTGAAATTGACATATTTGTGTCGTGGCAAATGGCGGCTGCGCCGTGAGGCAGCTCTAGTGCGAAATCGCCCTGGCTTTATGCTCCTAAATATTACTGGGGAGGGAGGAAGTTGACACGGGCAGTGATTAAAATGTGGAATTCGCTGCCCGAGGATGTCATGATGGCCACAGGAATAAACAGCTGTAGAAGGGGATGAGATAGATTGATGGAGGATAAGTCTATCAATGGCTACTAGCCACGGGGACTGAGGGGGACCTCCACATTCAGAGGCACTAAGGCTCTGAGTCCCAGTGCCAGGAGGCAACATCAGGGGAAACCTCTATGCCTGGTTGCTGGCCATCCAGAGGTTGGCCACGATGTCGGACAAAATGCTGGACTAGATGGACCATTGGTCTGATCCAGCAGGGCTCTTCTTATGTTCTTATTTTTAGCAGCATCCCCTGTGTATGCTCAGCAAGGAACAATCGACTTCCCCTCTGCTGCTTTCTTGTTCAAGAGACAGAACTGGGTTGTTTGGATGTTGCTTTCTGAGGGGGAACCTTAAGCCATCCAGGAATTATAGAAGCGCCAGTGCCTTCCCCTCTCCCCTTCTCTGTGCAGATAGACGCAAATGCCTGCTCTAGTTTGGAGCACATTGATCTGTATGTAGTATCTCCTCTATGGTCTTCTCCCCTGCCCCATTTTCTATAGAGCCATCAAGCTGGGATAGGCTGCGGTTCAGGGGTAAAGCTCCTGCTTGGCATATGGAAGGCCGCTGGTTCAATCCCTGCCCCTTCCAGTTAAAGGACAGCAGATATCAGGAAGCTCCGCCTGAGTCCCTGGAGTACCAGTCAGGGTGGACAACGATGTATTCAGTCATCCAATCAATGCTCCCTCTAAGCTGTGGAGGCTTGTGCACAAAAATTCTACTTTGCGAGCTACTGGCATTGAAGTTATGAGTGAGCGATTTGGCTGCTGAGATAAATTAGTTTGTTTGGGAGCCATCCTTCCTGAGCTAAGACGAAAAATGTGTGAGCTGGAGGCTAAAAAACTGTGAGCTAGCTCACGCTAACTCAGCTTAGAGGGAACACTGCATCCAATGCTCTTATTTGGTACAGAGCACGTTCCTATATTGAAGGCTCTTCCCTGAGTAAGATTTCCGTCCAAGCTCTGAGACATGAACATATGAAGCTGCTCTCTGCTGGGTCAGTCCACTGGTCCCTCAAGGTCATGACTGTCTACTCAAGACAGGCAGCATCATTCCAGAGTCTCAGAGTGAGGTCTTTCACATCACCTTCTGCCTGTTCCTTAACTGGAAGCAATGGGATTGAACTTGGGACCGCCTGCGCACTGAGCAGATGCTCGGCCTCCGAGCCGCAATCCTTCTCCAGCTTTTACAATGAGACAGCTTGCTATATGGTACTAAACTGTGTGCCATAACAATTGACTGAGAGGAAATCCTGTCTCCTAGGGGGCTTTTGAAAGACAATCCCACTTCTTTTGATAAAGCCTGATTTCAGGAGGAAGAATCGCAAATGCTGCAGGCCAAGGGACTCCGGAACAGCTGTAACATTTCCAAATCCGTAGATTCTTTTATTGACATTTATCACATGATTGCATTGCATAACATGCTTTGTTTGTACAGCAGAGTGTTGAGGCTGTGTAGGTGCAAAGCTATATCCTGGGAAGTGGCTGTGATTGATGGTCGCGGACGTCGCTGGAGGCGCCGGTTCCACGGTTACTTGCGGTTATTACTCACTGGCAGAGAAACAGAACAAAGTTAGAGTCCAGAGCGCGTGGACGCTTCTTCAGATATACTGAAACAGACTTCCTTAAGCATTACCTATAGGTGGGGGGCAGGGTGAGTTCCCAGGAAGGGCTAATTAGAGTCAAGACACATAAGTAACTGAGCAATAAGAATAGCTAAGTTTGGATTAACGCAGTTGGTGAAGACCTGTGGATAGCAGCAGATTAGCATACAGATAATAAAAGAGCTCGCAAACAGATGTGAGAACAAAGTCTGAGAAACGGACCATTAGAGGGTCTCTGTGAAATCCAAGCAGCAGTTGCTCTAGAAGGCAATTTCTAGATAGCCCAATATGGCTAAACTGGAGGGAAACCACTCCAGGAACCCTTTTTCATGCCCGCAGAGGAGCACAGGGGGGATTTTATGCTCTCTCTGCTCTCACTTAAAGATGTAAATGCTTTTGGGTAGAGATCTCTGATGCTCTGAGATCAAAGACTTGCTTGTGGGAAACAGGCGGGATAGACATTGAATTAATAATAATAACAACAAGAACAGCAGCACAGCCGCAACAACAATGAAAGAGACCAAACTAGGGTCGCCAACTCCAGGTTCTGATGTTCTTGGAGATCCGGGGGTGTGGCTCGGGGAGGGTGGGGTTTGGGGAGGAGAGAGACCTCAGCGGGGGGTAGAATGCCATAGAGAGTCCACCCTCCGAAGCATCTGCTTCCTTCAGGGGGGCTGGTCTCTGTTGTCTGGAGATCAGTCGTGATCCCAGAAGACCTCCAGGCCCCATCTGGAGGCTGGCCGGCCTACTCCAAACTCCTCGTGACTCTGGGATCTGTGCCTGGATCTCCAGACAAGCAGAAAGCAGCTGGAGGGAAGGGGTACAGGTAGGTTTAGGGCTGTAGCACAGCAGGCAAAGGGAGGTTAATGTGTTGCCCCCACCCCATTTTCCTAACCAGAAATCTCCCCTGCACCGGGCTGCTTTGAGGCTCAGTATAGAAAAAAGACAGACTCCGTATGGGTACCTCTCCCCCCCCCCCCATTCTGACTGTAAGGCCGCCTGGGGTGAGCATTTTTGATCAGGGAAGTAGCACAAGGTGCGGAGTTAACTGAGCAGAACCACGGCCCCCCTAATCCATATCTTATACAGTTGTGTTTTGGAATGAGAACATCTGAGAATACAGTCTCAAATTCCCCAACATCGCACATAGGTCATCCCTCAGAAGCAAGCATCGGGATGAGGAAAGGACCTGTCAGCTTTCACTTTCAAACTGCAAGGATCCAGTTGTCAAGTCTACCCTTTTCCCAAGAGAACCAGATCGTCAGGTATTCCTATCTGCCATTATACATTTAAGGCAGTTTCATAGCTGTTCTGCCAGTGGCTCATACCCAAGGAATCGTGGGAAATATTTCTGGCAAGGATTGTGGGATCTCACAAAACTACAGTTCCCAGACTTCTTTGGGACAAGAACCCTTGGAAGATAAATGAGTTGTTTCTATTGCTTTGCATTTATAATGCAGCTTTAGCACGTCCTCTAATGTATCGCTCCAAAAATAGCTAGGCGGGACAGACTGAAGCTTCAGGACTGCTGCCAAATCACTCACCAGCCACAGAAGTCTCCAGCTTTCCAGGCATCAATCACCTCGGCAATGTTCCCCACAATTTTCCCATTGGGTAGCCTCAGGTCATCGTCACTGTCCCCGTTGAAATTTCCACAGGATGCGCACAGCTTGCCTTCCAGGCTCGCCTTGGCCTTCACGGTCACTTCCCCTCTGAGGCCGAAGAGGACCTGAAGAGCTGTGCCTTGACTGATTGTAACAACATCCTCAGACAGGCGGATGGATACAGCTTCGGAGACAGTCACCGGGAGCTGCACTGGACGTCCGTTCACCTGGAACACACAGGGAGGGAGGGAGCAGGAGACCTTCTCAGAACCACTTCACGAATCCACGCTAACAAACTTGGAACCACCTGTTACGATCAAGGTGGACTTTCTTTTTGTTTCTATGGAGGCTTAAGGATTCCAAGTCCACATTAGTGTCTGTGAGGCAGAAAAGAACTCCAGGCGGTAAGAGATTTCATTGTGGACTTGCAGTGAAGACTGGCATCAAGAAAACAAGTATAGCGGCTGATTCTATCATTACAACAATGTGCAGTATTGGCAGCCATGTTTCTCAGTTGGCCTTCATTTGTTAGGAGGAGGAGGAAGAAGAAGCAGAGGAAGAGGAAGAGGAAGAGGAGGAGATTGGATTTATACTCCAGCCTTCACTCGGAGTCTCAGAGCAGCTTACAAACTCCTTTCCCGTCCCCTCCCCACAACAGACACCCTGTGAGGTAGGTGGGGCTGAGAGAGCTCTGACAGAAACTGCTCTTTTTCAAGAATACCTCTGACAGAACTATGGCTTGCCCAAGGTCATCCACCAGCTGCGAGTGGACGAGTGGGGAATCAAACCCAGTTCTCCCAGATTAGAGTCCACACATTTAACCCACTACAGCAAACTGGGTCTTATACCCCTTCTTCATACTGCTTGAAATCATGTACTATAAAACAAGTTAATTGTACACAGTGGTGGAAAGCGCCATCAAGTCACTGTACAGTTTTCAAGGCAAGAGATTAACAGAAGTGGTTTGCCATTGCCTACCTCTGCGTAGCCGCCCCACGCCTCCTTGGTGGTCCAAGGAATAACCAGAGCTCCTTGGTGGTCCAAGGAATAACCAGAGCTGACCCTACTTAGCTTCTGAAGTCTCCCAAGATCAGGCCACTCTGGGCCATCCAGGGCAGGTATATCTCTCCTTCCCCTCACCGGTTTCCAGTATTAGCCCCAATTACCGAGTGCAAGCCAAGCCTTTCAAAAATTCTCCCTTGCTCCTCGCCCTTGTGCATGTGATCTGCTCATTCTCTACTGAAATGACAGACTAGGGGATTACTTCTGCTGAAGGGCCATTACCTATGTACACCCCTGCACAGGGAATTTGCAGATTCTGGTACAATATACCTCTGCCCAGGTCAAAAGATTTGTTCACCCAGAACTCCAAGGTCAAAACCCAAACCCAAATCTATGCTCATACTGGGGGGCGGAAGTAAAAAATTCACCAGAGTGAAGACATATGAGAATGGTGAAGTCCTGTAGGCTAGGTGGGGACTTGAAACCAGAATTAACTGGATCAAGCCATGACCAGGTGCAGGAAAAAAAGGTACTAAGAAGTCAGTTTCACGTGAAAAATTCCATGTTTAAGTTCTAGTTGTGTGTGCTTATCTGGGTGTAGGGTTGCCAGCTCTGGGTTGGGAAGTACCTGGAGGTTTTGGGGGGTGGAGCCTGAGGAGGGCGGGGTTTGGGGAGGGGAGGGCCTTCATGCCATAGAGCCCACCTTCTAAGGTGGCCATTTTCTCCAGGTGATCAGTTCAGTTGTAATAGTGGGAAATCTCCAGCCATCACCTGGGGGTTGGCAACCATATCTGGAGGACTGTAAATGTACTTAGGAGAGGCCCACACACACACACACACACACACACACACACACACACAAGAGATTCTGCTTTTGCTGTCTCCCGTGCTCGTATGATAAAGAATTCAACAGCTTTGGAAAGTACTTTAGTGTCTCTCTTCAACAGGAGGTTACAGCCGACTCCAGCCCATTCTGAAAAGCAGTAAGCAATGCATCCAATGGTTTTGCGCATGCTCCCCCTGGCTGTATCACAGGCTCCGTCTGCAGTGACCCATATGGTAAAACAGGTTCCCTTACCCAAGCCTCCTTGTTCTTGTTGATGGCAATAAAGGTCTCTCGGAAGAAGACGTAGATGGCCACACCGGCCATCCCCTCGCTGTCTCTGCAAGATTTCACATCCACGATCACCCGGAACCAGGAAAGGTCTGCACTGTTACAGAGAGATGCCACTTCGTAGGCCCCCGCGTAGAGCATTTCCCCCGAGGCGCCATCGAAGGAGGTGAGCTGGCCTCCTACGGCGAGCGTACACTGGGCCTCCTGCCTCACACATCCGCGCACGCCGTTCTTAAGGGTGCAGGTCTCCCCAGCCTTGCAGCTGAGCTTCGCACAGGTGAGCTGGCCTGAGGCATGGCAGGTACATTTCTCTGAGCAGTCCCTGGAGACGAGGCTTTCTTCAGCCTGCGGGGAGATTCCCAGACAAACGAGTTCATGAATCGCACCAGTCTCAAGTCAAACAATTTTTTTTAAAGACTTAGTTCATGAAAATAGAAATCTCCCTCCGCAGAAAACCCCAACTTTTCAAACTTAGATTCTAGGTTTCTAAGGGGGCATTGTCACCTAACCAAATCCAGAAGTGTTTCTTTCTTGAAATGACAACTTGAGCAAATCGTTAGGCGTAATTTTTCCCCCCAGTTAGGGAAATGAAAGAATCAAAGAAGCCAGGGGTCGTTTTGTAGAAAAAGAGCTAGGGGAACTCATTAGCATAACTCATTAGCATATGCCACACACCCTGACATCACCGGAAGTGTGTCATGAGGCCACACCCCCTGACATCACCAGAAGTGTGTGTCACCCACCACTCAGTTAGTCTTAGTCTTAAAGGTTAGTCTTAAAGGTGCTATTTGTTAGTCTTAAAGGTGCTATTTGAACTCTTGGACTATTTTGCAGCAACAGACTAACACAGCTACCTCGGGGAAGCTCCTAGAGTTAGAATATTTAGAGAGCCAGTCTGGCATACCACTTAAACTAGGATCTGAGAGACCCTGGTTTAGGGTTGGCAGCTCTGGTTTGGGAAATACCTGGATATTTGGGGGGTGGAGCCTGAGGAGGACGGGGTTTGAGGCATAATGCCATAGAGTCGAACTTCCAAATTCCTGGAGGAATTGTATAGTTCTCGATGCTTGAAAAAAGCAAAGAACATTCTGCAGGATTTGTCACACCCTGAACACTCCCTGTTTGAACTGCTGCCTTCGGGTAGAAGATATAGGACAATTAAAACAAGGACAAACAGATTAAAAAACAGTTTTTATTCGAGAGCTATTATTGCTTTAAATGCTGTAGAGTCGAACTTCCAAAGCAGCCATTTTCTCCAGGTAAACTGATCTCTTTCAACTAGAGATCAGTTGTAATAGGAGATCTCCAGCCACCACCTGGAGGTTGGCAACCCTACCCTGGTTCCAATCCCTACTCTACTATGGAAGCTTACTGGGTAACTTTGGGCCTGTCACTCTCTCTCACTCTCTCTCTTTCTCAGCCTAACCTACCTCACAGGGTTGTTGTGAGGATAAAATGGAGGAGAGGAGAACGATGTAAGCTTGGTTGGGTCCCCACTGGGGAGAAAGGCAGGCTACAAATGAACAAAATAATAATGAATATTATTATTATTCAATTCATTTATACCCCACCTCTCTCCCCAAACCCAAGGCGGCTTACATCATTCCCTTCTCCATTTTATTCCCGGAACACCCCTGTGAGGTAGATTCAGCTGGGGCAGGAACGCACAGGAATGGAGTTCCGGCTGGCTCCTGAGTTGGCCACGCCCAGCAGGAACCCATTAGCATAACAGGCCACACACACCCAACAGCAGAAACACATTAGGATTGGCTACATTAGGGGGTGTGTGGCCTAACATGCAAAGGAGTTCCTGCTACAAAAAAAGGCCTTGGGTTTTGACAACAAACTAGGTCAACAGAATAAGAAGCAAAAGGTGGGTGTGGCCGAATGACCACACTTCTGGTAACATGGGGGTGTGGCCTAATATGCTAATCTGCCATGCTATTGGGGTGTGGCCTAATATGCTAATGAGTTCCTGCTGGGCTTTTTCTACAAAAAGAGCGCTGCAGCTGAGAGAGAAACTGACAGGCCCAAGGTCACCCAGCCAGCTTCCATGGCAGAGCACGGATTCGAACTTGGGTCTCCCAGATCGTAGTCTAACATTCTAACCACTACACCATGCCGGCTCTCCCAGGTGTGCTAGCTATTTCCCAGCAAGAAAGGCGTGTTCCAAAGCAGTACTCCCCCCCCCCCAGACAGTCTGAAGTGCTGCAACCTACTCCGCTGGCCCAAGACTCTACCATCACATTCTGCTGCATGCACAGACCAGACACACCAGACCTGAAACCCACCTGGATGTAGTGCCCATTATGCATGCAGCCACACCTCTCCATGGGTGCACATGTTCCCCCATCAGACACGTAGCCGACGTCACACTGGCAGCCTTCAAAGCATTTCTTGGTACACAGGGATGGAGCGGCAGACAGGCCAGCGCAGGTGAGATCACAGGACCTGGTGCAGGACTCATAGTGGCTGTTGGCTGGGCAGGAGAAAGCTGGAGACAGAAGGGAAACAAAAAGTTAAGGCTGCCAACAGGCTTGGAAGCTGAGCCTGGCAACCCCTGGAAGCTTTTGTGGCAGGGCTAGGCATTGCATGACGCCACAGGTCACTTCCAGTCCCACCACGCCACCCGTCACCACGACACTGTAGCAATCCTCGAAATCTCAGTGATAAATCCATGGAGATTCGGGGGATTGCTAGAGTGTTGCCATGATCCATGTCATCACTCTGGCTATGTGACTGGAAGCGATGTTGTAATCAGTGTTCCCTCTAAGCTGAGTTAGTGTGAGCTGGCTCACAGTTTTTTAGTCTCTGGCTCACACATTAATGTCTTAGCTCAGGAAGGATGGCTTCAGAGCAAACTAATTTATGCAGTAGACAAATCGCTCGCTCACAACTTTAATGCCAGTAGCTCACAAAGTAGAATTTTTGCTCACAGGGCTCCACAGCTTAGAGGGAGCATTGGTTGTAATATCATTCGCCACAGCAGCAACCCCCCTCCGTTTTCTCCAGCTGATGCACTAGGCCGCAGCAGGCAGCTGGAGGTGGGGGTTTGAGAGTTTCCCCACTATAGCAGGAGACCTGGTCTCCCTACAGCAGAGTTGCTGGATTCTCTTTCATTCAAGGATGATGCCAAGTCAGTTGCAGAGATGGTAGGTTGTGAACAATCCATTCATCCCCCCTCCAACTCCCTTTATAGTGCAAAGGGAAAGATTTGGCACCCAGTTAAGGCTGGCAACTCCAATTCAGGAAATTCCTGGAAGTTTGGGGGCAGTGCCTTCAGACGGAAGAGTATGGGAAGGGGACAGAGCTTCCGTAGAAGAAACAGAAGTCCTACAGCATCTACCATCTACAACCACTAGGACATCTGTGTTAAGTCAGTTACTTGACAAAGAGTCAGAGAGTGATTTCAGCAAAAGATCAGCTTTATTCAGCGACTCGTAACTCAACTCCAAACAGATCGACATGAATAGCCAGAACAGCTTTTAACTTGAAGCGGTTCTACTTTTAAACTCTCCCGGCTAATGTAGCCACACGCCCTATTATACAATATCAACCTATGAGGTTGCATAGATAAGGTCCAATCACAATAGTTCCCGCTCTTGGAACTGGCTGTTGGTGATTGGTCGGTTCTTCCTGGGCTACCAATTACAAGGGAGGGATTAGGATCCTAGCCCAGGATGAAAGCTTCACATGGTGTTTCAATGACAGAGTTCACATACATACTTCGGTCAGATTGAATACACCATAATCTGTTTCTCCTAGACTTAGGGTTGCCAGCCCCCAGGTGGGAGCGAAGGATCCCCTGATTTCACGGGCTCCAGCCCACCACTGGCCAGCAGGGTGAAGCCCCGCCCCCAACAGCCATGGCTCGGCATGACGTCCCGGCATGATGACATCACATGGAAGTGACATCATCACACAGAGGATTTTGGGTGGTGACGGTCTGGTATTTTGGGTAAAACTCAATATTTTGCCCAAAATACCAGACCGTCACTGTATGACGCCCCCAGCATGATGACGTCACTTCCGCAAGACATCATCACACCGGACATGTCGCATGGAACAATGTCATCCCTCCCCTCTCCCACTCCCAGGAGGCTCCCTCCCACCCCCTGCTGGCAGAAGAAAAGGACCTGGCAACCCCACCTAGACTCAACCCTCTGACTCTGCCATTACCTTGAGGGTACTGATCTCTGTAGTCCGGAGACCAACTGACATTCCAGGAGAACTCTAGGCCTCACCCTGAGGCTGACAACCCCACGCCCCAAAGCCAGAAATCTCTGACCGATTTTTTCACTTACGGCAGAAGGAAGGTGTCCTCCACGCCTCGATCTTCACTCCTGCTGCTTGGCACACGGTCACGTAAGCCTGAAGGCTCTGGCAGAGGATTTCTTTTGCCCCACCGGCCGCACACATGCTGTACAGGCAGAGGTCAAAATAGCTCGCAGCCCTCACTACAGGGTGGCAATCTCGGAAAGGGCCCGATTTAGCTACGATCAGGCCACAAGAGCTCTCCTCCCGGAATGGGCTCGTCTTGATCGAGGAGCAGTCGGGGCAACTCTGCCTGCAGCCGTCCGAACAAGCGGCGTTCTGGACAGGAACCTTCCAGGACACCCCAAATTCAGTCACATTCTGGGTCGTTTTCTCATTGGACAGTCGGAATTCGTCAGTCTTGTCACCGTTGAAGTTGCCACACAAGCCGCACATATGTCCTTGGTACGTGCTGGGAATGGACACCAGAACGTAATAGGAGGGATCGTAGAGGACCTTCAGGCCAAAATTGGTCTGGATCACGATATTCTTCCCTTCTTGATTCACCCAAACGTTTCTCCTCCCTATCACCAGCGGCAGAGCAAAGATCTCTCCATCCACCTGTGCCAACAGAAGAGGGGGAAGATCTGTGAGCCACCTCTGGGTTGGGAAATACCTGGGGATTTGGGGGTGGAGCTTGAGGAGGGCGGGGTTTGGGGAGGGGCGGGACCTCAGCAGGGTCTAATGCCATAGAGTCCACCCTCCAGAGCGGCCATTTTCTCCAGGGGAACTGATCTCTGACACCTGGAGATCAGTTGTAATCCCAGGAAATCTCCAGCCACCGCCTGGAGGCTGGCAACCCTGGGGCGACCTGAAGACTGACAACTTCACCTCTGACATGGAAGCATGAGTGAGCGAAACAAAGGCGGCAGATGTCCTCTGTCTAGGCTAGGGTTGCTAACTCTGGGGTGGGAAGGTCCCGGAGATTTGGGAGTGAAACTTGGGGAGGGGAGGGACTTCAGTGGAGGTATAATATGCAATCTACCCTCCAAAGCAGCCATATTCTTCAGGGTACCTGATCTCTGTCATCTGGGGATCAACTGTAATTCCAGGAGATCTCCAGGTCCCACCTATCTCCCCCACTTCTCTTCTGTTATTTTCTGCCAAAAAATGAGGGGAATTATTTTCTTTCTTTCTTTACACCCAAGGAAGTGAGCTCCGACTCACAAAATCTCATACTATTAAAGGTGTCACTGGACTTCCCTCTGTTTGTAGGCAGGGTCTGTGTGCACTTGGAGGAAGCGAAGCACTGCTGAAGAAGAAATGTGGGGAGGGGGTTCAGAGGAAAAGTCAGATCTCGGAAGCTAAGCAAGGTCGGCCTTGACTAGTATTTAGAAGGGCAACCTCCAAGGAATGCCAGGGTCGTGACTCAGAAGCAGGCAATGGCCAACCACCTCTGAAACATCTCTTGCCTTAAAAAACCAAGTATAGCTCACCACCTAGTGGTGCCGAACACTAAAGAGCTAGAACTTCAGGTTGCCAGACAATCTTAGGCTCTCCTGGGTGTTCTATACACAATGCCATACAATTATTATTACTATTGTAAAAACAGAAAAGGGGACCCACCTGAACCTTCCCATTCATTCCCTTTGCAAGGCTGATGGTGTAGCCACGAATGGTGACCACGACTTCCTTGGTCCTCCCTTTGCCGGCACCGGAACTCTCGTTCTCCACCACCACAGAAAACTGTTCAAGGCCAGGATCTTGGCTGCAGACTTTGGCCAAGGTGTAAGCACAAGAGCCTGGGAAGATGATTGTCTCTCTATCAAACGTCAGGTAGTGGGATCCTCCGGACACGCTGCATTTGCCGCAGCCAATGGGGTGGCAGCCCTGGATGCCGCCCCGCACCCCGCACTCCTCGTTGTCCCCACAGGAGACTCTCTGGCACTCCACGGCTCCGTTGTCCACGCAGCGGCACCTCTCCCGGCAGGAGGGGCTGGGGAAGAAAGCGTCGCCCTTCTTGTGGTACCTGCCCTGATGCATGCAGCCGCACTCCCCGATGGGGACGCACTGATCTCCGCTCAGCACAAAGCCGGCGTTGCAGTAGCAGCCTTCTTTGCAGGAGGTCTGACACCCGTCGGGAGCTGAAAGGCCGTGGCAGGTGGTGGGGCACCCGTTTCCACAGAGCTCGTAGTGAGAATTACGGGGGCAGGAAAGGCCTGGAAAAGGAACACAAAAGAGACTGTGTGAAGAACTAGGAGAGAGAAAAGCAACTCTGGAGCAGTCTCAGGTTCGGCAGGGATCTCGGCAGGGCTGGGATCAGGATTGGTGCACACTTTGGTTTCACACTATCGGTTGAAAAGTAGACTCCCCACTAATGCTCTTCATGCATGGCCTGCTTTAGCACAGCTGGGTCCTTTCTTGGGTGGCTGCAGCAGGACTGGGGCTAGGGTTGCCAATTCCCAGGTGGCACCTAGACGTTCTCACCCAAGCACCATCTCCTGCTATTACAGTTGATCTCCAGATGACCAAGGTCAGTTCCCCTGGAGAAAATGGCTGCTTTGGAGGGCAGACTCTACGGCATTATACCTTGCTGAGGTCCATCCCCTTCCCAAACCCCGCCCTCCCCAGGCTGCACCCCCCCAAATCTCCAGGAATTTCCCAGCCCAGAGCTGGCAGCCCTAGGGGAGGCCCAGGCATAAATCATCCTCAGCCATGAAGCTCCTTGAGTGGCCTTGGGTCAGCCATTCTCTTTCAGTCCGCCCTACCTCATAGGGTTGTTGTGAGGTCAGAATGAGGAAAACTGAAAGCAGGGCCCTGACCTGGATAGCGCAGGCAAGCCCAATCTCATCAGATCTCAGAAGCTAAACCCTGGCAAGTATTTGGGAGGCCTCCAAGGAATACCAGGGTTTGGGCCACAGAGACAAGCAATCAAGCCACCTCTCGGAAACATCCAAACCCCATTAGGGATCACCAGAAGCCCCTGTGACCGATTTCACACAAGAGCTGCGCCGCGGTCGCGCCTCCCTTTGCCCTGCTTCTATCGGTCAATTTCCCACTTGAAGCCGCACGGCCACATTTTGACCCACGGCTTCGCCCGATTTTCCCCGCGGTTTCGTGATCCTGTTTTTTGAGGTAAAATCGGGCAAAGCCGCGAGTCAAAATGCAGCCGTGCGGCTTCGGGTGGGAAATTGACCAATAGAAGTGGGGCAAAGGGAGGCGCGCCTGTGGCACAGCTCTTGTGTGAAATCGGTCCATGACTTCCAAGCTTTCAAGCATGCACACACACACAAAAAAAATACCCCCAAAAAAGAAAAAAGAAAACTGAAAGCATGTATGCTAACATGAGCTCCTAGAAGAAAGGGTAGGATTTTTTTTTTAAAAAGTATGACATCTGAACTGCTTTCTTTCTGTATTGCAAGAAAAAAAAATATAGCATTTGTTTAATTTTGATGCTTTTTCTAAGGGGGGGGGAACTACAGCTGCTCAGGTCATTTAATATTAATTTAATTTAATGTAGCATTTAAATAAACAATGAACTGTTTAAATAAGCAGCACATGTCACGTTTGTGCCAACTGAAACGTCTGTTTGGATTAAGAAGTTATGTAGGCCTGTGGCAGAGACGCTGCACATCATCAATTTAATTAGGCAAAGGTTATTTAGGTAAAGGTTTCCCTTGCTCGAAAGCCAGTTGAATCCGACTCTAGGGATGCGGTGCTCATCTCTGTTCCAAGCTGAAGAGCC